GAGTGCCAAGAAGTGGCAGATCAGACTACATACAACTGTCCTCAGTGAGGTTTGAGTGCCAAGAAGTGGCAGATCTGACTACATACAACTGTCCTCAGTGAGGTTCGAGTGCCAAGAAGTGGCAGATCTGACTACATACAACTGTCCTCAGTGAGGTTCGAGTGCCAAGAAGTGGCAGATCAGACTACATACAACTGTCCTCAGTGAGGTTCGAGTGCCTAGAAGTGGCAGATCTCACTACATACAACTGCCCTCTGTGGGGTTCGAGTGCCTAGAAGTGGCAGATCAGACTACATACAACTGCCCTCTGTGGGGTTCGAGTGCCTAGAAGTGGCAGATCAGACTACATACAACTGCCCTCTGTGGGGTTCGAGTGCCTAGAAGTGGCAGATCAGACTAAATACAACTGCCCTCTGTGGGGTTCGAATGCCTAGAAGTGGCAGATCAGACTACATAAAACTGCCCTCTGTGGGGTTCGAGTGCCTAGAAGTGGCAGATCAGACTACATACAACTGCCCTCTGTGGGGTTCGAGTGCCTAGAAGTGGCAGATTAGACTACATACAACTGCCCTCTGTGGGGTTCGAGTGCCTAGAAGTGGCAGATCAGACTACATACAACTGTCCTCAGTGAGTTTCGAGTGCCAAGAAGTGGTAGATCAGACTACATACAACTGTCCTCAGTGAGGTTTGAGTGCCTAGAAGTGGCAGATCTGACTACATACAACTGTCCTCAGTGAGGTTCTAGTGCCAAGAAGTGGCAGATCTCACTACATACAACTGTCCTCAGTGAGGTTCGAGTGCCAAGAAGTGGCAGATCAGACTACATACAACTGTCCTCAGTGAGGTTTGAGTGCCAAGAAGTGGCAGATCTGACTACATACAACTGTCCTCAGTGAGGTTCGAGTGCCAAGAAGTGGCAGATCAGACTACATACAACTGTCCTCAGTGAGGTTCGAGTGCCAAGAAGTGGCAGATCAGACTACATACAACTGTCCTCAGTGAGGTTCGAGTGCCTAGAAGTGGCAGATCAGACTACATACAACTGTCCTCTGTGGGGTTCGAGTGCCTAGAAGTGGCAGATCAGACTACATACAACTGTCCTCAGTGAGGTTCGAGTGCCAAGAAGTGGCAGATCTGACTACATACAACTGCCCTCTGTGGGGTGCGAGTGCCAAGAAGTGGCAGATCAGACTACATACAACTGTCCTCAGTGAGGTTCGAGTGCCAAGAAGTGGCAGATCTGACTACATACAACTGTCCTCAGTGAGGTTTGATCGCCAAGAAGTGGCAGATCAGACTACATACTAATATCTGTCCTCAGTGAGGTTCGAGTGCCAAGAAGTGGCAGATCAGACTACATTCTGATATCTGTCCTCTGTGGGGTTCGAGAAGTGGCAGATCAGACTACATGCAAATAACAGTCCTCTGTGGGAGTCGTTTGACAACAGACGAGTGCCTCGAGTTCTTAAATAAACGGAGAATAGTACTATTCTTTTCTTTTTTTGTTTAAATGATTCATTGAAAATATTAGCATGAATATGTCTCCTTGTCTTCAATATTAGAAAATATACAAAGGGAAAATAAAGAAACATTTTTCGACACCACCTTCCAAATCACAAATAGTTCCCACGAATCCATAACTTCAAACGACAAGACGGATCGCGTCCCGAGACGACCCTCAGTTGATCATAGTCGATATATATAGGGGTGAAAGCATTAGGGATACTGTGTTAGCGCTGGTAGTTTGAAGTGCAGATGATGACGTAATAGCTAAAGGTGACATTGTATAATTCTTATCGAAAAACGGTTTTCCACACAACATACAGTTCTCCACAAGCGCAGGTTAGCTGTTACTCTGCGTGCGTCGAGTGCATGATACTGTTAAATATTAGCGATGTGAGTGACATATTTTACTGTCGCTTCACTTACTAAGTCGCGCTTCAAGTGCACACTGTCTGATATGTTTGTTCGTTGTTTAACGCCGCACTCAGCAACATTCCAGCTATATGACTGCGGTCTGTAAATAATCGAGTCTAGACAAGACAGTGACTGATATCATGAGCATCGATCCACACAATTGGGGTACGATAACATGCATCAACCAAGTCAGCGAGCCCGACCACCCAATCCCTTCAGTCGCCTCTTACGACAAGCATAATCGCCTTTTACAGCAAGCATGGGTTGCTGAAGACCTATTCTACCCTGGATCTTCACGGGCCGCATGATCTGTGAGCTTATAGATTTGCTGACAACTGGAAATGAATGTTTACTAAGACGGAATGGACAGATTGGTCAATCATGTAACAAACACAATATGCAAATTGTCAAGACAGTTAGACGAGGGTAGCTTCATGCAATGTGTATTTGGATCAAAAAGTCACAGTTCATATCTTCTTTACAGCTCCAAATGTTGTACAAATCTAATGGGAAATGACCTGATATTTAACTGACAACCGTGTATTGAAGGCAAACATTGCTGGGAACATTTGAATATGTACAGAAAAATTACAAATCTTATTTATGTGTTTGGGATCAGTCTAAAGCCCAAGTAAACACAATAACAAATTAAATCTGAAAAAAACTTGTTTACGACGTGCTTTATATCTTCAGGGTTCGCATTTCGGTAAACCTACAAGAACCCCTGGATCCATTCCCATGGTTCTGTCAATCTCAAACTACCTGCCATTTGATTTCCATTTGCCAATATGATTGGTTACGCTACTAGGTCTTACGGACCAATCAGAATGTGGGTTACAATGTTGGCTTGGCAATATCAACAATATGGTGGCCAGTCCCATTGATTATGATCGAGTTAAGCGATAAAATCAGCACTGAAAAACTGACTGATACGCAAAAGAAATCCCTAAAAAATCCTTTTGACGGAAAGGATGTCTTCATGTTCATTAAAACTGGCGGTGGCTTTGGTTTCTAGGTAATATAAATTACCGCCCTTACAATTACTCTTTTCCTTATATCAACGTTTGATTGGCTGGTAAAATGATGATGAAAATCAAGGACGGGTAATTTGAGATCACAGGAACCACAGGAATGGATCCAGGAGTAAGTGTAGGTTTACCAAAATGCAAACCCTGGAGATATTGAGGATGAGTGTACTGCATCTTCCTGAGTCAAGAGAGTTAACTGACTATAAAAGTCCAGTTTCCACCCTTGCCAAACTAGGCTTGAATTTCTGGGCTCGATCGTAGCGCCACCAGTAGTAATTACGAGTAATGTCCTTTCTATGCCTCTCCTATGGAACAATCAGATTCCACCTATCGTATCACTTGCATTTGTTTCAGACAAATGGCGGCGCCTAGTCAAGACGATCTGATCGGTAATCAAGATCTATATTGTGATAAAACGGGTTTTACATCGCGAAGTGCATCAAATCACGTGAGGACCTGGGGGTCATACTGGTGAGTTACACCATCTCCTGTCTGGGGTCATACTGGTGAGTTACACCATCTCCTGTCTGGGGTCATACTGGTGAGTTACACCATCTCCTGTCTGGGGTCATACTGGTGAGTTACACCATCTCCTGCCTGGGGTCATACTGGTGAGTTACACCATCTCCTGTCTGGGGTCATACTGGTGAGTTACACCATCTCCTGTCTGGGGTCATACTGGTGAGTTACACCATCTCCTGCCTGGGGTCATACTGGTGAGTTACACCATCTCCTCCTGTCTGGGGTCATACTGGTGAGTTCCACCATCTCCTGTCTGGGGTCACACTGGTGAGTTACACCATATCCTGTCTGGGATCATACTGGTGAGTTACACCATCTCCTGTCTGGAGTCATACTGGTGAGTTACACCATATCCTGTCTGGGATCATACTAGTGAGTTACACCATATCCTGTCTGGAGTCATACCAGTGAGTTACACCATCTCCTGTCCGGGGTCATACCAGTGAGTTACACCATATCCTGTCTGGAGTCATACCAGTGAGTTACACCATCTCCTGTCTTGGGTCATACTGGTGAGTTACACCATCTCCTGTCTGGGGTCATACTGGTGAGTTACACCATCTCCTCCTGCCTGGGGTCATACTGGTGAGTTACACCATCTCCTGTCTGGAGTCATACTGGTGAGTTACACCATCTCCTGTCTGGGGTCATACTGGTGAGTTACACCATCTCCTGTCTGGGGTCATACTGGTGAGTTACACCATCTCCTGTCTGGAGTCATACTGGTGAGTTACACCATCTCCTGTCTGGGGTCATACTGGTGAGTTACACCATATCCTGTCTGGAGTCATACTGGTGAGTTACACCATCTCCTGTCTGGAGTCATACTGGTGAGTTACACCATATCCTGTCTGGGATCATACTAGTGAGTTACACCATATCCTGTCTGGAGTCATACCAGTGAGTTACACCATCTCCTGTCCGGGGTCATACCAGTGAGTTACACCATATCCTGTCTGGGGTCATACTGGTGAGTTACACCATCTCCTGTCTGGGGTCATACTAGTGAGGTACACGATCTCCTGTCTGGGGTCATACTAGTGAGGTACACGATCTCCTGTCTTGGGTCATACTGGTGAGTTACACCATCTCCTGCCTGGGGTCATACTAGTGAGTTACACCATCTCCTGTCTTGGGTCATACTGGTGAGTTACATCATCTCCTGCCTGGGGTCATACTGGTGAGTTACACCATCTCCTGTCCGGGGTCATACTGGTGAGTTAGACCATCTCCTGTCTGGTGTCATACTGGTGAGTTACAGCATCTCCTGTCTGGTGTCATACTGGTGAGTTCCACCATCTCCTGTCTGTCATACTGGTGAGTTCCACCATCTCCTGCCTGGGGTCATACTGGTGAGTTACACCATCTCTTGTCTGGGGTCATACTGGTGAGTTCCACACCATCTCATTGCCATGTTGCTTTGCTTATGACTGCTTGATGTGTGTGTTGCAATACTCCCTTGCCTACGCCTTCCTGAAGATGGTCAACTACTCCTTTTCTGGCTGACATACTACCTCGCCAACGCCTACAATTGGAAGGAGACGGTGGCTGACTCCATATCCATCTGGTACGATGTCGGCGGCATCGTAGGTCAGTCTCACCACAAACACTCTCTCCCAGCTCGCACCACTTTCTCTTCAGTTTCACCACCCATTCTTTACAGTCTTATCATACACTCTCTCCAGTCTCACCGCAAACTCTCTCCAGTCTTATCATACACCCTCTCCAGTCTCACCGCACACTCTCTCCAGTCTCACTGCACACTCTCTCCAGTCTCACCGCACACCCTCTCCAGTCTCACCGCACACTCTCTCCAGTCTCACTGCACACTCTCTCCAGTCTCACCGCACACTCTCTCCAGTGTCACCACACTCTCCCTCCAGTCTTACCATACACTCTCTCTTCAGTCTCACCACACTCTCTCTTCAGTCTCACCACACTCTCCCTCCAGTCTTACCATACACTCTCCCTCCAGTCTCACCACACGTCCCCTTCCGGTCTCACCACACTCTCTCTTCAGTCTCACCACACTCTCCCTCCAGTCTCTACACACTCTCTCTCCAGTTTCACCACACTCTCCCTCCAGTCTCACCACACTCTCTCTTCAGTCTCACCACGCTCTCCCTCCAGTCTCACCACACGTCCCCTTCCGGTCTCACCACACTCTCTCTTCAGTCTCACCACACTCTCCCTCCAGTCTCTACACACTCTCTCTCCAGTTTCACCACACTCTCCCTCCAGTCTCACCACGCTCTCGCTTCAGTCTCACCACACTCTCTCTTCAGTCTCACCACACTCTCTCTTCAGTCTCACCACACTCTCCCTCCAGTCTTACCATACATTCTCTCTTCAGTCTCACCACACTCTCTCTTCAGTCTCACCACACTCTCCCTCCAGTCTCTACACACTCTCTCTCCAGTTTCACCAAACTCTCCCTCCAGTCTCACCACGCTCTCGCTTCAGTCTCACCACACTCTCTCTTCAGTCTCACCACACTCTCTCTTCAGTCTCACCACACTCTCCCTCCAGTCTTACCATAAATTCTCTCTTCAGTCTCACCACACTCTCTCTTCAGTCTCACCACACTCTCTCTTCAGTCTCACCACACTCTCCCTCCAGTCTTACCATACATTCTCTCTTCAGTCTCACCACACTCTCTCTTCAGTCTCACCACACTCTCCCTCCAGTCTCACCGTACACTCTCTCCAGTCTCACCACACTCTCTCTCCAGTCTCACCATACACTCTCTCCAGTCTCACCTCACTCACGAAAGGTAAACTTCAAGTTTTTAAAACACTATCATTGTGATGCCTTATCATTGTTGAAAGGACAAACCTTCTGTTTCAGGGGGAACTATAGGAGGTTTTATATCTGTTAGTATGAACATCTAGGTCAGGATATTAATATGTATCAAAATCATTCCTTATTTAAAGGGAATTTTCAAAATAAACTGATTTTCTTGTTTGAATATTGACATAATGGTAATCAAGTTTTTGAGATCATAAGTCAAAACATCATTGACATATTTCATCTTATCTACAAATAGTTCTCAATGGTTGCAGTTCGTTTGTTTCGTTTAGCTCATCATATCTTACATCTATTTGTGTTTACAGGACAGGTTTGAGAGGAGAGCAATAGTTGTCATCCCGATGCTGGGGCTTGCCATTCCATCACTGTTTATATATGGCAGTAAGTACATAGCAGGGACAAGCCCATTTTCTCAAGGCAAGTGAGTTAACTGACTATAAAAGTCCAGTTTCCACCCTTGCCGAAATAGGCTGGTATTATGGAGTTACATTTTGTCTGGACAAAGGAGCCTATGCATAGTCCAATCAAAATCGCGCACTGAAATCGAAATCCGGTTCGTAAAGTGTCATGCAGATTTCGGTCGACTGCAGGATTTGCAAAGCATCTGCACCGCTAACACGTTGTCAACAGATATTTTCTAAATCTTTTCATGCTTTTAATCAAGGTGCTCACGTGATTTGATGCACTTCGCGATGTAAGATTCGCTTTATCACAATATAGATCTTGATTATCAATCAGATCGTCTTGACTGGGCGCCACCATTTTGTTTGAAGCAAATGCAAGTGATACGAGAGGTTGAATCTGATTGGTCAATAGGAGAGGCATAGAAAGGACATAACTCGTAATAGCCACTGGTGGCGCTACGATCGAGCCCAGGAATTCCAGCCTAGTCCGGCGAGGGTGGAAACTGGACTTATAAAGTCAGTTAACTCGCTTGCCTCGGGAAGATGGAACAAGCCAATATCTGTTTGTCTTCACTATCTGTGTGCAGCACAGAACATTTAAGAAACAATTTGAAATAAGTAGCAGTGGCGGATCCAGGGGGTGGCCCCTGTCTTACTAAATCTGATGACATTTTGTATGCGCATTGCCTACCATGATAACATGTTTGTTTGTTTGTTAACGCTGCATTCAGCAATATTCCAGCTATATGACGGAGGTCTGTAAATAATCGTGTCTGGACCAGACAATCCAGTTATTGACATCATGAGCATTGATCCACGCAATTGGGATATGATGACTTGCATCAACCAAGTCAGCGAGCCTGAAGACCAGATCCCGCTAGTCGCCTTTTACGGCAAGCATGGGTTGCTGAAGACCTATTCTACCCCGGATCCTCGCGGGCCGTAAGAGTGAAGTAGGACAGCTGTAACATCGACGGACTTGGATTCATCGTATATCTTGACCTCATCGAATCCGATATGAACAGCATGAACCCTTGCACTCCACGAGTGAGTGAGTGAGTATGGTTTTACGCCGCTTTTAGCAATATTCAAGGATTATCACGGCGGGGGACACCAGAAATGGGATTCACACATTGTACCCATGTCGGGAATCGAACCCGGGTCTTCGGCGGGACGAGCGAACGCTTTAACCACTAGGCTAGGGAAAGCTACCCGACTGCCCCTGCACTCCACGAGGAAGACATAAATGTATGTTCAGAGCACATACACCATTTGCAGTCAACAAATCACCTGTTTCATTTTATTGACTTGCAATTCTATAAAACAAACAAAAATATATATCTCTGCCTGTATGATACACTCATTGTTCAGTCCCGTCAACCCCTTGCCATATGAAATCTCTGGATGCTAATCACGGGAAGCGCGCTTTTGGATCCGTTACCCCCAAAGGCGTGTCGTTTGTTCTTTGGTGTAGAAATAGAAAACCCAAATTTGGCTGTCCGCAAAAAATGGGTTGGTAATCTCGCTTCGCCGAAGAAAGAATTGAAATTATATGTTTGGCGTAGTATAAGTACTGTCCGATCTTAGTCATAGCTAGGTTTCCAAAAATCGTGGGAAAACTCTTTAAAAAGGCTTCATCTACTACAACTACCAGCTCATGGCGTATAACGTTTCAGAATTTGATTTCCTGTACATGTATAATAAAAGTAGACTTCGTTGTGTTGATCACAAAAATTGCCATCGGGGACTGTGGAACGTTGTGTAAAGGTGGAATGTTGAGGACTTGAAACTCCATTTAATGAAAGCACTATTTTGTGTAGATCTCGAGTTACGTTGTGATACGTTTACTTCAGGGATTGAAGTTGGTGATTTTCACGTCCCAATACTCTTCGTGAACGTCATTCGTGACCAACCCGGGTTATTCCGGGACAAGCCGAATAGCGACTCGTGCCCCTCTCATGGTCATTTTAGCGACCGGGTTCCGTCTTAGGGCAAACGGGCATACCTAAAACAATGGTCAACTCGTTGCCTTATGGTTAACATATATCTCCCCACATATTATATATGTTTCAGATGCAATTTAAAGCACATCGGGACACGCGGAATTATACAGTATGATTGAACACATGTATCGGTAACTGTGTCTTGGGTATATTTTTAGATGCAAGAGTGAGTGAGTGAGTGAGTGAGTTGGGTTTAATTTTAGATGCAAGACATATGTAAAAATCAAAAAATATTTCTGAGGGATTCTTTGACGAAGAACTTGAAATCATGCGCGCATTCTGATTGGTTTGTCGTATTTTCGCACATAACATTCATCGATGGAGGACGAGTCTCTTTGCAGGTTACGGAAAGGGGCGAGTGGTAACGAATGCGTGAACGTATTTGTAAATTGTGTGACGAAGTTAAGGATGAAACTCATCTTTGGATTAATTGTTAAATGCTTTACTGTGTATTCCTTTTAGGACTGAGTGAGTTGGGTTTACCGCCGCTTTTACCAGTATTCCAGTTATATCACGGCGTGTCAGCTTAATGTGGGAGGAAAGCCCGAAGTGATGACCAAACATGATGACATTACTGATGTCAGGGTGATATAAATACCTCCACCTAGGCACCAACAGACCAACCTCTTTTCAAAATTAATTTTCCTGGTGGGCGTTGTGTATAGTCATGAACTACCTTTGACAAGAAAGAGTTAATGAAACTAATCAATAAAAGCACCCTGACCTTTTCGGATCTACAAAAGCAATTATTGCTTCCCAGGATCAAGGCAATTACCCCAAACTAAGTAATGTCAAAGTTGACCCTATGCAGTTGTCCATACAGAAGGGTTGATGGTTAAGTGCACTTCGGTGTCCAAGTCAGCAACACTATGATTGTATTACAGCCCATCTACATGTTCAGGCCAGCAGTTGTCAGGGCATGGAGCGGGTGAGTGAGTGGGTGAGTGGGTGGGTGAGTGAGTGGGTTGGGTTTAATGCTGCTTTTAACAATATTCCAGTTATATTGCGGCGTGTCAACTTAATGTGGGAGGAAAGCACGAAGTGATGCAGGTCTCCAACGTTTACCACTTCGGTGAAATCCACGAGCAAGGGTACGGTGCTGACAAACCTAGAAACAGGGCGAACCGGGATAAGAATCCACAATCAAAGGTTTCCCATGCCCAAGGGATGCAATTCTGCACAGCAAATCGCAGCGCCTTATACGACTGGGCCAGCCGTGACCCCTTGGATGGGTGGGAAGATGCTAGCAGGTTGGGTGTAAGCATCTTTGACCAGTATTTCAGTAGTCATATCAGGTGTGTCAGCTTGATGTGGTAGGAAAGCCCAATGTGATGCAGGTCTCAGACGTTTACCGCTTTGGTGAAACCCACAAGCATGGTATGGTGTGGGTAGATTCGAACCCACAATCGTTGGTTTCTGGACGCTAATCTGCACAGCAAAGTCAGGGCATTGAGGGTCAATGGAGTGAGGATCAACTGGGTTCATGTTAAAGTGGATTCCTCCCCTTACTCTCTGTTCCACAAAGCAATCTTAGTGCTGTGAATATCATAACTCCCATACTTAAACCTCGGCTTCAATGGTTGGTTTCATAGCAGTAAGTTCCCTTTGTGGAACGGAACCCTGAATACCAAAGTGCATTAGTCAACCGGACTTTAATCCTAATTCAACAAATCATTCTTGACTTGACCATGACAAAACAAACAAAACACCATAATAGTCAAAAGAAATATTTGTATGTATAAAAATATTTGTACACTATTCACAGAAGACCAGCTTACTACATGTATACCAATTTAACATGAAATAACATTAGATGTTGTATAATTACCATACATGTTTCAAGAAGCTCCATACAAAATATATACACATATACATAACATGCAAAACAAAGAGATCTCATTGACTGCCATACCATTAAGTACCATCCACACAGGCTTTTCTTGGACTATTTCCCTAACTGCTCACATCAGACTTCTATCCAGTAAGCAGGGGCTCCAGCACAATCTAAACATGTAATATCCACCTCGCAGTCTCTTATTGAAACTCAATTCACGTCCCATCATGAAGCCCATAGATTCTCAAATACTCACCTAACCAACTCATCTTCAACTTACACAGCCTTCCCCTGTAACTGAATCCCCACCTTACAACCTCCACACCTCTTCACCTTACACAGCTCTCCCTCTAACTGAATCCCCACCTTACAACCTCCAATCATCTTCAACTTACACAGCCTTCCCCTGTAACTGAATCCCCATCTTACAACCACCACACATCTTCACTTTACACAGCCCTCCCTCTAACTGAATCTCCATCTTACAACCCCCACTCACCTTCACCTTACACAACCCTTCCTGTAACTGAATCTCCATCTTACAACCACCACACATCTTCACCTTACACAGCCCTCCCTCTAACTGAATCCCCACCTTACAACCTCCACTCACCTTCACCTTACACAACCCTCCCTGTAACTGAATCTTCATCTTACAACCTCCACTCATCTTCACCTTACACAACCCTTCCTGTAACTGAATCACCATCTTACAACCTCCACTCACCTTCACCTTACACAGCCTTCCCCTGTAACTGAATCCCCACCTTACAACCTCCACTCACCTTCACCTTACACAAACCTCCCTGTAACTGAATCTCCATCTTACAACCTCCACTCAACTTCACCTTACACAACCCTCCCTGTAACTGAATCTCCATCTTACAACCTCCACTCATTTTCACCTTACACAACCCTTCCTGCAACTGAATCTCCATCTTACAACCTCCACTCACCTTCACCTTACACAACCCTCCCTGTAACTGAATCTCCATCTTACAACCTCTACTCACCTTCACCTTACACAACCCTCCCTGTAACTGAATCTCCATCTTACAACCTCCACTCAACTTCACCTTACGCAACCCTCCCTGTAACTGAATCTCCATCTTACAACCTCCACTCAACTTCACCTTACGCAACCCTCCCTCTAACTGAATCTCCATCTTACAACCTCCACTCAACTTCACCTTACACAGCTTTCCCTCTAACTGAATCCCCATCATATATAACCTCAATTTTTAGCATTTACAAGCAATTAAGTTGTTTTTCCTGTAAGATAAATAAGAAGGAAGGAAGAACTGCTACACCAACTGTATTAAGTGAGTAGTCATTTTCTCAGATAGTATGAAAGGTCAGAGTTAATGACAGAAGCTTTAGCATTTGGAGATAATGTACTTTCCAGTTAGAACATGAACAAGTTCAGTCTTGTCACATCCAGCAACCAAATTTTTTAGCAGCATAAACATTTTCAGTAAACATGAAATGACCAAATGTCGTCCAAACTTTCTACAACATTTATCATCCAAAACTGTCTCCCACAGGAGATATCACTTCGTTGAGATCATGCGACATTGTAGATATCGCTGGAATGAAATTGCATCACAATGCTTTGCAGACCATTGTGACACTGATTATTACTGTCTAAAAAGTGAAAAAGTTGGAAGAATGGTGTTGGATGATAAATAGAATCTCACCCTTGTGTCTTTTAATATCAAATATATCAACACTCGTTGATAAAAGTGGAAAGAATCCTTGGCAAGCTTTGGAGATTTTCCACTTTTATCAACTCGTGTTGATATATTTGATATCAAAAGACACTCTGGTGAGATTCTCTATTTACCGCACATGCCCATGGTCCTGTCAAAACCAACTTCACGTTGAGTCCTTCAAGTGACTTTACAAAAACATTAAGGGTGGTCATCCCCTTTATCACAATGTATTCTTTGTTTGGCAATTTCTTTAAAAAAAATATTTTTTTACCCCCTTTACACCTAGGTTTTTCCTCATTTTAAGAAACATTTTAAAAAACAAAAATGGCTCCCATAAAATCATCTTGCTCCGACTGTAAATAACTAAGTGAGCATGTGCTGAACAATTTTGATTCCTGAATTTTTGTAAATACGATAAATGTTCCTTGGGGACCCTATCCTGCAGTATACCTAGACTTACTAATCATTGCTGTAGAAAAAAAATATATGTGTGTCACTATATGTGTTTTAATACAAATAGCACTAAGGTTCATCCTGATTGCAATGATGTTGCTGGCCCTGGCCATAAACACTGTAACACATGTCTGTAACATGTCTGTAACATACCTGTAACACTTCTGTCTGTAACATGTCTGTAACACTTCTGTCTGTAACATGTCTCCACACATCTGTCTAACATGTCTCCACACATCTGTCTGTAACATGTCTGTAACACTTCTGTCTGTAACATGTCTCCACACATCTGTCTGTAACATGTCTCCACACATCTGTCTAACATGTCTCCACACATCTGTCTGTAACATGTCTCCACACTTCTGTCTGTAACGTATCTCCACACATCTGTCTGTAACATGTCTCCACACATCTGTCTGTAACATGTCTCCACACATCTGTCTGTAACATGTCTCCACACTTCTGTCTGTAACGTATCTCCACACATCTGTCTGTAATGTGTCTCCACACATCTGTCTAACATGTCTCCACACATCTGTCTGTAACATGTCTCCACACATCTGTCTGTAACATGTCTCCACACATCTGTCTGTAACATGTCTCCACACATCTGTCTGTAACATGTCTCCACACATCTGTCTAACATGTCTCCACACATCTGTCTGTAATGTGTCTCCACACATCTGTCTAACATGTCTCCACACATCTGTCTGTAACATGTCTCCACACATCTGTCTGTAACATGTCTCCACACATCTGTCTGTAACGTGTCTCCACACATCTGTCTGTAACATGTCTCCACACATCTGTCTAACATGTCTCCACACATCTGTCTGTAACATGTCTCCACACATCTGTCTGTAACATGTCTCCACACATCTGTCTAACATGTCTCCACACATCTGTCTGTAATGTGTCTCCACACATCTGTCTAACATGTCTCCACACATCTGTCTGTAACATGTCTCCACACATCTGTCTGTAACATGTCTCCACACATCTGTCTGTAACGTGTCTCCACACATCTGTCTGTAACATGTCTCCACACATCTGTCTAACGTGTCTCCACACATCTGTCTGTAACATGTCTCCACACTTCTGTCTGTAACATGTCTCCACACATCTGTCTGTAACATGTCTCCACACATCTGTCTGTAACATGTCTCCACACATCTGTCTGTAACATGTCTCCACACATCTGTCTAACATGTCTCCACACATCTGTCTTTAAAACATAATAGGCAAGTCTTCCTCATCACTATTTTCTTCATCACTATTTTCTTCATCACTTTCTTCCCCATTTTGGTCATAGAGAATTCTGGGAAGTACAATGACGTTGACAGCGTGAGGTATCGCTGCTGCTTTAGGCTTGTGGCTTGGGTCTCCAAGCAGCTCAGCAAACCTGTGGATGTTTTCACTGAGGATCTGCGGCCCATACACGCCCCCTTTGCGGTGGTCTCCTTCGCCCTGAATAACAAACAAATAAAGTCGGAGCTTAGAGAGTTTACTGGATTGTTCCTAATGGAATGAAAAGAATCAATCACCGAGCTACATTCTCTAAAAGCAGTAGAACCTATTGGCATCTAGCAACAATTTTTCCTCTATCAAGTCAGTGATGGTGGTACATTTATCTCTGAATGGTGCTTTAATGAGATGGCTTTTGTTTGTCTTACCTGGCTTGTTTGTGTGCTATTTCATGCGATATGGAACCACTGATCTCAGATTGTAGGATGAACATGTGAAATGTACCAAATGTTTAAGAAAAAAATTCTAAATTCATAATGATGACAGCCCATTTCTGGTGTGTCCTGCCATGATATTGCTGGAATATTGCTAAAAGCAGTGTTAAATTAAACTCACTCACTCATCATGATAACAGTAAAGATGTCTTGGTTGTCCTACGATAGACATGGTAGACAGATGCTTTGTCTTAAAATGAACACCATTCCACAAGATTAAAACAGTTTGGGAGGCACAAATAGCACTAATCCGCAAGATTAGAACAGGTTGGGATATATAATGAGCTCTAACCCCAAAAAGATAGTACATTGTGGAAGGTATAAGGGGCACTAATCCGCAAGAATAGTTCATTGTAGGAGGTATAAGGACTAATCCACAAGATTAGTACACTGTGGGACGTATAAGGTGCGCTAATCCACAAGAATAGTACAGTGTGTATGGTTTATGGAGCACTTATCCACAAGATTAGAACAGTGCCTGTAGTATAAGGAGCTCTAATCCACAAGATTAGTAGTGTGTGTGGTAATAGGAGCACTAATCGACAAGATTAGTACAGTGTGTGTGGTATTAGGATCACTAATCCACAAGACTAATTCATTGTGGAAAGCATAAGGAGCACTAATCCACAAGACTAATCCATTGTGTAAGGCATAAGGAGCACTAATCCACAAGACTAATTCATTGTGGAAGGAATAAGGAGCACTAATCCACAAGGGGAACAAGAAGCGACAACAGTGTCAGTGGGAGGAGTGTCAACCTACCACAGTGATGTCTTGCCGTCGGAGTGTCAGTGCCTGTGGTTTGAACTCTGCATCAGTCTCACGACACTTGAAGGGGATGCCCAGCTTCTGTAGGTGATCACTGCACACTGGGTACTCAAACTTCTCCTGTAATGTCGATATAAGCGTAACATTAGGTCAAAACAGATATCCTAATGTATCATTTTCAACCTCAATCGTGTGATAATCCTGCAATGTTCAACAAAAGTTTTATTTTGTTTGTCTGTTGTCTAACACCGCACTCAGCAATATTCCAGCTATATGACGGCGGTGTGTAAATAATCGAGTCAGGACCAGACCATCCAGTGATTGACATTATGAGCATCGATCCACTCAATTGGGATCGATGACATGCATCAACCAAGTCAGCGAGCCTGACAACCCGATCCCGTTAGTTGCCTCTTACGACAAGCATAGTGGCCTTTTACGGCAAACATGGGTTGCTGAAGACCTATTCTACCACGGATCTTCACGGGTAAAAAAAAAGTATTATTAAAACATCAACATAGGTGAAAGTCAATCAATATTTGTTCATATACCAGACTGGTCATGTGATACTTGGCTTCATATTGATTGATCTGGCAGATTATTATTTTCCATTAGGAACTCATAAATAATTAATAATCCACAGACATTGGTCAAAATCCATTGAAATCTCTCAAAGTTCTCTTCCAGAAACCAAAACATGAGATGAGGATGGCAGACATTCCAAAGAATGAGTTCTATGACCAGCTGGGTTAAGGAAAACAGACAATATAATTACATGTGTTATTTTGGTTTAGACCAATTCCGTCTTGAAACAGATGGCTCAAATCAAGTCAGACATTCTCACTCATCCATTGAGAAACAAGAGTCATCAGAAAATGTCAAATCCCACCAGCCCCCACAATAGAAAAAGGCACTTCAGCTCCTAGTTAATACATGTACCAAAGTTTGGATAATAAAATTTCATGATTTTCAAGTTATGCTCCAGAAACGAAATATGAACGGACGGACAGACAGACTAGATGATGAAAATATCCCTCCACATTATATGCCGGGATAGACACTAAAAAACATCAAATGTAACCCAAACTATATCAAACTCAGACACAGTGAAAAACATTTGCTATCAATTCAAGTACTGTAAATCTTGAAATTAATACGAGTGTCAATTAAATGCCAAAAATGTGAATAGTCTTGTTTGCATTAATGAAACTTTGCATTTATGTCTCCGAAATGACTATCAACAATAAGACGGCCTCACTGCACACTTTGGATAACGGAAATACCAACTTGAATATAAACACAAACACTGTTTATTGAACAGGAGTTGTAACAAGTATATACTGTAAACAGCTTTATTTCTGCGCCGTTAAAATATTGCGAATACCACACCAAAGACAATACTGCGACGAGATATTTTTGCGAGTTGCCGTGTTGAGATGACACCTCGATTACCAAACAATAGACAGCTTCTCTCCAAGGCTAGTTAATCTGAGTTGATGTATTTGTCATTTGTGATGTATTGTGTGACTATTCTGCATTCATTTGTGTCTTTAACTTATAGAGTAACTTGTGGTTCTGGTTGATGATTTCAACATTTGATGACGTGTTGCAATGAATAAAGTATGTATGTATTATTTGTACTTATTTTTGCTTTTTTAATTTTTGCGATTGAGTCTCGTTCGCAAAACTCGCAATAATAAAACGGTCGCAAAAAATTCCCTGTTTACAGTATAACAATGTCATTCAAAGAATAGGAATTACACAATGGGCATCCGGTGAGTTATTACAGCTGGGGTCAAGAGTTCTACCCACGCCTGTCAAACTAGGCATCATTGACCACGACAGCAGTCCAGACAGACGCCACCATAACAACTCTTGATAGGCAATGCACCCAGATAGGCTTCATCACACTTCCCAGCCTTTGTGTTGTCATCCACCTCAAGTTTGTTGACACCTTCTCCACATACCAACAAGTGAACTTATTTTATTGCCTTTGTACTTCCTTAATACCAATCAACAGAATAAACATATAAACTGTGTGTAGTTTTTAGGAAAACACTAACTATTTATTTTTACGGAAGTGCTCTACTCAGCGCTAATAAGCGGTCCTATATGCTGTTTGAGTGGATTTAGGTAAGGATATGTATGCACTGGGGATGGGGTGGGGGAAGTCGCATTGATATTGAGTCGCATTATTGGCTAGGGGTCAGCAGTCGTATTAATTTGGAGACTCATTAATTTCAAGATTTACAGTACTTATCTCCAAGTACTCATACCTTGTGTTTTATTTTTGCATATATAAAGTTTAGGTCATAGATCACTGATCACATCATTAATGGTGGTGTGCCATAGGCTGCCTAATTGCATGCAAACTGTTAAGTGTGTCCTATACATTCTTCGTAGTTAATCTCAGAACTATTCACCCACCCTCACATCTATACACACATATATACACCATAGTGCATAACATCCCCAATCTCCAGTAGTATGGTGATGCTAACCACCAATCACTAACCACTAACATGCAGCACCAACATGTGTTCACCATGTGTAAAACATTTTGTAGTAAGGAATTAAAAGCTGCAGCAAAAGCCTTGAAAAAATAAAAGAATTAGTTCTCAGGAAATGACTTTTGAAAATATAGTGCGGGCGGTGATTTTTTTTTTTTTTTGGCTTGCTCAAACTAGTATGTAACCAAATAAACAGTTGTGTACCATCAACCTGGGAAAGGGTCTCCCTACATAAACAAGCATACAAACTCCTATTGCCGCCATGACCCGAACACGAGATGCGCAGTAATGCAGTGCGCATGTAAAAGGAAGTAACTGGGTGCTGTATTGGGGCTCTTTGTTTTTAAGTACATGTATTAGGATTTTTTTAAATTGTTTTTGAAAATGAAAATAAATACAAAACGTGCAGCAGACTTTATGATGATGCTGGCGGTGCCTGAGAACAATTACTATTATTTTTTAGTCTAATATGATATAGTAACCATTGATGAACAATTGTAAGAATTAGGTTTCCAAAAGAGTGAGTGAGTATGGTTTTACACCGCTTGTAGCAATATTCCAGCAGTACCACAGCGGTGGACACAAGAAATGGGGGTCACACATTGTACCCCTGTGGAGCATCAAACCTGGGTCCTCGGTTGACGAGCGATGTTCACAAAGAATAAGAATTGAGTTCAATGTGTGGGGGGATATATCTCTGTAGTTCGCAAACACTTCAGCTCTTGGCTGCGATCATAGGGAAAGTTAGGGAACAAATGAAATAACTAAGGTTGATACCCATGGCGGGTTCTGTGTAAAATGATTGCATTAATGAAGGCATATGCAATATGTTGTTTCAATATACAAAATAATCACAGTGTTTTTATTACCTAAAGGGTAGGGCTACACACACTAATTTCACGGTGCATTTTAGGCCTAGGGGGAGCATTTGTATGAATTTGATGACATAAATTTCATGATTTACAGTGTATGAACATGATTAAGTTGTCCACAGTTCAAGACATTCCGATGCCAACATTACATCACAGTGGCAAAAAGGACCACAAAGTTACATCAGATTTAGAGGTACATCAAAACAAGAAGATATCACTGAACATACGAGTAACTAGGATGAAATAAAGACAAAACTCAGTGTCTCTACTTTAATCAGCACTGTGAGAGAGATCAGGCTCCCGTTACACAAAGCGATCTTAGCGCCACGACTATCGTAAGCCTAAGTATGGAAGTTACGATCACCTTAGCGCTAAGATTGCTTTGAGGAACGGGGCCAAGGGCATCTTGTACCAATGCTGTACCGATGCTGTACCCATGCTGTACCCTCGCTGTACCCACGATGTACCCAGGGCCTGTAGCATCAGAAGCAGCAGTTTGTAATCTTACCCCATTGTTCTGGAGGACTTTCACCAGCATAGGGGACATCAAGAGGGCATTCTTGGCACGGGTGACAGCCACATAAAGTAGATTGGCCTCATCAGCTGGTATTGGTGCTATGTTCACTGTTAAACAGATAAAGTGGAGGGATGTGAGGTGAAATGGGGTTTAATGTCAAGTCCAAGATTATTGCACTTATATAGCGATGTGTATGTATGCATGTGTGGCTACGACTGCCTGTACTTTTTCGGACTAATGACGATTTTATAGTGCAAGCACACTGAGATACCATGCCACAGTTTAACATGAATACCCCACTCAGACACAGTATACTGACTCCGAGCCGACCAGTCCTTGTTTAAGCCCCCCAGGCAGGGTAACAACAAGTACCATATTTTAATGTCTTCTGGTATGACGCGGCTGGGCATCGAACCCCGGGGCTTCCGCTCTCCAGGCTGACACTCAACCACTAGACCACAGAGGTGGTTCAGATAAAAAAGTGTGAGCTACATCTCATGTTATCTGGGTAATAATGACAGCTGGTCATGTGACAATAGGAACCTAGTGTTGTTTACTTACTTGGCTTAACTTGTCATAAGAAGCGTCTGCAAATTATATTTGGCCCAAGTGCACTCTTTTTTCAAGCAAAATCAGTTACTTAGTTAATTTGTAGTTCAACACAAAATGTACTAATTTTTATAAACAGAATTATTTATCATGCATCAATATTTAGATGGAGGTCCATGGGTCTCTGTTTGAGCTAAGATAAAGGAACTCGGTGAGACTTCAGAGATCCATGGGTCTCTGTTTGAGCTAAGATAAAGGAACTCACTGAGACTTCGGAGATCCATGGGTCTCTGTTTGAGCTAAGACAAAGGAACTCACTGAGACTTCAGAGATCCATGGGTCTCTGTTTGGGGTTAGACAAAGGAACTTACTGAGACTTCAGCGATCCATTGGTCACTGTTTGAGCTAAGATAAAGGAACTCACTGAGGCTTCGGAGGTCCATGCTAGCACCTTGAGTTGAGTTATTGATGAAGTCATCGGTCACCTGGACTGTGGAGAACTCCAGCCCTTTTGCCTTGTGTGCAGTACTGAAGATGATATCTGAAACACGCCAGGGTGGACCATGGAGAGAGTCTATTTCTTTGTCACATGTTAACTGTGTAGATGTATCAACATACTCTTTGAAAGATAACCAGATCCTGTAACTGAGGATCCCCTTCATCATGTTCAAGGGATGATTAACACCAATATCCCCTTCATCACATTCATAGAATAATACCTTGTGAATATCCATGTAAAAGGTGAAGGATCCTCACAATGACTTTTAATTCTGACAAGAGTAATAATTGTGCTAACAATTCATCAAACGCTACCTTAGCTGGAAAGCAAATATGAATAACACTAAGTCTCTCACCAAATGTAAGTAACTATATATTGACTATCATATTAATCTTACACAAAAGCTTCAACTGATCATGCTGATTACACACTTAATTTATCTAAAGGCTGTCATGGCAGCCATTTTGAACTTTTCGAATTAACAGAACAGATCTTATATACAATCTCTCAGTATAAACTGTTGTGTGGTTTCCAAGAATTATTGAAATTTAGGCTGTATTATTGAATAGACTTCCTACAGAAGTAAATATTTTATGTAGCAAGAGCACAAAAAACGCAAGTCTCATGTGTATATACAACTTTGCTGGATAGATCGTACGTAACATCGTTAATACAAAAATATCATTTTCAAAAACATCAAAAGCAGCACATGAATAAGGCTTGTTTGCACATTATTCCTTTCTATCAATTATATATGGTCACTGGAGATGTGGAGGAGATGTCTTCCAAAACTACACGATTGATCACACAACGAGCCTGGCCCTCCGCTCGCACTCAAGCAAGCAAGTCTCCGTTCACGGTGAAAGTCAGCTGCACACATCCACGGCAAATCAAACCTATTCTTCACCCTTTTCACCCCTTAGACATTTACCTCTCCACAATTTAACAACCATCATTTGTACACTGTACTTTCCTTCATAAGAGCAGTATTAACACATTAAAATATACTCCTCTTTCTTTCAACAAAGGAAATGTGACAAAAGCCAGTTATATCAGATGTTGAGTTCACTATTCAGTGGTGAAACAATGTGCAAAACTTGTTATTTCTTCAACAGCGGGTATTGTTTGCCTTTTGGTACTTTCATTTATTCTGTTGTGAGACTTTTCTATGTTTAAAATATACGCTGATCTGTGTGAAGTATCGATCGTCCTTTTTGCTGTATAATGCCATAGATGTTGATAAGAATGCAGAAGAAGCTCTCACAAAATATATGTATTCTCTAGTACTCAATACAGGTGCCCACTCAGTGGTGATAAGAAAGAAGGTGAGGTGAGGTGAAATGGGGTTTAACGTCTCGTCCAAGATTATTGCACTTACATAGCAATGTGCATGTACGTGTGTGTGTTTGTGTGGCTGCTTGTACTAGTCCGGACTGATGCCGATAAATAGTGCTAGCTCACTGAGATACCATGCCGCAGGTTAACATGAATACCCCACTCAGACACAGTGTACTGACTCTGAGCCAACCAGTCCTTGTTTTAGCCCCTTAATGCCGAGCGCCAGACAGTGTAACAACAAGCACCATCTTTTAACGTCTTTTGGTATGGCGCGGTCGGGGATCGAACCCCGGACCTTCTGCTCTTCGGGCGGACGCTCTACCACAGGACCACGGAGGCAGTGATAAGGAAGAAGAAGGATGTTGCAGGGTAGTCAGGTGATCAGTCGTGTGGGACACAGGATTACAGAGCATGCACCCATTGGTTTGGACGGTGACTATAGTTATCCTGGGATGTGTTCGGGCGAAAAGTTTTTCGAAGCTGGAAACTTTGTTTTAGCACATTTCCACAAAAAGAAGAAGAAAGAAATGCATTGTGTGAGATTGTAATACGATTAAAAATATATACTTTTAATTAATCACAACAGCGCTAAGTTAACATTTTCACAGTGTGTTTCTCAGCATCACATCACACTTGCTACATAACATAATATGAGAAAAATGACACTTGCAGGTTAAAATGATGTTGATATTGTCAGCCAAGTTAATACAACTCTCTTTGCTGCAATTAATAATGTCCAGACAGCAGTATCACTTGTCACTACTAAACTCCTTGTACCTGCTTGTCTGATGTCACGGACACACTTGGCTGAAATCTTCGTCAGACACATAGGGATGGCGTGGTGAAACGTCTTCACGATGCGGATCTTCCCCATCAGCTCCACATCTGACACTTTGGTTGCATACTTCTCCAAGTCTGCTATACCAGAAAACTTGCTAATAAATAGGTTGTTTATTTTCCGGTTCTCTGAAAACAAAAATATAGGATCTTTCAACTGGAATGTAACTTTGTCAGAAACTAAGACTGTCTTTGTTGAAGGTTGATTAGTTGGTTGGTTTGTTGTTTAACGACGCACTCAGCAATATTCCAGCTATACGGACACGGTCTGTAAATAATCGAGTCTGGACCAGACAATCCTGTGATTAATATCATGAGCATCGATCCATGCACTTGGGATCGATGACATGCATCAACCAAGTCAGCGAGTCTGGCCACCCGATCCCGTTAGTGGTATTTTATGACAAGCATAGTCGCCTTTATCGGCAAGCATGGGTTGCTGAAGACCTATTCTACCCCGGATCTTCACGGGTCTTGTTGAGGGAAAATTACCCATGAAACAACAGTGAAACTTTACGAATCCAGATGGTACAATCCCAGTGCAATTGCTTGAATTAAACATTGCCTGACTACCAAATCATGGTGTCGAGCAAGGTTTCCTTGTCTACTCCAAGTTCCAAGCAGTAGGGACCAACTTATTAATAATATTTCATAATAATGATAAGTAAATTTATAATGTGTCACATTCCATTCACCATAACATGCCCATGGCACAATTTGGTTGCTGATTTTGCTTACTTGAATGATAACCAATTTCAAAAGCAATAAAATACAGTCCCTCCTTGTTATAATGATACCGTGGTTATAATGCCCCTGGTTATAATGCCCCTGGTTATAATGCCCCCCTGGTTATAATGCCCCCCTGGTTATAATGCTACACTGTTTATAATGCCCCTGGTAATAAAGTCAACCTGGTTATAATGCCCCCCCTTGTTATAATGTCCCTGGTTATAATGCCACCCTGGTTATAATGCCACCCTGGTTATAATGCTACCCTGGTTATAATGCCACCCTGGTTATAATGCCACCCTGGTTATAATGCCCCCTTGTTATAATGCCCCCTGGTTATAATGCCACCCTGGTTATAATGCCACCCTGGTTATGCCACCCTGGTTAAAATGCTACCCTGGTTATAATGCCACCCTGGTTATAATGCCCCTGGTTATAATGCCCCTGGTTATGCCACCCTGGTTATAATGCCCCTGGTTATAATGACACCCTGGTTATAATGCCCCTGGTTATAATGCCCCTGGTTATAATGCCACCCTGGTTATAATGCCCCTGGTTATAATGCCACCCTGGTCATAATGCCCCTGGTCATAATGCTACTCGGTTATAATGCCCCTGGTTATAATGCCACCCTGGTTATAATGCCACCCTGGTTATAATGCCCCTGGTTAAAATGCAACCCTGGTCATAATGCCCCTGGTTATAATGCCACCCTGGTTATAATGCCCCTGGTTATAATGCCACCCTGGTTATAATGCCCCTGGTTATAATGCCACCCTGGTTATAATGCCCCTGGTTATATAGTCAACCTGGTTATAATGTCACCCTGGTTATAATGCCCCTGGTTATAATGCCACCCTGGTTATAATGCCCCTGGTTATAATGCCACCCTGGTTATAACGCCCCTGGTTATAATGCCCCTAGTTATAATGCCACCCTGGTTATAATGCTACCCTGGTTATAATGCCCCTGGATATAATGCCACCCTGGTCATAATGCCCCTGGTTATAATGCCCCTGGTTATAATGCCCCTGGTTATAATGCCACCCTTGTTATAATGACACCCTGGTTATAATGACACCCTGGTTATAATGCCCCTGGTTATAATGCCCCTGGTTATAATGGCACCCTGGTTATAATGCCCCTTGTTATATAGTCAACCTGGTTATAATGTCACCCTGGTTATAATGCCCCTGGTTATAATGCCACCCTGGTTATAATGCCCCTGGTTATAATGCCCCTAGTTATAATGCCACCCTGGTTATAATGCCCATGGTTGTAATGACACCCTGGTTATTATGCCATCCTGGTTATAATGCCACCCTGGTAATAAAGCTTTCCTGGTTATAATGACACCCTGGTTATAATGCCCCTGGTTATAAGGTGGGGTGAAATTGGGTTTAACGTCGCGTCCAAGATTATTGCACTTATATAGCGACTTGCATGCACGTGTGTGTGTGTGTGGCTGCTTGTACTAGTCCGGACTGATGCCGATTTATAGTGCTAGCTCACTGAGATACCATGCCGCAGTTTAACAGGAATACCCCACTCAGACACAGTATACTGACTCAGTCCTTGTTTTAGCCCCTTAATGTCGAGCGCCAGACAGGGTAACAACAAGTACCATCTTTTAACGTCTTTTGGTATGACGCGGCCGGGGATCGAACCCCGGACCTTCCGCTCTCCGGGCGGACGCTCTACCACAAGACCACGGAGGCGGCCCCCTGGTTATAATGCCACCCTGGTTATTAAGCTACCCTGGTTATAAAGCTACCCTGGTTATAATGCCACCCTGGTTATAATGCCACCTTGGTTATAATGCCCCTGGTTATAATGCCACCCTGGTTATAATGCCTGAGAGTGTTAGTGACTACCTTTCTTCCTGTCTTCTGGAGTCATCATCAGGATGTAGATATCCATGATCATGGGAAACCCGAAGTTGTCTGTGCCCTGGAGAACATAGCACTGACATTATTGCAGCCAAAGACAAAACAATTACCATTCAATGAACATGATGAGATGTGTTTATTGGCCAATTGTGGCAAGTGGGGCCTAAATGCAATATTGGCAATTATAAACATGAATAAATAGTAGTCCGCAATCCGATCCAGGCCATAGGTATGAGTAGTCAGTGATAACAGCCATATCATGCTTGTTGGAAGTCAGTGATAACCACTCAGGGATTTATCAGGAATGCCCAGAGGTCGATATGGCTTAAAAATCTAAAAGACTTGGGTCTCAGGCAATGGCTTTTGAAAATATAGTGTGGGCAGTGTTTTTTGTTGTTTTGTTTGTTTGTTGTTGTTTTTTTTTTTGGTTTTTTGTTTTGTTTTTTGGGTGTGTGTGTTCAAGCTAGTATGTAACCAAATTTTGTAATTGTAACAATTTCAGACAAATTATGTAGTTCTTAAGTTTTATAGCATTTCGATGCCTTGAGACACGGAATATTTAAAGATTTTTTTATTTCTTTTTAAATGGAAATAAAAGCAAAATGTGAGGTGGACTTCATAATGATGTGGGCAGCGCCTGGGTACCAAGACTATTATCTTTATAGCCTATTCAACCCCGATTCTGCAGCAAATGTCAGAAAACATAGATCTAGCTAATGAATTGGCCTTGAAGAGTCTTGCACTTCCCTGAGATCGTGGCCAACAAAGATAATGAAGAGGAAGAGGAAGTTGAGGTATCCCCTAAGGCGACATTGTTTTATGTGTTGGTTTATGGATTTCAAACTCATTTCAAAAGTGAGGCAGGCAAATTGAACAAAAACATAAAACCTCTCGGATTTATTTACTTAACTTTTGTCCTAAAAAGTCAAAAAGGCATAAGAAACATATTCTGGAGTAAAACAACTCAATTTTTCAAGAACATTTTATAATATCCCTGGCACACAGCTTGTGCTGTGCACAAATAACAATATAACAATATTCATGTAGGAAGCATATGCGATGATTAAACTGGTCACCATTGTGCTTTGTGCTGACAAGATTTGATGGTATAAGAGAAGGGTCCCAGTGAGAAATATCAGAGTGACTTCCCTTTGCTCTACACTCAACAAGGAACAAGATTTTAAAACATAAAATAATTTTTTTTAGTAATTAAAAAAAATAATGTTTTTTAACATTTGGTTTTAGAAAGAGCGGTGTATCCGTACACCAAGAAATATATCAGACAGGTGGGAATGTGTACAAGACAATGCTGTGGTGCTCACCCCAACGAACGCCACCTTGTACTCCTCTTGTGAGTAGCAGCACTTCTTGACCGCTTCACTGAACACGGTGAAGTTGAGTCGGGAGATGATCGCTCTCTGGCCCACCTTCTCCCCTCCGATGTGACCTGCAGGACAAGAGTCAGGTTAAACAGGTTACCATGGTTACAGCTGTCTCTCCCCTTCAAAAGCTTACAGGAAACTGAATATTGTTATTGTATGCTGAGCTTGTCATGTGTGTAACTGCTTATTATGTCCAATATCTGCAGCACAGAGGGAAACAGCTCGAACAAAGGCACTGGGGAAGACAGGTATCCATTCAGAGTTTACTGCTCTTGATTGCATTGATATCCTTAGTCTGAATACAACTGTCTAAGTAAGGATAAGAATTTATGGATGAACAACTTCTTTATTACAATTTAAGAGCGACGTTTCGGTGTAGGTTCTAACACCATTATCAAGCTTGATAACAGTGTTAGAACCTACCCCGAAACGTCGCTCTTAAATTGTAATAAAAAGGTTGTTCATCCATAAATTGTAATAAAGAAGTTGTTCATCCATAAATTCTTATCCTTACTTAGTACTCCAAGTTCTAAATGCCTATCAAAAAGTTACAACTGTTTAGTTCAAACATTCTGTTGTGTCACCGATTCTCTCTGTATGTATTACTGGTAACCCAGGCAACTCAATAAACGCTTTTGTGACAAGTGGGCGGAGCACAGAATTTGGGCAAACATATTTGGTTTGTTACAAGTAGAGAGTCATGATGACACTCCCATGGACACACGTGTTGCTTATCAAGGCTATTAAGAGGTCAGTGTGACAAGTCGATATATCAGAATTCTCTAAAAAGCGTTTGATAGAAGTTAATTATGAACAAATGAGCATGTCAAAACGAGGTAAGCATGGCCGATTAATACACTGTCAACATGGTCAGGCTTGACAATTACCTATAATGTCATAAATTACATGGAGAAAGAGTGAACAAATAAATCTCAAGCATTGTCAAAAGGTAGATTTTTCATAGTCATCAGGTACCTCACATCAGCAAGTACTATTATGTGCTACTGAACATACTACTAGAACTTGTTGTTAGCCGAGAAAGGACACGTATATCCATCGCACTAATGTCGCGAACCATCCGCTACCCCTTTCATCACAATGGTACGGGCCAGTGGGCGGACCTCATACATAGTCTTACGGGGTTAACTGTCAGGTCACAACTGAACTTATCCTAGGTTACCAGTAAATGATTGGGAGGTTGTCTTTCGATTCCATCTCGTGATTAACTCGTAACAATGAACAGCAGAAGAGTACCTGGAACGCCGTGGCCCACGATGGTCTTATGGCGGACTTGCTTGAACACCTCGAGGCAGCTGGCGGCAACCTGGGCGATCTCAGGACCAAATCTGAAAGACTAAACACACACATACATTCACTTAGTTGGACTAAACATCAGTTAAATCATAATGCATGGTATTGCAGAACACAGGAACTGGAATTCATGTTAAAGTCACATCTGAAATTCAACATGGCAGTTCTGTTGTGCTAAGTTCGTAGTTTGCAAGCTAAGGCTTTACTTTTGAACATTCCAAACCAACTCCACACTAGGGCAAATATAGCTAAATACCACTGTTACCAGTGGTGTCTGTGTAGAGAGGAGTAGGTTTTATTTGCTGTTTTTATCAATATTCCAGCAAATGCTGCTACAGAGAAAGTCACTGACAACCAAGAAATTGGAGAAACTTGACGATGTTGCAGTAAATGACTGCACCTTGATTTATGCTGGATCTACCTAGAATGTGTGAGATGCAGTTATCAGCTGATTTACCTGAGTAAGGTAGAATGTGTGAGATGCACTTATCAGCTGATTTACCTGAGTAAGGTAGAATGTGTGAGATGCAATTATCAGCTGATTTACCTGAGTAAGGTAGAATGTGTGAGATGCACTTATCAGCTGATTTACCTGAGTAAGGTAGAATGTGTGAGATGCAGTTATCAGCTGATTTACCTGAGTAAGGTAGAATGTGTGAGATGCAGTTATCAGCTGATCTACCTGAGTAAGGTAGAATGTGTGAGATGCAGTTATCAGCTGATTAATCTGAGAAAGGTAGAATGTGTGAGATGCAATTATCAGCTGATTAATCTGAGTAAGGTAGAATGTGTGAGATGCACTTATCAGCTGATTTACCTGAGTAAGGTAGAATGTGTGAGATGCAGTTATCAGCTGATTTACCTGAGTAAGGTAGAATGTGTGAGATGCAGTTATCAGCTGATCTACCTGAATAAGGTAGAATGTGTGAGATGCAGTTATCAGCTGATTAACCTGAGTAAGGTAGAATGTGTGAGATGCAGTTATCAGCTGATTTACCTGAGTAAGGTAGAATGTGTGAGATGCACTTATCAGCTGATCTACCTGAGTAAGGTAGAATGTGTGAGATGCAGTTATCAGCTGATTAATCTGAGTAAGGTAGAATGTGTGAGATGCACTTATCAGCTGATTTACCTGAGTAAGGTAGAATGTGTGAGATGCAATTATCAGCTGATTTACCTGAGTAAGGTAGAATGTGTGAGATGCACTTATCAGCTGATTTACCTGAGTAAGGTAGAATGTGTGAGATGCACTTATCAGCTGATTTACCTCAGTAAGGTAGAATGTGTGAGATGCAGTTATCAGCTGATTTACCTCAGTAAGGTAGAATGTGTGAGATGCACTTATCAGCTGATCTACCTGAGTAAGGTAGAATGTGTGAGATGCACTTATCAGCTGATTAATCTGAGTAAGGTAGAATGTGTGAGATGCACTTATCAGCTGATCTACCTGAGTAATGTAGAATATGTGAGATGCAGTTATCAGCTGATTAACCTGAGTAAGGTAGAATGTGTGAGATGCAGATATCAGCTGATTTACCTGAGTAAGGTAGAATGTGTGAGATGCAGTTATCAGCTTATCTACCTGAGTAAGGTAGAATGTGTGAGATGCAGTTATCAGCTGATTAATCTGAGAAAGGTAGAATGTGTGAGATGCAGTTATCAGCTGATTAATCTGAGTAAGGTAGAATGTGTGAGATGCAGTTATCAGCTGATTTACCTGAGTAAGGTAGAACGTGTGAGATGCAGTTATCAGCTGCATGGCATTGACGGCGCCACGGAAGGAGTAGATCTGCTGATGTGGGTCTCCCACCAGGATCTTAGCCTGTTCTTGATTCATCAGGATGCTAATGACAGCTGTAACCATGGCAACAGAGGTGAAACATCATCTCATTCTAAGAATTAGGAGACAACACTGAAACCTATTTGAGAAAAACATCTTTCCACAAAATAGTATCAATTATATTATCTCTAAAGCTACATCTAAATCAGTGATTTTGGTTTAAAACTGCATTGAACAGTATTTCACTGATACTAATCGGCCCACTCATCTAACTGTAAACAATAAAGAAGCTACTTTGTTAGGAAAACATGAGCTATGATACTTGTGCGGGAGAAAGTACCTGGTGTCAAATCCTGAGCCTCGTCGATGAGAATCATGTCATACTGAGTGAGTTTGGGTCGATACAGCTGATACATCTTGAGATACCCATCATGTGTCATCCCCGCTCGAGTATTGTCATAGTCCTTCATCCTCTTCCACAGGTACTCTGCATCCTCTGCAAATCTCTGCAATGTCACTGTATACATGAGAAACCAGTGACGGGCACACAGAATATTTCATATCCCTATTTCTATTATTTTCACATTGGAAACCCCTACAAGTTAAACATTGACCATGTCAAGATGAGCTAAAAATACTATTGAAATGCAATATAAACACTAAACCCCAGATAACATCATCAAGGAATATAAACAACTGAAACAGGCCCTCACGTCCCTGGTGTACCTCACTACAATTTTTGACATGCTATTTCCGGTGACAACATGCTAGCTATATAGTAGTAATGTTTTTGCTCTTGGAAACACAAAAAACATTTTACACGAAAAATAATGTCAACTTATGGCGAGTAAAGGACCAGTTCAAAAGTTTGATGTCGGATAAAATCATTATTTCATCAGATAAAGTCAATTTACCTGATTTATCCCTATTTAATATAGTAGCTAAGCTAAACCAAGTCTATTTTCATTCATATGCTGTTAGGACTTGTCATAATTACATCCAGTCTTCCACAAGGTAGGGTTCTATCATCGCCGCCAATATTGGTAAGTCTATCTTGTGCAGTTCGTAATATGGAATGGCTGATTTCATCATAAAAAAAATACAAATGAGGTGTATGCCTCAAAACGCAAGGAATTAAATTTGCTATCCGACTTCAAACTTTGAACTGGTTCCTTACGAAAAGGCTAGGTGCTGTTTGATCTAGATCTAGAAGTTGGTTAGGGGCGCTTATTGGATCTGAGTGCGTAATAAAGCAAATGCAGTCAGTAGAAAGCTGACTTCTGGAACTGAAAGGGTGAGTGAGTATGGTTTTACGCCGCTTTTAGCAATATTCCAGCAATATCACGGCGGGGAACACCAGAAATGGGCTTCACACACATTGTACCCATGTCGGGAATCGAACCTGGGTCTTCGGCATGACGAGCGAACGCTTTAACCACTAGGCTACCCGACCGCCCCGGAACTGAAAGGGGCGAACAGGTACAATACATGTATAGTAACCATGGTAACTAAGATAATCCAACTAACCATCTTGGCTGCATGGTCTATGGACACGACACCGCCATTATCATCAGTCCTAGTGTCAGGAACGTGGGCACTTGTGATGTTGTCATTGTCAGAGCTGCAGAAGTTGTTGATGGTCTCCATCACAAACTTTGCCCTTACAAACAAGTTGTCTCCCTTTCTGGAGGGAAGGATCTGGGATATCTCATACACCTTTAGATTTCTCAGCTTCTTCCGTGCAGCATATCTGCCAAGAATACATAATGTAATATAGGAAATGTTCATAGAATCTTTTCGGACATCTCAACTAACGTCCCCAAGGAAAAAAAGCCTGAGCACTTGCATCAGCAAATTTGGGCTTTATGGAATCATCATGTGATAAGCTGTAACTATCTTCTCGAGGCAAGAGCATCCACTAGCCTATTTATCAAAGTCTAGCTTCCACCCTTGCCACATCAAGCCCACTTTCTTGTGCTAAATATGATTGGTCTATAGCACATATTGACAGTCGAATCAGAGAACGTTTCATAAAATCAATATTTGGGCTCCTAAAACATGGCCGCTGCCATATAGCTTGTCGAATTGGCACTGAAGTTACTTCAACAATTAAGTGAAGACAAGTCTTTCCAAGTTTTAAATCAATTCGCCCTAGTACTGTGCTTTTAAGCAGTACGATGATGACTGGTGACAACAGTCATTAAACACGACTGGTACAGATTTGTACGAAAGTGATTTACCGCTGCCTGTCCTTGTTGACGCAAATATTTCTATTCCATCTTTTAAACCCCCCAACGATTGCCTTTGTTTGTCTGTCAGGGGTGAAATCAATTTTATTGCAGGTTAGGCTTTGGTCAACACTTGTATTAATTTCATGACTCATGTTAGGCTCTGGGTCAACACTTGTATCAATTTCATGACTCATGTCAGGCTCTGGGACAACACTTGTATCAATTTCATGACTCATGTAAGGCTCTGGGGCAACACTTGTATTAATTTCATGACACATGTTAGGCTCTGGGACAACACTTGTATCAATTTCGTGATTTACCGCTGCCTGTCCTTGTTGAGGCAAATATTTCTATTCCATCTTTTAAACCACCCAACGATTGCCTTTGTTTGTCTGTCAGGGGTGAAATCAATTTTATTGCAGGTTAGGCTTTGGTCAACACTTGTATTAATTTCATGACTCATGTTAGGCTCTGGGTCAACACTTGTATCAATTTCATGACTCATGTCAGGCTCTGGGACAACACTTGTATCAATTTCATGACTCATGTAAGGCTCTGGGACAACACTTGTATTAATTTCATGACTCATGTTAGGCTCTAGGACAACACTTGTATCAATTTCATGACTCATGTCAGGCTCTGGGACAACACTTGTATCAATTTCATGACTCATGTTAGGCTCTGGGAAAACACTTGTACTAATTTCATGACTCATGTTAGGCTCTGGGTCAACGCTTGTAACAATTTCATGACTCATGTTAGGCCCTGGGTCAATACTTGTATCAATTTCATGACTCATGTAAGGCTCTGGGACAACACTTGTATCAATTTCATGACTCATGTTAGGATCTGGGTCAACACTTGTATCAATTTCATGACTCATGTAAGGCTCTGGGACAACACTTGTATCAATTTCATGACTCATGTTAGGATCTGGGTCAACACTTGTATCAATTTCATGACTCATGTTAGGATCTGGGTCAACACTTGTATCAATTTCATGACTCATGTTAGGATCTGGGTCAACACTTGTATCAATTTCATGACTCATGTTAGGATCTGGGTCAACACTTGTATTACATATTTGATCTGGGTCCACACTCAGTCACAAGATAAATGTGCCAACATGAGGCCTACCTGCGTCCTACAGAGGCAAAGGCCAAAGCATGGCCTGTTTTGCAAGTGACATTGCGAGGAAACGTCTTCTCTGCATGTTCCCGAACTGACCTGAAACATACATCATTGCTAAGGTATACACACAACTGTGAATGCACCAGGAAAATATCAATACTTCAAAATGAACAAATTCTACACCTGGTTAAAGTCCTTATGCATATGCTATTCAGAAGACTTCCCATGATATTTTCTTCAAAGGTTTATCTTTTATCAGCGATAATTATGATCATAAATTACTTATACAAATATGTATGTTTTACAGTAAAAATATTATTTATAATTATCCTGACTCATACTTATTGCTTATCTCATGTTATTTCCGAAAGATTGTGGAAACTATCTGAACAGCTGACCCAAACGCACCCCTGAGCCGTGCAGGTGCACTGGAACCATGTAACCAGGCTCGAATACTCATCACTCTCTCATTTCACATCTGGACAGCTGGGTGGGTGCTATAGCGTATGAGTCAGGATAAGTATTTACACTAAAAAATACATATTTGACCTTATCTTGACTCATACTAATTGCTTGAATCCCATAGTAGGTGGTGGGCTCCAACTGTGTGTGCTATTCGGATCATGATCTGTTCAAATAACCCCTTAGGAATGTGATATTCTTCTTAATTCTTCTTTATATCCATGCAGAGTACCACCTCCTTCTTGTGAAAGAGTGAAGAATTTTATAGACTTTGTGGACTTAGTAAAGTGCTCTGAGGAAATGTTTTTCCTGTTTACTTTAAATGATTATAGTATTAAGACGGGTCAGAAACAATTGTGTTTCACTCATGCTCTGAATTACGTAATAAAACAGGTGAAAATGGACTCTTGGTCATTGGTTATGGGACAGTAACCTGACGTCAGCCGGCTGCTTGATAGTGGGCGAATACTTGTAGGAAGGTCTGTCTTGTAGTAGGCACTGTCAGTTGTCGTGCAACTACTTACGGTCCAAATTGGCGAATTCCAGCAACCATTGTGTGGAGAAATCTCTGAGATAGTGATTAGCATAGACAGTGTCCGATCTCCAGAAACAACCTTCAATATTCGTCAGAATTGAGTAGTTCCCATGAAGCGCCCGGGTAGATGCCATAGCTCTGACTTCTCATGATGGTGGATCCAGTCGTGCTGCCTTGCAGGCTCTAATAATTACTGCTCTCATCCAGAAAGAGATGGTTGTTTGGGAGACTGCTGAAATATTCCTATATAAAGAAATTAACAGTCTTCTTAAGCTTTGTCTTCTGGAGCTTGTCCTCTGAGGCAGATGCGTAGTGCCCTGACTGGGCATAACAACAAATCTTCTGTATCCTCTGATCAAAGAAAGGATGTGGAATTGTCCGTCTAGTTGTCCTGGCAGCTGATTCTTGGCGACAAAATCCCATCTTAGACAAAGATGCGTGAACGCCATTGTCAAATCTGGTACGATTGAAGCCAATCTCATGAATCTCTGGTATTCAGGCAGCCTTGGCTAGTGCCAGGAGAAACAATGTTCTCTGCATCAGAGGTTCGAAGTCAGCTTGTTCTAAAGGTTCATAGGCATCACTGGTAGTATATTCAGGACCCATGCTGGGCTCTGAATTTCTTCTGTTGACCTTCAAGTCTGTAAGATCTGAACAGTGCTATCAATTCTGGAACTTTGTTAAGTTGATTCCCTTGCACATGGTGAGGACGGAGCTGCTAGCTGCTAGATATGAGCCCAGTGTTGAACCTTCAAGGTTTCTTGTGCTTCTCATGTGGCATATGAACTCTGCTACTGGTGGTGAAGTGGCTTCAGATGACGAAAAATCCCTTAGATCTCAAAAACTTGTCAACTCTTCCCCTCATCTTTATATAAATTCCTCGTAGATATGCGAAGGGCAAAGGAGACTGCCTTAGCTTCTCTGGTTCCTCTTCTTGTGAAGTGCTTTATGTGAAGATGAAGGTGCGACCAGTCTGGGATCTTTTAGGATTGGTTTCTAAGTATGCCGAAACAATGTGTCTATTTTCACTAAATCCTGTTCATCAAAAACGAGAGCACAGAAACATTTTCCCAACTACTCAGCTGGTGCAAAAATTTTTACAAACCTGTAGAGGTTATGAATTCTCTGATGAAATCCTCCTTGGGGCACTTATTGCATTTTCCTTGCTCAAGAAAATCTATATGACATAGTTGTAACCATTTTCCTTAATAAAAAATGTTACCACACAAAAAACTTCGTTTTTGTATGATATACGACCACCCTTACGGGCCCTCACCCCCAACGGCGCCTCACGCCTGGGGGAGCAACTCTCACCCAAATCACTTTCCATATGTCAAATGCTGACGGAATGTGGGGAGGTGGGTGGCCGTGCCCCAAGGAGGATTTCATCAGAGAATTCATAACCTCTACAGGTTTGTAAAATTCTCTTTCTGATTAAATCCTCCTTGGGGCACTTATTGCATCAAGACAGACTCCCAAAGATAATCTAGGAAGTGGCATCTGTCAGCAACAGGCGTAAATAAATACATCGTATTTGATTATTCAACAGAATAAAATATTGAGTTCAATAAATGGAACCAACCTTATCGTGAGGCACCACCGTCGAAAGGCGGGGGCTAAAGACAGGGCGTGGTCGACCATATATTATGATAAAGCCTGTTTTTGCGGCTTGTCATAAGTTGAGAACTCGAAACACCTCCCACCCCCCACACTTTTTTTGAACAAGTGATATAAGGGCGTAGATCACGAGAGACCATAACCAGCGCTGAGCTAGGCCAGAGGGTCCCCGAGGATCGAAGGAGTGCGTGCGCAAAATACGAGTATTATCGAGTAGTAAGGACTGATATTTATCGACCGCAGAAGATAAAATCCGGACCATTACTGAGCAGTATAACCGGAAGACTGTCTAAAATCTCGATTGCTCAATCAGCTAGAGATTAGAACTTTGCCCAGTTCGGAGAACTGACTGACCAAACCGAGTACGCTCGCTTGAGTGTTTGTCGAGTTGGTAAGGTTTGATGAATCGTGCTCGGCTGGCTCCAAATAGCCGCGGAGCAGATCTGCTCAATGGGCAGAGCCGCGGCGTACGCTTTTGACGCAGCCACTGCTCTAACCTAATGAGCCTTCAACCTGGTAGGGGGGTCCCTGCCTGTAAGCGTATACGCTGTACAAATGTTTGAAACTATCCACCTCGAGATAGATTGTTTACTCGCAGGTGAGCCAACCTTCCTACCGCAGTAACAGCAAAATAGTTGGTTATCCTTACGGACACCCATATTTCTGCTGATATAGGCCTTGAGAGTCATGCGGACATCCAAGACATGAGCATGTCTTGCATTGGTCCCCGACGAGGAAGGCTGTGAAAGAGCAGGTAGCTCAATAGGAGCCGTTCACGTGGAATCGTGTGCGACCCTAGGACGGTAATAGTCCGGTAGACGAAAACTGACTGTCCCGGTGATATTTATCGACCCCATGGAAGACAGTTATTTTGGGATCGGCTGACATAACACGAATGTCACCTTCCCGTCTGCCGGACGTTACCACCACAAGGAACGCCGTCTCCCAGCTCAACAGCTGAAGAGAGAGAGACGACAGATCCCGAAAGGAAGGACCGGACAGCCAATCGAGAATGTTTGACAAGTCCCAAGGGGGACTGATCCGCCGGACTGGCGGTCGGATCCTGTCCACACCTGCTAAAAAGCGCTGCACTAATGGGTGTGCACCCAGAAGTGCCCCGTCGACAGGGACGTGAAAAGCTGCGATAGCTGTAGAGTACCCTCGGACTGTTGATGCGGCCAGGCCGTCATCTAGTCGCGACTGGAGAAACTCAAGCACGGATACGAGATCTGCAGAAAAAGATCTGCAATCCCTCTATCGACACACCAGGGCGCATAGCAGGCCTATCTATCGTACTGAACGTTTGTCGAATCCCTCCGCGAAGCCAGTATTGTGTCTGCAACTCGTGCAGGAATACCGCTCTTCTGGAGGCGATTCCTGACAGTGGCCAAGCCACCCATTGAATCCTGAGATTCGGGTGGAGGGCCCCGTTCTGGGATAGGAGGTCCGGTCGTAAAGGTAATATAACAGGAGGCTGAGCCAGAAACCTGAGTATTACTGGAAACCCACTCTGCGCCGACTAAAGAGGTGCCAGGAGCACAATTAGTCGCGCAGGCTGAGTGCCTGGCTGAGTGCCTAGCTGAGACAGGACCTTGGAAATCAGAGGTACTGGGGAGAATGCCCACAGAACTGTCCGTCCAATCTAGCTGAAAGGCGTCCGGTGCCACCGACCTCGGGTCGTGGACTCGGGAGCAGAACGTTGGTGTCTGGTTATTTAACCCAGACGCAAACAGATCCACCTGTAACGACCTGTATAACAGGGAGAAAATCCCGAATATCCCCGGGTCGAGCCTCCACTCGTGAGGAGCGAGGATCCGGCAAGACAGAGCGTCCGCACGGACGTTGTCCACCCCCGGGAGATAAACAGGTAGCACCCTGATATCGTGAGAGTCGCACTATAGTAGGAACTGCCACGTCTTTCGTCGAAGCGACGGAGACCCCGTTCCCCCCTGCTTCCGGATGTAAGTCATCGCCGTTTGGTTGTCCATCTCTAGACGAACCACTTGGCCACGAAGCAGATCCGGGAAGCGTTGGAACACCAACCTGACCGCTCTCAGTTCTAGCACATTGATATGCAGTTTGATCTCCTGCTGGGACCATAGTCCCGAGGCAGTGTGATCATTCAGAACGCCTCCCCAGCCGGAGAGTGACGCGTCTGTTTGAACTGTGAGAGACGGAACGGGAGTGATTCCCGACCTCGGTCCACCACTGGAGGTGTGTAATGAGCCACTACGGAGTCTCGAGCACAGTCTCGAGATCTTCCGAGTTCGCCCAAAGTCGACGGAGTGCTTGTTGAATGGGACTCATTCTCAAGCGCGCCCGCCAGACCAAATCCACTGTCGCCGCCATGTTGTCCAGTAACTGGAGCCATGTACGAGCAGTGTGACTTGCGCTTAAGGGACTTGATATCTTGTGACAGAGATACACGTCCTCTCACCGTGTTGAAATTAGCCACTAGGAAGACTAGATTCTGAGTGGGGCTCAGATCTGACTTCTTGAGATTGACCATCCACCCTAGAGTGATCAGAATATCTATCACTTGTTGTGTAGCTATCTGACTCAGGGATTGCAATAGAGCTCTTAGTAACCAGTCGTCGAGGTACGGACGGCAGAACCGACCTTTTGGCCTGGCCACTTGGGCGGGAATCAACATCAGCTTGGTGAACACCCTCGGGGCCGTGGAGATCCCGAATGGTAGAACCCTGAACTGATAACACCTCCCGTCGAAAGAAAACCTCAGGTATTTCTTGAACTCGGGGTGTATTGGTATGTGGAGATAGGCGTATTTTAAGTCTATTGACGTTAGCCATTCTCCTGTCTCGACAGTTGAGATCACTGTTTGGTGACTAGGAAACAATTCGAGCAGAAGCCCTCGCTTTCCTGTTCCTCGGGACCCGGTTCGATCGCAGCTTTCATAAGAAGTGCGTCAACCTCGGCACGGAGGAATTCCGCCTTCTCTCGGGTAGCAGGCACCGGAGTGTGCTTTATCCCGGAAAAGTGGAGGAGCGGATGAGTTTTCCCGATAACTTGCGACTGTGGGTTCACCCGGGGCTCTTCGGGCGCTAATGGGAACCCATTGTTCCCAGCCCCGCGAAAAAGCTGTTGGCCTCGACCAGCTGCCTTGCCCCGGCCCGTGCCTCTCTTGCTCCTCCCGGCGCCCTTATACCTGAAGGAAGCGGCGGCTTCCAAGCAGGTGTGGACGTCTGACCCGTGCGTTAGCGTAGGAGGGGACAATTGGAGAGGCCCGCTTACGCGGTTTTAACGCTTGGTACCTCCAACAACGCCTTATGAGTCTTTGATGGAAGTATACAATTGAGCAGCCTCTCGGACCACCTGCTGAGCCCCAGGGAAGAGGGTGGCACCCTCTTATACGGCAAAGCAAGTAGGTCTTGGCGTGTGTAAGTCGAGTATTTAGATACCGATATCCACCGCCTGCGCATGCACATAACAGCGCACATCATCTGCGAGGCACAGCTACGAATAGCGTCCCGCGCAAGATAATGTTAGTTGCGCGGCCAACTCCGAAGAGTCGGCCGGCCCCTCTCCCGCTAACTCCCTCTGTACAGCCGACAGATACGCGGAGTGTACGGACACACGGAGCTGTTGGCATGCATTATGATATTGCTCCTCGAAGCATATGTAAGCAGCCTTCAACTTAGTCAAGTTGGGTGTCTCCGACTCTGGCATGGGCGCAGCCACCTGAGGCAGTACCTGGACAATGCTGTCCCGCACATGTCTCTGCACCCTGAGGCCGAGTCCCGGTGCCGAGGTGCCGGAGGTTCAAGGGAACCCCCCTGGCTCCGGGCTACAATTCCACTAGTGAAAGCCTCGGCCTCGGAAGAGGCGTCTGGCTCCGCTAGGGAAAAATTGTGCGTCGGTAGTGCACGGGCCGGCGCCCGCCACCCCTCCGCTGGGGAGCGACCTCGAGCCGGCGCCGAAGCCCGGTCTGAGATCGTCCCCGAGACCAAGTGGGCTGCCTCGGCCGACGCCGGGCATATCACAAGGTCTCGAAGCCGCGTCCGGCGCCAACAACGGGGAAGGCTCGGTCCGCATCTCCTCTCGGAGCTGAGACTTTACCTCCTCCATCATCGACGCCATCTGCGACTTAAGTAACGCAGAAAAGTCTGCCAAAGACAGTGCAGGAGAGGGTGCAGTGCTTACTACGGGGACCCTCGAGCCTTCTCCCCCGGCCCCCGGAGAGGGAGCGGGGGAGACAATCTCGGCAGCTTTTTTACCCTTTTTAGATGGGGAGGGGGGGGATGTCTTAGTAGATCTGATATCTACCCCCGCCTTTAATAGACCTCTTTAAAGTGGAACAAGTCAACTTGTCTCTTTTTGGGGGCCCCGGGGGGTAAAGGCAATGTCCTCCGCCAGACATATTAGGCAGCGTTCGTGCCTGTCTTAGAACAACCCGTACACAGTTTGAAGGTCTTGTAAACAAGACCGTAATTTCTGAGGTGGGCGGGCGGGAAGGGTATCAACGTGTATCAGTGCGATATAAAGATCGGAAAGATACGTGCATAAATTGTGAAACTAGAAGCAAAGGCGTAATGTAGAATGCGATTTGTAACGCGATACTAATAGCCAATGTCGTAGTATAATTATAACACCAAAGGGCGTGTTACGCGCTAAGGTGTAAAAACCCGTAAAAAAGGTAAGTGTAGTTTATGAATTAACACACCACCTTGGGTTTTGTAAAGGAAAAAATTGTAGACCAATGCTGTATGATATAACAAAACCCCAAGCCGTTTCTTAATGGCCTTGGTGTTACATGTATCAGCCCGTGGAACTACAATATGGACGCCATTACGGCCATTTGAATTCAAAGGTACCGTGCACGTGGCGTATTATTACAACTCTATAACTTCACAATGCGAGGTATTACGCCTTTGCAATGAAAGAAATGTACCATACATACAGTTTGGTCAGCCATGGTTCTTGTCGAACGATAGATTTCTCTTATTTTTGTCTTGTGTGAAAAATCAACACGTCTGTCTCTTACAGATGACATAAGGAAAGTGATTTGGGTGAGAGTTGCTCCCCCTGGCGTGAGGCGCCAATGGGGGTGAGGCCCCGTAAGGGTGGTCGTATATCATACAAAAACGAAGTTTTTTGTGTGGTAACATTTTTTATTAAGGAAAATGGTTACAACTATGTCATATAGATTTTCTTGAGCAAGGAAAATGCAATAAGTGCCCCAAGGAGGATTTAATCAGAAAGAGAATAGAGAGTGACGTGTTACTGGACTTGGTCATGTGGGGCAGGCGTTCCGGAGCCACGTGACCAAGGCCGGTGCATTTGGGAGAGATGTTTTCACTGTTCTCCAAGAACAGAACACAGGACGTTTCCACTACCTTTTGGAAAGGAGATGAGGTAAGCAATAAGTATGAGTCAGGATAAATACAGGTATAATAAGTAAATCTCCACCAACTGGATAGGGTGTCTGATAGACCGGTAATTATATACTGACTTGTTGTACACAACCAGAAGGAACTTCTTGTCGGGTCTCAGCTGGGTGAATCGAACAAGAGTCGTTGTCTTGCCGGTCCCTACAACACAACATCTCCACAGTGGATAGGTGACATGGGAACAGTAAGGCTAAAAAAATAATAGTCTTGGTTCTCAGGCACCGCCCACATTATCATAAAGTCTGCTGCACATTTAACTTTTATTTCCATTATTAAAAAAATACATGTAAAAATCCTTTAATATTTCAAGTCCAATGGTAGGGTAGTCAAATACTGTATTCCAGTATGTTACTCATCGAGGAATACATTTATGTAGGGAGGCCCTTTCCCAGGTTGATTGTACACACAATTGTTTATTTGGTTACACAACTGTTTATACTTGTTCGAACCCCCCCCCCCCCCCCCCCCCCCTCCCCCCAAAAAAAAGAAAAAGAAAAAGATATGGCACTGCCCGCACGCACTATATTTTAAAAAAAACATTGCCTGAGAACCAATTCTTTTATTTTTTTTAAGCCTAATGGGTGATGTGGGCATATAATGACATTATTTTAATGTAACCAAAGAGTTATACAGTGAAACCTAGTTTACTCAAATTCCATAAACCCTTAGAGTCCTGACAGATGGTTTATCACTAACATGGTCAAATACCAACTCTGCTTTTCTCAAACAAATGAACAATGAGACATTTGTTCTACAGACCCATGAGTGAATGAGTGAGTTGGATTTAACGCCGCTTTTAACATTATTCCAGTTACATCACGGCGTGTCAGCTTAATGTGGGAGGAAAGCCCGAAGTGACTACAGACCCATGACTGAGGTATTGCTGTACCTTCAATACTTCATGGTAGATCTGAGTATCGCTTAGTATCTTGCGATATGATTTGTATCAAGATACGGACTGATGATACTACAGGTATCATGTTACACATCAAATAGTAAGAAATGATGAAATCACAGCCCTAAAACCTGTCTTCAAACATTTATTTATTGTTAACTCCAAAACTTTAACGATGAAAACCACAAGAAAAAATAAAGGGATGGTTATTAAATGTAACAGTTATTCGGTGTGGCCTCAGTCACCATGTCCTCGTGTTCTGCCTGCTTGCAGGTGGTACTACTACTGCCATTACAGGATGTAACACCCTAGTTCCTGTTCTATTTATAGCACATTGCTATCTCACACACTGCTGAGTCAAGTATCGTGTACACCTAAGTATCGATGATATCCTGTGTATCGGTAAATCGTTACAGCCCATCATCTACAAATAGTGAGTGAGTGAGTTGGGTTTAATGCTGCTTTTAACAATATTCCAGTTATATCACGGCCTGTCAGCTTAATGTGGGAGGAAAGCCCGAAGTGATGCAGGTCTCAGACGTTTACCACTTCGGTGAAACCCACGAGCACGGGTATGGTGCTGACAAACCTAGAAACATAATCGGAGCGAACCGGGATTCGAACCCACAATCATAGGTTTCTGGCATGCCCAAGGGACACAACTCTGCACAGCGAATCGCGGCACCTTAGACGACTGGGCCACCCGTGCCCCGTCTACAAATAGCTGCAAGCCCAAACATTATTAATGTCTGTTGTGAAATGGGCTTCACACATTGTACCCATGTCAGGATTCGAACCCGGGTCTTCGGCATGAGGAGCGAACACTTTAACCACTAGGCTACCCGACCGCCCCTACTGATGTAGAGCCGGAGTGTTGCTGTTGTTTTTGCTTCCCTGGAGTAGAAGCTGTTATACATGAAAGAACTCACCTGCAAAGGCTACAATCTTGACACAGTCACCATGATTAGGTGAGTGCTTGACGATTCTCAGTTGTTCATGTGTCAGTCGCACCAGTGTGTCCCCTCGGCTGGAAAGTTATAAGTAACTATGGTTACCAACATACATATACAGTAAACTATGTTTATAACGAACACCCTTATAACGAACTGACGGATATGACAAACTTAATTTTTGGTCTCAGCCATTTGCTGTTTATATGCTGTATATATTCTTATAACGAACTAAGGTTATAACAAATATAAAATTAGTGGCCCCTTTGAGTTCGTTTTAACTGTACTTTACTATCATGATATACTCACAGGCATATAACACAGATCTTGTGTCCTAAAGATATCCTAAAAGGATGGCCAGGCACAGTGACTTGTTTTATTCAATAATTGCATGACAGTCAATGACATGAGGTGAGGTGAAATAGGGTTTAATGCCGCGTCCAAGATTATTGCACTTATATAGCGACATGCATGCACGTGTGTGTGTGTGTGGCTGCTTGTACTAGTCCGGACTGTTGCCGATTTACAGTGCTAGCTCACTGAGATACCATGCCGCAGTTTAACATGAATACCCCACTCAGACACAGTATACTGACTCCGAGCCAACCAGTCCTTGCTTTAGCCCCTTAATGCCAAGCGCCAGACAGGGTAACAACAAGTACCATCTTTTAACGTCTTTTGGTATGACGCGGTTGGGGAATGAACCCCGGACCTTCTGCTTTCCGGGCGGATGCTCTACCATTAGACCATTGAGGCGGTTCAATGACATGAGTTATTTGTTACCATCTGAAGCACCACCATGTGGGACATAACAATAAGCTGCAACTTGTGGTGAATAATGCCTCAGTCACATTTGCTCTAGGGCTAGGATACGACGTCCATATCCCCCCGAAAATGAGAGATACCTGTAGAGGCCACAGAGGATCTGCGGTGGCCTCAGGGTCGCCCTAGGGCGTATCCCTATCTTTTACAGACCATAAGGGTCGCCATGGAATTATAGCGCGGAGTTATAACTTTTTAAATTTCTAGGTTCGCTGTAGCAATTAGACATGTAGACAATTAGACACACCGTAGCCATGCTGTAGGGGGGTTCAATGGAGGCTATATGTCAGGCCTACGGTGGCCTTGCGTCTGCCATGCTGCTGCTCTGTGTCGCAGTAATGTCAGTCTGGCCGCACGGTCGCCGTATGGTTGCGTCTGCCTTGGTATTTGTAAAAAAACTATGCCCGCCACAAGGACGCCCTAAGCCGACCGTGCGTCACCACTTAAAAGGCTGTACGGCAGCCGCAGGTTTTCTGTCTCCACAAATTCAAAATGCCCCGTGAGGCTACCCTAACATATGTGACTGGTACAGTATGTGACCGTGGGAATACTGCGGCTGCCCTGTGATTGCTGTTGGTCGTAGATATTTTAGACCCCATAGCCGCCCAGGCAAATGTCACTGAGGCATAAACAAGCACTTATTTCCTTGTGTTGGTCAGTTTATTACTGTGATTTAACTTTAAAATAGATGTATATGTTTAAACAAAGCATAAGCATACCTGTATTTGACGATGGTTTGCTGACCAGCTTTGGACGATGTCATGGCCTCTTGAAGCATGCTGTGGCTGGTCACTGAAGCATTCTCATAAAGGTACAGGGCATAGAACACTCGATAGTGCATGCTGAAACACAAAGTACAGGGCATAGAACACTCGATAGTGCATGCTGAAACACAAAGTACAGGGCATAGAACACTCGATAGTGCATGCTGAAACACAAAGTACAGGGCATAGAACACTCGATAGTGCATGCTGAAACACAGGGTACAGGGCATAGAACACTCGATAGTGCATGCTGAAACACAAGGTACAGGGCATAGACATGATAGAAGACTCGATAGTGCATGCTGAAACACAAGGTACAGGGCATAGAAGACTCGATAGTGCATGCTGAAACACAAGGTACAGGGCATAGAAGACTCGACAGTGCATGCTGAAACACAAGGTACAGGACATAGAAGACTCGATAGTGCATGCTGAAACACAAGGTACAGGACATAGAACACTCAATAATTCATGCTGAAACACAAGGTACAGGGCATAGAATACCAATAGTGCACACACTAACATTTAGTATTGAAAATCAGTATAAACCAATCAAGCCCTCCTTGTTAGCCAGTGATTGCCTACTTACCCACTCCACACATCGGCCCCGGCCAGGAGACGGAAGGTATAGAGGAAGGTCGCAATACAGTACAGACACTCTAGAACCTCCATGGACGTACACTGAGAGTGGCTGACCATCAGTGCCTCTATGATAGCCTGGACATCACCTACACTGTCCAAGATAACAACCAATGCAGTGACCACACACCAGGGGTTGGCTTCCTGCAATGTACAGACAAATATGCTTACTTTTACATGCCTATAAACAGACAATATGCTTACTTTTACATGCCTATAAATAGACAATATGCTTACTTTTACATGCCTATAAACAGACAATATGCTTACTTTTACATGCCTATAAACAGACAATATGCTTACTTTTACATGCCTATAAACAGACAATATGCTTACTTTTACAGGCCTATAAACAGACAATTATGCTTACTTTTACAGGCCTATAAACAGACAATATGCTTACTTTTACATGCCTATAAACAGACAATATGCTTACTTTTACATGCCTATAAACAGACAATATGCTTACTTTTACATGCTTATAAACAGACAATATGCTTACTTTTACATGCTTATAAACAGACAATATGCTTACTTTTACAGGCCTATAAACAGACAATTATGCTTACTTTTACAGGCCTATAAACAGACAATATGCTTACTTTTACATGCCTATAAACAGACAATATGCTTACTTTTACATGCCTATAAACAGACAATATGCTTACTTTTACATGCCTATAAACAGACAATATGCTTACTTTTACATGCCTATAAACAGACAATATGCTTACTTTTACAGGCCTATAAACAGACAATTTGCTTACTTTAACATGCCTATAAACAGACAATATGCTTACTTTTACATGCTTATAAACAGACAAATATGCTTACTTTTACATATCTATAAACAGACAATATGCTTACTTTTACATGCCTATAAACAGACAATATGCTTACTTTTACATGCCTATAAACAGACAATATGCTTACTTTTACATGCCTATAAAAATAAATGATTCATCCTGTAGAATGAGATAATGTTTGGGACTCAAATACTACAGCAAAACATGGACATAATGAACTACAAGGGACTGGAGAAATCAGTTTGTTAACTTATATATGTTGTTCATTGTATACAATTTCGCTCGGAAGTGTCTGCCATCTTGGATAAAACAATACACAATATACGTAATTGCAGCATTGACTTATATTAGAAGTGATCACTTCATAGCATTCAATTGATAACATTTAATAACATTCATTTAATAACATTAAATTCATTACATTTTTAGAACCTTGTTTATCAAATATGTATTCAGCATTTCACGATTTATATACAGAGAGATTGTAGTCGGTGATTTTGCTCTGGCTTCTGTTTGCTGACTTCATTCGTGAAACTGCATAGGTTTAATGTTCGTTTTACAGACAAGATTAGTCCAATTACATGTACGGGTAATATTAACATGAAGCAAGTTTAACAAGGTTGAATCATCACCGCTCATTGTGTTGATTTGCCGTGATTGTACTGATTCGCCGCTGAGTGCGTATAGCCAATTGTCAGTGACACTTCACAGTGAGTGAGATTTCTCAGTTCGCTAAACACGTCACTAATTAGCGGTATTTGGGCTTGTCGGGGATCAGATATCAATTCGCTATATTATATATATGTTAGTTGGCTGTAGAGAGTTTGTTATGAACGTAAATTTTATATGATAATATATAGAAGATAGATCGGGGATTTTGTAACAGTTTGTTGTATCCGTTTGTTTGCTCCATCCGTGTTCATTATATCCGTGTTCTATTGTACATACTGTGTGTACATCCTGATGCTTACCTCGTGTTCAATACATTCAGGAGTTCTTTCCCTGATGAGAGCATTGGCCCAGCCATATTTGGGATGTCCCTTGAGGCACTGGCTCATGTTGCTGGCTGTCACAGGTTTGAAGTCCTTCATGTGCCTGAAGAGTCACACAAGTGATGAGTGTATTGCAACAAAACCTGTCATCATGGTCATATGGATGTACAGAGACGAGTGTGATATATCTAACATGATTGTTATCATAATCATATTGATCATAATCTCTTTGTTTCAATCAACAAAGCATTGTTAATATGGCATTGTTTTCTGATATTTGTATACTTTATAAAAATTATAGACATAATCTCTAAATTTGTGTCTCGTGTTTGAAACCTTGAGATACACATATTTGCAATGCAAAATTGCTTTTCTTGTCTTATTACCATCCTTACCATAAGTGTCGGATTGTATATTTCAAAATTCTTAAATCATCAACATGATCAATCATAGGAAAACAATATTTCCAATCTCATCAATACAAACCGTATCAATCCTTTTAGATACATTGAAGGCAAAGTCATCTTGGAATCTGCCATTGTCCTTTTGATTTCAGTCAGAGTATTTCCATAGCCTTTTCTCAACATGTGGTATTTCTTCTTCCATGGAACAAACTACAAACATATGTATATCATTTTGATCCATGAGTCAACAAAGGTATGATACACAGTGTTTCCGCTGGCTTTTGAAATTGCCAGTCCTAGTTGACTGGCAACTCTGAAAATTACCAGTCCCAGAACTCCAGATAAGCTGCGTATCTGCCTAAAATACGCATCAGAAATGCAGAAATATGCAGTAAAATAAAACCCAAGCGTATCAAATACGCAACGAACATAACAGATACGCTACAAAAATAAAACATGTGCGTATCATCAAAATATTGTGAAGTAACCCTGCGTATTGGATTAGCAAATCAGCAACTTATTTTGAATTTATAAACGGGCATTCCATCAACCTTGCCAAACTCCACGATGACAGTTACATCATGATCATTTGCCATCACCCTTTTTTGTGGAAGTATCGTGGTATTTTTTAGTCCTATAAGGCTCTCGAACCCACACGAAACCAGTTTGCAGGGACTAGATGAATAGTGTTTTTAAATATTTAACATGTTTAACTTAAATACCCACATGTGTAAAATCTAGTGGGTAACAGAAATTTGAATACCCAGATAGAATTACTGATAGTGATACCCAATGATTTTAAAATGCATGGGTAAAATACCCACAACACCAAAAGCTTATCTGGAGCTCTGCAGTCCCCCCTAATTTTTGTCAGTCCCAACTTTCAACAAATCAAAAACTGTTTGAAAGTTACCATGGTTACCTGGAATTAATTCTTTCAACATCAGGTTTAATGCCATGACATCATATCTGAGGTACCTCAGATAGATCTTCACGTCATTCACACAAAGCTCAGTAACAATTTTCTCTTTTGTTTTGAATATTTTGTGTCTACTATGTTGTTAGAAATAAAGATTTAATTTCAAAGCAAAGTGAATGTTATTTCCTTGCACTAAAAATAGACAGGGGAAACCCTGATGAGCAGACAAGCTGACTTTGTTCAAATATATATACTTATATCATGTATATGAATATCGCCAATGTTTTGTTAAACAACAAAGATTTATGAGGTTCTTTATTTGCCGGTCCACAGGGACTGGCAGTCATATGAATTACCAGTCCAAGCCTAATTTTACCAATAAAAAACTGGTAATTACCGGTAAACGGGAACACTGGATTCAAACAAAAACTAGTTTGAATTTATCTTATGATCATGATGATGAAGCCCATTTTGTAGTATCACTTCAAAACAAACCATAATCCAGGAAAAATAATCATCAGGACTGGATAAGTTCAGGGACATACCTATGGTTATTAAATGCTTATGAACAAGATGAATTGTGATCATAGTCACCATGGTCACCTGGATGATATGCCATGATACATTGGAATCTGTCTGAAGATATTGATATTTGGCATTTTTGTTCAAACTCTCATAATTGTTAAGTCATGTTCATAATTTAGAGGGGCAGTCGGGTAGCCTAGTGATCATGGTGATTAAAGCGTTCGCTCATCATGCTAAAGCCCAGGGTTTGATTCCCGACATGGTTACAATGTGTGAAGCCCATTTCTGGTGTCCCCCGCCATGACATTTCTGGAATATTGCTAAAAGCGGCATAAAACCATACTCACTCACGCACTCATAATTTAGACATTAAACGGGTTAAACAAAAATGTTACATGGAATATGATTTGCTAAAAGAGATGATAGATCCTCAACCCAATTCTAAGCATGTTTTTGCAAATGTTATTTATTATTAATATTATGTACTTACTCTCAATTAAGATGATTAACAGCTTTATGACGTTTATTGAACATGATGAAGGTGTCCTTATTGGATTCATCATTTAACATAAGAAACATGTTAAAACTAACCATGATAGCTCAGTAATCATCATCATCAACACGTTCATTACTGATGATAATCTGATTAAATATATAGATAATAAAAGACCTGTCATGCTTAAGGTAATGTGAAGAAACTGAACAGGTCTTTTTTTTCAACCCATAACCATGATAACCATGATAATTCCTAGTACCTACTTGTACACCACAAATCATCTGATTATTTCATTTTTCCTTCCTTAAAACCATGCCTAACAGCCAGGATTTAAAAAAATATGTAAACCATGGAAAATAGAAGTGCATTCTTATCATGCCAAAAAATGCTTAAGATGACGTTTGGTTACCACCGAGTTTAACAAGTCACATACCTTTCTATCTGAGATGATATCATTCCACTGTCGACACACTCTGTTGCTGTTCAGGCACAAATCAAGAATTGGCAGTTGGCAGAAAATGTGCTCTATCAAATGATAGGGCAGAATTTCAAAATAGTTAGTGTTATTTTGTGCATTTACATCTGCAAATGCCAATCCAGAACCCTCTCCAACCAGCCCATATGTTTGTTTGTACATTGTCTCCTGTGTTTGCCTACTTGCTTTGCTACTAATATTTGAGAACGATGTGCTTGGTTTAGCATCTGTCATGGACACTGAAACACTAGACTGAGGATTACTACTAGAGTTCATTCTTCTTTTCTTTGGAAAAGGTTGTCCTGCAGTCAAATTTTTCTGACCATCAAATAGTTTTTTCACAAAAGCATTCTCCTGAAACCTATGTTTCGTGGACTGTTTCTGATTATCTGACTGCGAGGATACCGGACTGCAGCTATTGTCACTGATGTAGATGGCACCTGACATCTGTTTGATTGGAGAATACATCTTTGATGGGCTTCTGTGTGTTACGGGAACAAACTCTTCATTCTCCTCAATATTGTTGTGTAATTCCATTTTAACTTTTGCTGGTGATGTTGAATGAGTTTTTGATTTGGTGAAGAAACTAGAAATATTCTTCTGATTTGGTCCTGCACTATCCTTTGCCCGTTGCAATTTACTGTTTCTCCTTTTGTATGTACTGTTCACAGCTCCTTTTGATGACTGAAAGCCCCCAGTCTCTAACTGTGATTCTGTTAATCCAAGTAAACTTGATGCTGCTGTAAAGTTACCGCTTGGTTGACTAGAGGAGAATAAGCCTTGATATGTTTCCTGGTCTCTCCTTACCTCACTTCTGTCAGGTTGACTAGATATTAAGCTGGAAGCCTTTGCAAATCCTTACTGAAGTTGACAGGATCCTAATGATGATAGAAGAGAATTTTCTTCAACATGTTCAAAGCTACTTTTGACAAATGGGGCTTTCTCTAAAGGAGAGTGTGGTGAACATTCATGAATATTTTCATTGTGGAAGTTGCAATCACTTGGTTCTAGTTCTTTGTTGTCAAGTTTGAACCTTTTACTGTCAGTAGAGTGGTAGGCCCTTTTTGATTTCTCCCTAAATCTAGGTTGAAGGCCTCTATTTGGATCCTTATTACTTTTGGGAATTTCGAACGGTTTTGACAGAGCTTTTGATGACTGTGAGAGCGAAAGACAGTCTGAAGTTGACAGGTGGATTTTTCTTTTTCTTATGTTTGGATATGACAGTGTCTCTGTGCTGTTGCTACGACTACACTCGGCTGATGTTATCGTCTCAACAGGCTGATGATATCCGGGAACACAGTCGACTGCGTTTCTACTTTCTGTTTCATTAGGCCTTGCGGAAGAGCCTGAGGCTGAGGGTCCTTTCACGACACAGTGCTTACCAAATGCGCAGTTGTCGTCCTCCAAGTAAGGTCTACTTTCCAGTGTTTGTGTGTCGGTGTCTAATGTTCTTGAATCTTCGATGTTTTCGATCTTATTAACACTGGACACTTTAAACGTTCTGGCCTTATTTCTCTTTCGAGCCATTTTCAGCCATCTTTACTTTTGTGCTAACCCTTACAACATCTACAAATATAAACATTTGTTCTGTATTTACTAATGATTAAAATATTTTGGTACGCAAAGTTAACATGACAAATTTAGAAATACAACGTTATTAAATATCACAAGTAAGTTAAAATTATGTCACTGTTTACAACATTTCGTTTTTGCATGATAAGTGCGACATGAAGAGCAAGGGTAGATAACTCTCAATAAATGTCGCGTGTTTACAAAGCTGCACAAACCAACGATGAAAACTTTTTCAGATTTGATAACGGTGCTGACACTTATTTGTCTTACGCACATGAAAAATCGGGAGATTCGGTTCTGCACATTGCTTCAAGATATGGTCACTTGAACCTTGTTAGTTTATTTTTGGAGAAAGGGGTCAGCCCTGAAATTGTTAACTTGGATGGCAAAAGACCACTTCACGAAGCTGCCCAAAATGGACAAATCGACATTGTTAAATATTTGTTGGATTATGGCGCCATTGTTGATTGTCTTAAAAGAGCTGATTGGTAAGGAGAAACATCAGTAGTGATCTTTACCTAAATAAAGTTTGCTCAGGTCATTAGGAAATCAAAAGAAGTTAGATTGATGCAAATCATTCATTAGGTCTACCAGCTTTATTATTCTGCCTAGGCCGGTTCACTCCCAATTGTCAGACATCCCATTTGTGAGACTACCCAATCGTCAGACAGACCAGTCAAATGTGACCATTGTAACCTGCCTAGGGTGCTCACATGCTCAGTGTGGGGTAACATGTTAACATTCAACATGGTCAGTGTGGGTTAACGTGTTGACATCAACATGCTCAGGGTGGGTTAACATTCAACATGCTCAGGGTGGGTTAACATTCAACATGCTCAGGGTGGGTTAATGTGTTGACATCAACATGCTCAGGGTGGGTCAACATGTTAACATTCAACATGGTCAGGGTGGGTTAACATGTTTACATCATGCTCAGGGTGGGTTAACATTCAACATGCTCAGGGTGGGTTAATGTGTTGACATCAACATGCTCAGGGTGGGTCAACATGTTAACATTCAACATGGTCAGGGTGGGTTAACATGTTGACATCAACATGCTCAGTGGGTTGACATTGGGTCACGTCAACATGTCATTGATAAAGTTGATACAGATATATACCAACATGGCCAATAGTATACACACTAGTATACAGTACATGCATAGTGTTCAATATGTACAGAATCATCCCTTGTGCTTGAGCACTCTTCACTGCCTTCTTTACAAAATTGGGACAACATTTATATGTTGATAGTAGTGACCAATTACACAGTTTTCATTGGCAGCAAACTATGGTTGTCAAATGTTACTGGATTAAGTAAATAACAATACACAGAGTAACATGTGAGCAATATCCATTCAATGAATATATAGGATACTTGATGCAGGGTTTCTGGATGTAGATCAAATATAGACAGTAGTAGGGCTGGGACGGGTAACGCGGGTCGGGTGGGTACTGAGTAGGCCCATGATTAGGTACGTGATATATTGTTTAATGACACAATAATCTAAAACTCTATGGTTACACAATAAGTCACTAATGTTGCCATTTTTTTCTGACAATGCACCTATTCCTTCTACTTTTATACTTTTGAATAAAAATAAAACTTCATGCAGTAAACTTCCCAATCGGACAGTATGTACCTATCTCTTGATATCTACAGCGGGTACCCGGGTAGGGTCGGGTAATAGGGTAGAGGGTACCCGGGGGGTAAGTTTGGACTCCTCCCAGCCCTAGACAATAGACTTATTATTGGACAGTCCCAGGCTTGAATACCCAGCAGCATTAAGCACACACCAGAGTATTGTTTGCAACTCTGACACAACTGCAGCATCTTTGCCAATCTAACAGTTCCAGATATTCTGGATATAATTTCTTGTGTCATAGTGCATTTTGAAAAACAAATTTGCTCAGATGAGCACCAGGCTTTGACTCCCAAACAGCAGTTTGAACATTTGACAAAAGGAACTTATCAAATGGACTACCGGTAGATGTAGCCATGAGGTTCTCTTTTTTTGACAAAAAAACATATTTTTTAATATCTAATGCAGACAAAAATGGTAAACCTTGTGTATCATGATAGATAAATCGCAACCCATGTGTTGCAGTATGTATCATGTTACATGTCCCCCTCTTCCCCCCGACTAGTCTCCAGAAACCCAATATCCTATATAACAGTTGTTCATGAATGCATGCCACTTTTTTATAAAAGAAAGGTGTCATGATCATGTATACATGTTCTCCCAACTTCTAAATGCCTATTAAAGACTTCAATAGTTGTTCAGTCAAAATATATATATTGTGATGTTTATGCTATATCATGTGTATGTACATATTGTATATACTATATAGCTGAAATATTGTCATCTTTGGCAAAGATACATTTCCTTTTATGATATTAACTCCCTTTCTCTAGCCACAGACATGATTGATAGTGCACCTGTTTTTCCAGGAAACTGATTTCTCTGTACGATTAGTTCATACTGTATTGTTCAGTGGTCATACTGTGTTCATACTGTGTTCATTCTGTGTTCATACCGTAAATCTTTTCTTTTTTAATGGAAGGACCCCTCTGATGCTGGCATGCACAAAAAACGGACCTGAGGTGATCCGAGCATTGTTACAGAAGGGAGCTGATCTTGCCCTGAGGAACAAGGATGGATGGAACTCCTTCCACATTGCGGCAAGGTACCATGGGTACAGGGGTTTCAAATAACTGTTGCCTGACACCAGTACCATGGGTACAGGGGTTTCTAATAACCGTTGCCTGACACCAGTACCATGGGTATTGGGGTTTCAAATAACCGTTGCCTGACACCAGTACCATGGGTATTGGGGTTTCAAATAACCATTGCCTGACACCAGTACTATGGGTTCATTTGGTTTCAAATGGCATTGCCTGACACCAGTACCATGAGTACAGGGGTTTCAAATGGCATTGCCTGACACCAGTACCATGGGTACAGGGGTTTCAAATGGCATTGCCTGACACCAGTACCATGGGTACAGGGGTGTCAAATGGCATTGCCTGACACCAGTACCATGGGTACAGGGGTTTCAAATGGCATTGCCTGACACCAGACTCATGGGTACAGGGGTTTCAAATGGCATTGCCAGACACCAGTACCATGGGTACAGGGGTGTCAAATGTCATTGCCTGACACCAGTACCACAAGTACAGGGGTTTCAAATAGCACCAGAGATGGAGATGGTATATCATGTTTTGTGTTCTCCAGGGAAGGGAGTGTGGAGATGGTATATCATGTTTTGTGTTCTCCAGGGAAGGGAGTGTGGAGATGGTATATCATGTTTTGTGTTCTCCAGGGAAGGGAATGTGGAGATGGTATATCATGTTTTGTTTTCTCCAGGGAAGGGAGTGTGGAGATGGTATATCATGTTTTGTGTGCTCCAGGGAAGGGAGTGTGGAGATGGTATATCATGTTTTGTGTGCTCCAGGGAAGGGAGTGTGGAGATGGTATATCATGTTTTGTGTTCTCCAGGGAAGGGAATGTGGAGATGGTATATCATGTTTTGTGTTCTCCAGGGAAGGGTGTGTGGAGATGGTATATCATGTTTTGTTTTCTCCAGGGAAGGGAGTGTGGAGATGGTATATCATGTTTTGTGTTCTCCAGGGAAGGGTGTGTGGAGTTGGTATATCATGTTTTGTGTTCTCCAGGGAAGGGAGTGTGGAGATGGTATATCATGTTTTGTGTTCTCCAGGGAAGGGAGTGTGGAGATGGTATATCATGTTTTGTGTTCTCCAGGGAAGGGAGTGTGGAGATGGTATATCATGTTTTGTGTTCTCCAGGGAAGGGAGTGTTGAGATGGTATATCATGTTTTGTGTTCTCCAGGGAAGGGAGTGTTGAGATGGTATATCATGTTTTGTGTTCCCCAGGGAAGGGAGTGTTGAGATGGTATATCATGTTTTGTGTTCTCCAGGGAAGGGAGTGTTGAGATGGTATATCATGTTTTGTGTTCCCCAGGGAAGGGAGTGTTGAGATGGTATATCATGTTTTGTGTTCTCCAGGGAAGGGAGTGTTGAGATGGTATATCATGTTTTGTGTTCTCCAGGGAAGGGAGTGTGGAGATGGTATATCATGTTTTGTCTTCTCCAGGGAAGGGAGTGTGGAGATGGTATATCATGTTTTGTCTTCTCCAGGGAAGGGAATGTGGAGATGGTATATCAGGTTTTGTCTTCTCCAGGGAAGGGAGTGTGGAGATGGTATATCATCTTTTGTCTTCTCCAGGGAAGGGAGTGTGGAGATGGTATATCTTTTTTTGTGTTCTCCAGGGAAGGGAGTGTGGAGATACTTCAGCTATTGCTTCATCATGATGATCAGCTGTGGAACACTGTGAGCAAGAACGGAAGAACACCGCTTCACACAGCAGGTATAAATACAATGCTCCATGTAAGATCATTGTCACTGTTTAAAACATTTCTCTCTTGTCTGACAATGTTTAACTCTCCCATTAGTTAGTGTGAGACTGTGTTTCAGCACTTCATGGCTGCACGGATGTTGTTCGTTTCCTTGTTGGGTCATGTGACTACCCATGTGACGTGGTGGACAGCTGTGGTACAACACCATTGATGGATGCTCTTAGAGCGGGACATGTAGACACAGCACAAGTCCTTGTCGACTTACACAAGGTGGGTCACAGTACTACCCCTAGACTGTTACAAGGGGGAGACAGCAACACCCATGCATCCACGGGGAGATCAAGGTTACAGTTGGTCTTCAGCAACCCATACTTGTCATAACTAACTGATGTCATAGGATCAGGTGGTAGATCGATGCTCATGACCATGATGATGTCAGTCACTGGTTTGTCGGGTCCACACTTGATTATTTACAGATCGCCGTGATATGGCTGGAATATTGCTGACTGCCACGACAAACAACCTTGCAAGGTTTGCGTTCTTCCACTAACGCAGGTCAGGATGACAGAGGAAATTATCATTGAAGTTTGTGGAGAAAAAACTGAGATGCATATACATGATCTGCAGCTTAGAAAATCAACTTGTGTGTTAAACTTGTGTGTTAGAATACAAAACTTGTTTGTCATACCTTCAGAGTTGATCTTGTAATGGTGTGTGTGACGGTGTTGCTGGTGTACAATGATGTGTGTGACGGTGTTGCTGGTCTACAATGATGTGTGTGATGGTGTTGCTGGTGTACAATGGTGTGTGTGATGGTGTTGCTGGTGTACAATGATGTGTGTGATGGTGTTGCTGGTGTACAATGGTGTGTGTGATGGTCTTGCTGGTCTACAATGATGTGTGTGATGGTGTTGCTGGTGTACAATGATGTGTGTGATGGTGTTGCTGGTGTGTAATGATGTGTGTGACGGTGTTGCTGGTGTACAATGATGTGTGTGACGGTGTTGCTGGTGTACAATGATGTGTGTGATGGTGTTGCTGGTGTACAATGATGTGTGTGATGGTGTTGCTGGTGTACAATGATGTGTGTGACGGTGTTGCTGGTGTACAATGATGTGTGTGACGGTGTTGCTGGTGTACAATGATGTGTGTGACGGTGTTGCTGGTGTACAATGATGTGTGTGATGGTGTTGCTGGTGTGTAATGGTGTGTGTGACGGTGTTGCTGGTGTACAATGATGTGTGTGACGGTGTTGCTGGTGTACAATGATGTGTGTGATGGTGTTGCTGGTGTGTAATGGTGTGTGTGACGGTGTTGCTGGTGTACAATGATGTGTGTGACGGTGTTGCTGGTGTACAATGATGTGTGTGATGGTGTTGCTGGTGTACAATGATGTGTGTGATGGTGTTGCTGGTGTACAATGATGTGTGTGATGGTGTTGCTGGTGTACAATGATGTGTGTGATGGTGTTGCTGGTGTACAATGATGTGTGTGATGGTGTTGCTGGTGTACAATGGTGTGTGTGATGGTGTTGCTGGTGTACAATGATGTGTGTGATGGTGTTGCTGGTGTACAATGGTGTGTGTGATGGTGTTGCTGGTGTACAATGATGTGTGTGATGGTGTTGCTGGTGTACAATGGTGTGTGTGATGGTGTTGCTGGTGTACAATGATGTGTGTGACGGTGTTGCTGGTGTGTAATGGTGTGTGTGACGGTGTTGCTGGTGTACAATGATGTGTGTGATGGTGTTGCTGGTGTACAATGATGTGTGTGACGGTGTTGCTGGTGTACAATGATGTGTGTGATGGTGTTGCTGGTGTGTAATGGTGTGTGTGACGGTGTTGCTGGTGTACAATGATGTGTGTGATGGTGTTGCTGGTGTGTAATGGTGTGTGTGATGGTGTTGCTGGTGTACAATGGTGTGTGTGACGGTGTAGCTGGTGTACAATTGTGTGTGTGACGGTGTTGTTTGCTGTAGGCTGACGTGCAGAAGGAGGACAAGCTTGGGCGTCAGCCAGTGCATCTGGTGTCGGAGGCAGGGGAGCTGGAGGCCCTCGACTTTCTCCTGGACACCTTCCACCTGTCTGTAGACACCAGGACAACCAGCACTCACTGCACCCCCCTCCATGTGGCTGCCAAGGTCAGTCTCCATCACTTCCTCCCACCATAAACCCCCCTCCATGTGGCTGCCAAGGTCAGTCTTCATCACTTCCTCCCACCATTACTCCCCTCCATGTGGCTGCCAAGGTCAGCCTTCATCACTTCCTCCCCTCCATTTGGCTGCCAAGGTCAGCCTTCATCACTTCCTCCCACCATTACTCCCCTCTATTTGGCTGCCAAGGTCACCCTCCATCACTTCCTCCCACCATTACTCCCCTCCATGTGGCTGCCAAGGTCAGCCTTCATCATTTCCTCCGCTCCATGTGGCTGCCAAGGTCAGTCTTCATCACATCCTCCCACCATTACTCCCCACCATTACTCCCCTCCATGTGGCTGCCAAGGTCAGCCTTCATCACTTCCTCCCACCATTACTCCCCTCCATTTGGCTGCCAAGGTCAGTCTTCATCATTTCCTCCCCTCTGTTTGGCTGCCAAGGTCAGTCTTCATCATTTCCTCCCACCATTACTCCCCTCCATGTGGCTGCCAAGGTCAGCCTTCATCACTTCCTCCCCTCCATTTGGCTGCCAAGGTCAGTCATCATCACTTCCTCCCACCATTACTCCCCTCCATTTGGCTGCCAAGGTCAGTCTTCATCACTTCCTCCCACCATTACTCCCCTCCATGTGGCTGCCAAGGTCAGCCTTCATCACTTCCTCCCCTCTGTTTGGCTGCCAAGGTCAGTCATCATCACTTCCTCCCACCATTACTCCCCTCCATGTGGCTGCCAAGGTCAGTCTTCATCACTTCCTCCCACCATTACTCCCCTCCATGTGGCTGCCAAGGTCAGCCTTCATCACTTCCTCCCCTCTGTTTGGCTGCCAAGGTCAGTCTTCATCACTTCCTCCCACCATTACTCCCCTCCATGTGGCTGCCAAGGTCAGTCATCATCACTTCCTCCCACCATTACTCCCCTCCATGTGGCTGCCAAGGTCAGCCTTCATCACTTCCTCCCCTCTGTTTGGCTGCCAAGGTCAGTCTTCATCACTTCCTCCCACCATTACTCCCCTCCATGTGGCTGCCAAGGTCAGTCATCATCACTTCCTCCCACCATTACTCCCCTCCATGTGGCTGCCAAGGTCAGCCTTCATCACTTCCTCCCCTCTGTTTGGCTGCCAAGGTCAGTCTTCATCACTTCCTCCCACCATTACTCCCCTCCATGTGGCTGCCAAGGTCAGCCTTCATCACTTCCTCCCACCATTACTCCCCTCCATGTGGCTGCCAAGGTCAGTCATCATCACTTCCTCCCACCATTACTCCCCTCCATGTGGCTGCCAAGGTCAGTCTTCATCACTTCCTCCCACCATTACTCCCCTCCATGTGGCTGCCAAGGTCAGTCATCATCACTTCCTCCCACCATTACTCCCCTCCATGTGGCTGCCAAGGTCAGTCATCATCACTTCCTCCCACCATTACTCCCCTCCATTTGGCTGCCAAGGTCAGCCTTCATCACTTCCTCCCCTCTGTTTGGCTGCCAAGGTCAGTCATCATCACTTCCTCCCACCATTACTCCCCTCCATGTGGCTGCCAAGGTCAGCCTTCATCACTTCCTCCCACCATTACTCCCCTCCATGTGGCTGCCAAGGTCAGTCTTCATCACTTCCTCCCACCATTACTCCCCTCCATGTGGCTGCCAAGGTCAGTCTTCATCATTTCTTCCCACCATTGCCACAGCGAACTATCCCACCATTTGTAAAAAATACACACATGTTTTATTGAAACAACAATTAACACAAGAAACCACAACATTAGAATAAACATATCTTCATGACTATATTTATTTTTAATCCCATTTTCATTTGATTGCCATGGCCGCCTCCGCGGTCTAGTGGTAGAGTGTCCGCCCAGACAGCGGGAGGTCTGGGGTTCGATCACCGGCCGCGTCATACCAAAAGATGTTAAAAGATGGTACTTTTTGTTACCCTGCCTGGTGCTCGGCATTAAGAGGCTAAAACGAGGACTGGTTGGCTCGGAATCAGTATACTGCTGAGTTGGGTTTTCATGTTAAACTGTGGCAAGGTATCTCAGTGAGCTAGCACTATAAATCGGCATCAGCCCGGACAAGTACAAGCAGCCACACACACAGGTGCATGCACGTCGCTATATAAGTGTATTAATCTTGGATCTTGGACGTTAAACTCCTTTTTACCTCACCTTGAATGCCATAATAAACCAAACCCAGGAATATGTGGAGGGTTCTCTTTGGCATTACAAATTTGACACTTTTGGGCTATGTGGGTTGGCAGTTTTGCCTGTTATATGGCTCTTTGTGTATAACTGAACCACATTGTTTGGTTGGTATAAGGTAAGAGACCTTTGTACTTGCGAATACAGTCCTGACTCAATGTTATATTTGTGTGGCTTGTTGCTAATTGTATTCATATGTTCCATGTACCCCATTCTTGTTGAAAGCTGACCAGAAGAGTATGATATTTAACCTGGGATTTTGTACAATGTGTATCAGTGCTTATGTTTTCTGTCAGTGATTTCAATGACATTTGCAGGCCACCACACTGGCTGAAATATCGGTTTCTCCCAATAACAATAATTCCCGGGTTTAAGTCACTTTTCAACTTCTCTTCGCTGACCGATGTGAAGTGAAAATTGTTTTCCAACTATCTGAGTTTCTGTCTGTTTGTGTGTCCATTTAATAGAAACTGTGCCTACCTGTGCCTTGTCTGAAGAACTACAAGGTGTGTAGTTATGATATTGAGTTGATACAGGTCATGGATTTGTCTCAGAGACTAACAATCTGAGTATTTAGCTTAAAACTTTAATTCAAAACCTGTAAGACAGCATTGTAATGGGGGAAAATTGCTAACTTTGGCCATGTTGACATTGCACCTCTCTTCCTTGCAGGAGGGTCAGGATGCTATCGTGGGGCACCTTTTGAGGCGTGGCGCCGATGTCCATCTCTTGGATACATCACTAAGATCTGGTAAGAAGCAGTCTCCTTGCATCATGTTCATCTTGAACCTCCTTCATGATTCACCTGTGCACGTACCTCATGCTTGAACCTCCTGAATGATACCCCCATCCACAGGACCTCACGCTTGAATCTCCTGTAGATATCACCATCTCCAGGGCCTCATGCTGGAACCTCCTGAATGATTCACCCATCCTCACGCTTGAATCTCCTGTAGATATCACCATCTCAAGGACCTCATGCTTGAATCTCCTGTAGATATCACCATCTCCAGGACCTCATGCTTGAATCTCCTGTAGATGTCACCATCTCCAGGACCTCACGCTTGAACCTCCTGAATGATTTACCAAAACACATGATGTCATGCTTGAATCTCCTGTAGATATCACCATCTCTAGGACCTCATGCTTGAACCTCCTGAACGATTCACCCATCCACATGATGTCACGCTTGAATCTCCTGTAGATATCACCATCTCCAAGACCTCATGCTTGAACCTCCTGAACGATTCACCCATCCACAGGACCTCACGCTTGAATCTCCTGTAGATATCACCATCTCCAGGACTTCATGCTTGACCCTCCTGACTGATTCACCCATCCACATGATGTCATGCTTGAATCTCCTGTAGATATCACCATCTCTAGGACCTCATGCTTGACCCTCCTGAATGATTCCCCCATCCACAGGATGTCACGCTTGAATCTCCTGTAGATATCACCATCTCCAAGACCTCATGCTTGAACCTCCTGAACGATTCACCCATCCACAGGACCTCACGCTTGAATCTCCTGTAGATATCACCATCTCCAGGACTTCATGCTTGAACCTCCTGAATGATTCACCCATCCAGAGGACCTCACGCTTGAATCTCCTGTAGATATCACCATCTCCAGGACTTCATGCTTGACCCTCCTGAATGATTCACCCATCCACATGATGTCACGCTTGAATCTCCTGTAGATATCACCATCTCTAGGACCTCATGCTTGACCCTCCTGAATGATTCCCCCATCCACAGGATGTCACGCTTGAATCTCCTGTAGATATCACCATCTCCAGGACTTCATGCTTGACCCTCCTGAACCCTCAGAACTCAGAACTCTCATATGTTGGTCAATACAGAATAAAACGCATTCATTTCTTGTCCACAGCTCTTCACATCGCCAGTGGAGGCCAGCACGCAGGGTGTGTGGAACTGCTGCTGAAACATGGTGCTGGTGACAGTCAGGACAAGCACGGACAGACAGCCAGGCACATGGCCAGGAAAGATGGTGTAAAACAAGTCTTCAGGAAATATCTGGATCATATTACTTGAAATGTCAATAAAATGTTTTTAAATATTTTTGGGTTGTTGTAACAGTATTATTCAGGCTGTGGTTCCACCATGTCACATCATTCTATGACACCTTGGGCATTACGAAGCTTCCGACCTTCCAGTCCCCAGGCAGACACTCTATCCGCAACACCAGGAAGATGGAAGACAGACTGTGTGTCATCTTGTCTTGTTGCGGCTCATGTCCCAAGTCGCCAGCTGTGTGGATGGCCTGTATGATGGCTCTGCAATATTGCTTAGCGAGGGCTTAGGCTACCTTCACACTGTGCCTATTAGGCTCCCATTTGAGATCAAACAGCACTACGACAAGGAAAGTGAAAAAGTTGAATTACTATCCTCAGTAATCTGGAATGTCCTATCATTGTCTGAACGCAGACGTATACGTTCGTAATACCCCCATTCCTCTAGGCGAAGTTGTACTGCGCTCTACGGCTCTGAGGGAGTGCCATAGGTCTCCTCATTTTTCAGGGATCTAGGGGCACTTACGATCAGATAGCGCTCCTTTTGCGATCCAATAGCGATCTATGCGATCCGATAGCGACTTGAAGACCCTTGATCGTAACCAAACAACCCAAAATGTGGCGATCTTGCACGATCAGTTCCTCGCTCCTTTTGCGATCCAAGGCGATCAGGATGCGATCCAATGGCGCTCTATCTGCGATACGATGGCGATCACTGCGATATAAATCTCTCCACTCCGATCCGATAGCGATCTAGGCGACCTATAGAGATCCATTAGCACTCAATTGGCGCTCTATGGGATCCTATTGCGACCCGCTCGCCGAATTTGGGGTCCGATCCTATAAAAACTAGTAGCTTCTGAGGCGCTCATCAGTTCTACTCTTGGTAGCAGAAGGGTAGGTCCCAGTCTCTTTTGGCGATCGGCGGCGCTCTAGGGTGTTACGATAGCGCTCTGATTACGACCTTGGCGATCAAGTAGCGCTCCGATGGCGACCAAGTAGCGATCTGACGGCATTCTGGGCGGAGCGCCACGGATTTTATTGCAGGGAGTCGACAGGCGGCGACCTTGACGATCATGGAGATCAGTTAGAGATAAGATAGCGATTCATTAACGCTTTTGGAGATCTGCCTCCGTACGTTCAGCATTATAACGTTTCTTTAACATCCTATTGTAACATACCGTATTCGACGTAATAAGCGCCGACGGCGATATTTGCTAATATACCAGCTAGTGAACAACCCCAATTAGCACCCCTTCCGATTGATCAATGTATACAAGACTTGTATAATACGCTCCCGTGTGTGATATGCACCCTTAATTATGGGCAATTAAATTCTGGAAAAATATATCTGTCGTGTATAAACATTTCAGGCTGTCAGCATAAACCACGAAATTTACGATCTTTTAACTCTGTTTTCTTCACCAAAATAATATTCTAATAAGAGCCCTTTTTTTCTAATTTTGAGAGCGCCCTGGACGCTTACTACGTCAAATAGGTAATATTGCCACCATGGACTGTCACAGTCAATGGAGTAAGCTTGTTCCCTTGGCAGTAAAACAGATGGTGGTGGCACCCGGAGAGCAACGCATGGAAACAGAGCCTTTCACAGAACTGACGCTGCTCTATGGAATGAGCTTCCAGTGGATGTCAGAACATCCGAGAATAGCAGCAGCTACCGATCAACACGTAAGAACATCTTCTTCAAAATGGCATATGACTTGTCGCTCTTGAGGTGAAGTGAATTGGGGCCCAAGGTCATTGCACTTATATGTGTGTGTGGCTGCCTGTACTAGTCCAGACTAATGCCGTTTTTGTAGTGCTTGCCTGCTGAGATACCATGCCGCAGTATAACACGAATACCCCATTCCAACCCGTCCTTGCTTTAGCCCCTTAAAGCCGAGCGCCAGGCATTGTAACAACAAGTACCATTTTTTACGTCTTTTGGTATGACGCGACCGGGGATCGAACTCCGGACCTTGCATCTCCGGGCGGACGCTCCACCACTAGACCACAGAGGCGGTCGATCACTCCTGAGCAGGGAGTATCTGGATAAGATGCGCTATATTACTTGGTATAGTTCTGTGTGTCGTGGTGGCAAACGGTCTGTACCCCGTGGTTAGAATAGGTCCCCAGTAACCTGGCAGTAAGAGGCGACCAAACTGTTCGGGTGGCTTAGTTTATAATGGGTCTTAGATTGTCGAGTCCAGAATCGATAACTTACCATCTTCCCGATGCATATAAAAGTCCAGTTTCCACCCTTGCCGAACAAGGCAGGAATTATGGAGTTTTGTCTTGGCTGGAGTAACGAGTCTATGCATAGTCCAATCAAAATCGCGTAACGAAATCGACATCCGATTCGTCAACTGCCGTGCAGAATTCGGTCGAATGCAGGATTTGTAAAGCATGTGTAACAGCTATTTTCCAAATCCTTTCATGTTTCTAATCAAGGTTCTCACGTGATCGTCTTGACTGGGCGCCGGCATTTTTTTAAGCAAATGCAAGTGATATGAGAGTGAGTGAGGTTTTACGCCGCTTATAGCAATATTCCAGCAATATTACGGCGGGGGACACCAGAAATGGGCTTCACACATTGTACCCATGTCGGGAATCGAACCCGGGTCTTCGGCGTGACGAGCGAACGCTTTACCCACTAGGCTACCCGACCGCCCCAGTGATATGAGAGGTGGAGGGACATTGAAGGGACATAACTCGTAATATATATAGCCACTTGTAGTGCTACGATCGAGCCCAGAAATTCCAAACAAATTCGGCAAGGGTGGAAAGTGGACTTTTAATGTTTCGGGAAGAAATGATAATTTACAGGCCGCCGTCAAATATCTGGAATACATTTGACAACATGTGGTCTTCATACAGAGTTTACTGGCCATGACAGTACATTGGTGATACACATACTACGGCACATCGGACAATTTCAGGAAACAGTTATCACATCGATTATATTATATATATCACCATCTGGAATATATAGCCCACCCAAATAAGGTTTGTTAACCGTTGGAACACCAAGCTCCTCACAGCAATAGCCCGTTCGCGGAGCTCTCTATACTAGAGTGTAACGAAGGTGTGACGCGCTGGGAAGGAGCTTGTTGGAACACATTTAAGAGAGGCTATGCTCCACGTCTGCATGGAGACAATTTTCAGTCTGGGTTAAGACACTGTAATTAGCGCCATTTTGTGAACCGTAGACATTGTCTCCGGGTAAGTGAGATGGACATAAGCTGCTGGACTGCTGCTGCTGCTGCTGCTGAACAACATGAATAAAGATGGGATACCTATTTGCCCCTAGTTTTCTTTAAGTACCGACCTTGGCAAATGTGTTGCGGACACATGTGAAACACTTCTTTGTCTGTATATACACTTGATACTTGACCGATGAACAAGAAGTTTCCAAATAACCAATTCCTATGTTTTAATCCATACGATCCTCAAGTTCAGGCCTTATTACCATGATTACTAAACAACATACAAAACACGAAAAGGCAGATATTGCTCTCCGCTCATCTGCTAGGGGAGCTAACCAAGCCGTATCACTGTCTCCGTTTCGACATGTCCCCACAGGAAGAAAGGCCCTTTGATCGTGTTCTTCTGATTGCAAGTCATTAGGGATGACAAGAGGTCTGACAGAGAAGCAATGACAAAACATTCCCATAGGCGCTATTTACGTTGGATATTTTCATTTATTAGTCCTTCATATTAGTTCTCCATTTCGAAATCTTCTACCTCACTCTCAATTGAGTTATCTAGAATCCAGTCATAATATCTGGACACATGTGTATAGTAGCCATATTGGTTTTCCTGGTCGCATCCCACTCCCCAAGAAACAATCCCGACCTGGATCCAGCGACCGCCATATTCCATTACATACGGGCCACCACTGTCGCCGTGACAAGCATCACCGCGCATGCGCCGAGAGTACCCAGCGCATATCATCCCGGAAGTGAAAGATGTGTTAACACTTTTGGCACTTCTTTCACACACTGGTCGGTTGACGTATGGAATGCTAACCTCTCGTAGGAACGTTGGAGACATGCCGTATTCATACAAACTACCACAACCTGTAATCATTCCGACCCTTCCGCCACGAAGTAGTTCGTTCACAAGTAGTTCCCTCTCCAAGCAAATCGGCATAACGAGGTCACTGAACTCCACCGGCTGATCAAGTTGAAACAGCGCAACGTCGTTATCAAAGTTATGTCCCTTGAACTCAGGATGCAGTATGTAGTGTTTGAGACGACGTTGTATGCCCTGTTTGCCGTCGCAGCGCACGGTGCCGACGTAAATGTCTACGTCTTCTTTGGAGAATGGAGTGCGGTACGACTTCTCGAATTGTTCGACACAGTGGGCAGCGGTCAAGAACCACTGGGTGTTGATCAGTGAGCCCCCACAGAACGCAGCTGTCTGAAATAACAACATATTACTTTTAGAGGAAATAGGATGAGTCAGTTGGCAGCCCCAGGAAATTTTAGTCGAGTCGTTTAAACGCCACGTCATTTGTCTGATGAATATATTATATAGTTAGTTAGCGATTGCCTTAAATACACTGTGAGTGAGTATGGTTTTACGCCGCTTTTAGCAATATTCCAGCAAAACCAGAAATGAGCTTCACAATTTGTACCAATGTCGGGAATCGAACTCGGGTCATCGGCGTGACGAGCGAACGCTTTGACCACTAGGCTACCCGACCGCCCCTTAAATACACATAGAAACTGTTCATATCAGTTTGCCACACTGCACGAGCGACAACGTCTAGAACTAGACTGGATATGGCTCCCACTCCATGAATCCTCCTGTTCGTACTACATCAGGGTGGTTATTGGGAGATTTACGCCCAAACACTGACCCCATTTTTATGTTAGTTGGGTACCTGATCGTAATTTTAGTTTGCTCTTACAACACGTCTGGTGACCTATTCTGGCTGGAAAAGTGCCTCGGAGAAAGCAGCTGAAACAGCTGTGATCGTGAATGGAGTGACTCACATGTCGCTTGTCCCTGATGATCACGTGCCATGGGGATTCCCCCTCCAGGACCTCCTTCCCGCTGGCGATACGCCCCCCTCGACCTGCCTCCTTGACCACCTTGGGCCGCCCACAAGCTGAAACACAACATGTCATTCATCACTCGTCTCTTAGACCCGTGAAGATCCTGGGTAGAATAGGTCTTCAGAAACCTATGCTTGCCGTAAGAGATGACAATGCCTTTCCTAAGAGACGACTTACGGATCGAGTGGCCAGGCTCGCTGACTTGGTTGATGCATGTCATCGTATCCCAATAGCGTGGATCGATGATCATAATGTCCATCACTGAATTGTCTAGTCCAGACACCTTTATTTACAGACCGCCGTCATATAGCTGGAATATTGCTTAGAACGGCGTTAAACATCAAATAACAAACGAACACTCGTCCCTCGTGGAACTTGGATGAATTACTAATACTCATATAATTTGGGCCAAGATGAGTTTTGTCGCGTACAGACGAGAGATTGGTGAATTCATGCCAATATTTGCCCCCCCCTTTGAATGCGTGGTGGAATTTACATTTTTCATCAGCACTTCTCAATATAACTTAAATACACCCAACTGACCAGGGTGCCGTTGTACAAAACAACCTAAGGGTTACGATGACCGTAAGACTATGTTAAGGGATGGGAGTTACGACCACCTTTCACTACGACAACGAATATCCCGAATCACCTTTCGTGGCTAATCGGGTTGAAAAATATGAAAAATGCCAAGAATGGGTTAAGAAACATGTACGAATTACAAGATTCATGTACGGATCATGCACGAATGGTAAGAATCACCTACGACTAAGTTACGAATATGCCGAATGTTGTTCTTACTTAATTCTTACATGATTCGTAGTTGACTCGGGACATTCGTGGCTGTTTCGGGATGTTTTCAGGTTGAGGACAAGACAGTTTGGGAGCCACGAATCGCTAAGAATAGCCAAGAATGAAAAAGAATCGATTACGAAGCTGTTACGGAACGTTAAGAATTAATTACGAACGGATTACGATGCAGCCACGAAATTGCAATTCGGGGACCCTTCCACGAAAGTTTTTGATAAACAAATACCTTCTCGCCGATTCGAGGAACTCCCGCGAACTGTACGAATGTTTGGGAGTCAAATTAGATTCATTTAAGAACTTCAAGAAATGATTGAGATTTATCTACGAACATGAAAAATTTCGTATTCGGGGTGTTTCGGGATATTCGTGGTCGTAGTGAAATGGGGGCATAATTACGGCCACCTTAGCGCTAAAATCGCTATGTACAACGACGCCCAGAGCCCCGGTCCAAAAGCGACCTTAGCGTAAGACGATCGTAACTCATATACTCCAACAAAGACTTACGAGAGTCGTAACCCTAAATCGATTTGGGGAACGGGGCATCACTCCTCCATTTAACAACTCCACTAGGCCTGTTAAGTTTGTGACGGACAACGAACAAATATAATCCACATGGAGATTAGTCGATGAGGTCGAGTCACGGTGTGTGTCTCTATAACAGTATTTTGATGTCAACAAACCTTTCTTGTGGCCAATACCGTCGATTGTCAAAGTGGCGGATACCCTGGCCGAACAGCCGTTTGACGCACGTGCCGCGCACGTGTATTCGCCAGCGTCCGTTTCCACAATCTGATCGAGAACTAGGTAGTTGTTCACCAGGATCTGACACAGAAAACATACAGGTGAGAGATGTGACATGGGTATGAACAGCATAATAATCGAGGGAAATGGTGTAAAGGAACAACAGCGAATTCTGACAATGTGGACGCACAAACGCTCAATACGCTTAATTAAGCAGAGGAGTAGATTATCATTGATATAACTCCATATACCGTATTCGACGTAATAAGCGCCCCGCTCTAATAAGCGCCCACGGCGAGATTTGCTAATGGCTAGTGAACAATCCCAATTCAAGCACCCCTTCAGACCCCTATTCGCATATAATACGCACCGCTCCCTTCCCCTATTCGCATATAATACGCACTCGTGTGTTATATGCACCCTTTATTATTGGCAATTAAATTCTGGAAAAATATATCTGTCGAATATAAATATTTCAGGCTGTCAGCATAAACCACGAAATTTATCTTTCAACTCTGTTTTTTTCACCAAAATTATAATCTAATAAGAGACCCATATTTCTAGTTTTGAGAGCGCCCTGGGCGCTTATTACGTCGAATACGATAGTTATCTTTTGGGTACAAGTAGACCTTTTCCCGTCGCCCTTAAACCTCACCACCACCATCGGCTCGGAACGGAACGGCACATGACATGCGCAGTATGCAGCTACCGGTAGGAAGTTGGACACACCGATGCAGGATAGCGAGTTGCAGCAGTGAACTAATGGGGCAGAGACACCGTGTGACACTGCAGGAGGCTTCTTAAACTCCTACCATGACGCGTGACTTGTAATGAGGATCAACCTCTGAAGCTACAATGGTTTGTATATATGAAATATCCATCTTGCCCGTAACCTTGGACTCGTCATATGAGGCGACGTATGTGTTTGGATTCGAACAACGAACCTTCCGACAATTGGTCGGGCAACTTGTCCACATGACCAAACAGGTTAACCCTGATGAGGTTAAGATGTTACATCTGACTCTAATTAGTGCTACATTAGCATTAGCGGACCACCGCGGAACATCCTGATAGTGCCCTGTATGACGCTGTAGCATCCTGATAGAGCCCTGTGTGACGCTGTCACGTCCCGATCATACTATATGTGACGCTGTCACGTCCCGAGCATACCATATGTGACGCTGTCACGTCCCGATCATACCATATGTGACGCTGTCACGTCCCGATCATGCCATGTGTGACGCTGTCACGTCCCGGTCATACCATGTGTGACGCTGTCACGTCCCGATCATACCATGTGTGACGCTGTCACGTCCCAATCATACCATGTGTGATGCTGTCACGTCCCGATCATGTCCTGTGTGACTCTGTCACGTCCCGATCATACCATGTGTGACGCTGTCACATCCCGATCACACCATATGTGACGCTGTCACCCCCTGATCACTATAATTGTTTTAACCACAACCCATCACCCATGATGCACTCATTTCGGAAACAAACCTTCTTCCTTCTGTCAAATTTGATGATTTCTCCATTTTTCCTCCACATGGTGTGTTCCGCATCTGGTACAAAACACTGCAGTATGGCAATGCCACCCTCCTCCACCGTCATGTTCTGGGGCGCCTTCTCAACACCTAGCGGCGACACACAGACACATATATAGTCACAGATCGTGACCACATGCATTGAATTACCCAAAAATTACTGAATCATTTTCTCATGAAGTGTTTCTTAAACGATTGGAAAACGACAAGAAACCATTTTGACAAACATTTTACTTCGTCGTAGTGAACTTTCCAGATCGAAAACAAAAACCGGTGGCGTCTTCGCTCGGTCCGCCATTTTGTTACCAAAACTCGTACCGACTGTTTGATTGGCTTTCTAGAAGTTGGTGATTAATAATAACCTTTTAATCCTTAACCTTACTGTACATCTGGCTTCATTACCCGTGTGCTTCGTTACCTGTGTGCTATTTGTTATTCTTACTGTACATCTGGCTTCATTACCCGTGTGCTTCGTTACCTGTGTGCTATTTGTTATTCGTACATCTGGCTTTATTAGCCGTGTGCTACATTACCTGTGTGCTATTTGTTATTCTTACTGTACATCTGGCTTCATTAGCCGTGTGCTACATTACCTGTGTGCTATTTGTTATTCTTACTGTACATCTGGCTTCATTACCCGTGTGCTTCGTTACCTGTGTGCTATTTGTTATTCTTACTGTACATCTGGCTTCATTACCCGTGTGCTTCGTTACCTGTGTGCTATTTGTTATTCTTACTGTACATCTGGCTTCATTAGCCGTGTGCTTCGTTACCTGTGTGCTATTTGATATTCTTACTGTACATCTGGCTTCATTAGCCGTGTGCTTCGTTACCTGTGTGCTATTTGTTATTCTTACTGTACATCTGGCTTCATTACCCGTGTGCTTCGTTACCTGTGTGCTATTTGTTATTCTTACTGTGCATCTGGCTTCATTACCCGTGCGCTACATTACCTGTGTGCTATTTGTTATTCTTACTGTACATCTGGCTTCATTACCCGTGTGCTTCGTTACCTGTGTGCTATTTGTTATTCTTACTGTACATCTGGCTTCATTACCCGTGTGCTTCGTTACCTGTGTGCTATTTGATATTCTTACTGTACATCTGGCTTCATTAGCCGTGTGCTACATTACCTGTGTGCTATTTGTTATTCTTACTGTACATCTGGCTTCGTTCAGTGTGCTTCGTTACCTGTGTGCTATTTGTTATTCTTACTGTACATCTGGCTTCATTAGCCGTGTGCTTCGTTACCTGTGTGCTATTTGTTATCCTTACTGTACATCTGGCTTCATTACCCGTGTGCTACATTACCTGTGTGCTATTTGTTATCCTTACTGTACATCTGGCTTCATTACCAGTGTGCTTCGTTACCTGTGTGCTATTTGTTATTCTTACTGTACATCTGGCTTCATAACCAGTGTGCTTCGTTACCTGTGTGCTATTTGTTATTCTTACTGTACATCTGGCTTCATTACCCGTGTGCTACATTACCTGTGTGCTATTTGTTATTCGTACTGTACATCTGGCTTCATTACCCGTGTGCTTCGTTACCTGTGTGCTATTTGTTATTCTTACTGTACATCTGGCTTCATTAGCCGTGTGCTACATTACCTGTGTGCTATTTGTTATTCTTACTGTACATCTGGCTTCGTTCAGTGTGCTTCGTTACCTGTGTGCTATTTGTTATTCTTACTGTACATCTGGCTTCATTAGCCGTGTGCTTCGTTACCTGTGTGCTATTTGTTATCCTTACTGTACATCTGGCTTCATTACCCGTGTGCTACATTACCTGTGTGCTATTTGTTATCCTTACTGTACATCTGGCTTCATTACCAGTGTGCTTCGTTACCTGTGTGCTATTTGTTATTCTTACTGTACATCTGGCTTCATAACCAGTGTGCTTCGTTACCTGTGTGCTATTTGTTATTCTTACTGTACATCTGGCTTCGTTCAGTGTGCTTCGTTACCTGTGTGCTATTTGTTATTCTTACTGTACATCTGGCTTCATTACCCGTGTGCTTCGTTACCTGTGTGCTATTTGTTACTCTTACTGTACATCTGGCTTCATTAGCCGTGTGCTACATTACCTGTGTGCTATTTGTTATCCTTACTGTACATCTGGCTTCATTACCCGTGTGCTACATTACCTGTGTGCTATTTGTTATTCTTACTTTACATCTGGCTTCATTACCCGTGTGCTTCGTTACCTGTGTGCTATTTGTTATTCTTACTGTACATCTGACTTCATTACCCGTGTGCTTCGTTACCTGTGTGCTATTTGTTATTCGTACTGTACATCTGGCTTCATCCAATTATCTGTATGCTACTTGTTATCTATTACCGTTGTTGCCAATGTTAATCTGCTGCCTATCTCGACAGGTCATGCATATATACCTCTCATCACTTGGTTGTTGTAATACCAGCTTAATAACGGTGTAAGAATCTACATCGAAACGTCGCTATATGCAATAAACCAGTTGTTATCCATAAAATTGTACGTTTTCTTAAAAACCCGTTCCGTTTTTGTTTTCGGTCAGGAATCCTAATTCAACAGTTACTTTTGACAATACTCAGTTGGGTTTTGTAAGTAAATCATTAAGGAATACAATGATAAGGAGATTGTAAATATAGTTTAGGGTTTGTCGGCAATAGGAGCTGCAGAAGTGGCTGCAAATCCTACATCGGCAGACTTTCCAACGAGACGACCCAAGTCCCCCTGTAGTGATATATTGAGAAACTGATATTATCAACGATGAACACGAATCGACGATCGCAAGTCATCCATGAGATATTGAGGCGTGTTGACATATGACTTGGCATAAAGGTGTTATCTTACGCAGTCGACATGGCTCCGTTAAGCTGACCCAGGACGACATCTCGAACAGGTTGCCGCCCGACAGAGCAACGCACGTGTACTTCCCGTCCTGGTCGTCACTGACTTCCGGCACGTGCAGAACACCACCCGGATGTACCTCGATCCCCTCGGTGTGGTCGCCTTCACTGAGAATCCGGTCACGGTGCAACCTGGGTCGGAATATGGAATGCAATGATCACTATTCAGAGTCAAGTGGAGAAATTAGTCCGAGCTGGTTTCTGGACGAGACTGGATGTAACACAAAGGTGGATTTGCAGCCCTAAAACATGTCATTCTAACAATTGTCGACAATGTCTCACCTAGCCTGGAAATGTGAACAGATTAATCAATATAGTTATTTTTAAATATCAAAATCAGATATAAAAAACATGCATTTCTATATGCCCCCTCCCCGATGCATAATAAAGTGGGATATAGCTTCAAGCATGCTTGTATGTCTGTCCGTCCGCCTCTCAGTTCCCTCTTCCGGGGCAGAACTCTAACATCGTTCGCTATTCCCTCATACAGCTTTGCACTTATTGGAAACAAGCTGGACTTAGACTCGATTGGGGTTTGTTTCCGAAGTATATCTAAAAAACTGTCGTCAAATGATTTCAAAAGCAACGGACCGCCTCCATCCGTGATTCGATTCCCTGACCGCGTCATACCAAAAGAGGTTGACAGATGGTACTTTTGTGTCCCTGTCTGACATTAAGGGGATAGAAACACGACTGGTCGGCTCGGAGTCAGAATACTGTGCCTGAGTGGGATACACATGTTAAACTGCAGTAAAGTTTCTCAGTGGGCTAGCACTATAAAACCGACATTAATCCGGACAAACAAAAGTGGCTGAACAAGCGGCATTCACGTCGCTATGCATGTGAAATCCTCTTGAACGCGACGGTTTCACCCCACCACAGGAATAGAGAAAAAGCTTCAGGTAGATATATCAATCAATAACCTTTCTGTTTGTTTGTACATCAAAGCAAAATTGGTAAAATAAGGTAAAACATCTGCCGTCTTAATCAACGCGATGAAAAATCGGTTTTCGACTGATCATTTACACCTTCATAACTTAACACTGTACTTCACACCTAGGCAATGGTCCTTAACATGAGCATACATTACATCTCACAGAAGACGCCTTCTTTTATATGTCTTTAGAGGAAGCAAAAACTCCGCGCTCTTTAACAACAGTTTGTTTGTTTGTTGTTGTTTAATGACTCATGTTATATGTTATGTTCAGAGGAAGCAAGTACTGTCTACAATCTTTAAGAGGAGTTCTGCTTATATAATAATTGTTTTTTCAGTCAGGCGACATGAGGGGAACCGGGGGGGTATTTCATCAGCTGATGACTCAGTTGTTGTTTAACGCCGCAGTCAGAATATTCCAACAATGTGAAGGCGGACTGGATATAATCGAGTTTGGACCAGACAAATCCCACGCGATGACAAGCTATGAACCAAATCACCGAGGAATGCCACGCCGTCCGTCTTAGTTACCTCTTACGACAAGCAATAGATTGCTGGCGACCAATTCGACCCCAGAATCCCCTCGGGGTGTTAATACATTAAGAAAACCAATAACACTCTATCTCAAAGAGTTTGAAGTTAAATGGCCGTCGTACTGACCACATAATGCCGACATCTCCCTCCTGCACGGCACACTCCAGAAGAACGCTGCTGCCTCTCGCTATGGTGATGTTGTGGGGCACCTTCGTGAACGTCACTCTTTCCGACTCCTGCAACAACGCCAACAGGACACCCGCACTTACTCTTGGCTGCGCTTTTTTCATGTCTGGCCCACAAAATCAAGATACACTATAGGTCAAAGTACACTAAAGGTACACATGTCATACAAAATGGATCTGCCTCACTTGACCAAGTTGGTTCTTTAGATGTCGTCCTCGTTCTCCATCATCGCTGTCATAGCTGGATCACCAGATTATGTAGCATGATTTACATGCGTCCACAGCTGGATCACCAGATTATGTAGCATGATTTACATGCGTCCACAGCTGGATCACCAGATTATGTAGCATGATTTACATGCGTCCACAGCTGGATCACCAGATTATGTAGCATGATTTACATGCGTCCACAGCTGGATCACCAGATGATGTTTCATGATTTACATGCGTCCACAGCTGGATCACCAGATTATGTAGCATGATTTACATGCGTCCACAGCTGGATCACCAGACGATATTTCATGATTTACATGCGTCCACAGCTGGATCACCAGATTATGTAGCATGATTTACATGCGTCCACAGCTGGATCACCAGATGATGTTTCATGATTTACATGCGTCCACAGCTGGATCACCAGATGATGTAGCATGATTTACATGCGTCCATAGCTGGATCACCAGATGATGTAGCATGATTTACATGCGCCCACAGCTGGATCACCAGATTATGTATCATGATTTACATGCGTCCATAGTTGGATCGCCAGATGATGTATCATGATTTACATGCGTCCACAGCTGGATCACCAGATTATGTAGCATGATTTACATGCGTCCACAGCTGGATCACCAGATTATGTAGCATGATTTACATGCGTCCACAGCTGGATCACCAGATGATGTTTCATGATTTACATGCGTCCACAGCTGGATCACCAGATGATGTTTCATGATTTACATGCGTCCACAGCTGGATCACCAGATTATGTAGCATGATTTACATGCGTCCACAGCTGGATCACCAGATGATGTTTCATGATTTACATGCGTCCACAGCTGGATCACCAGATGATGTTTCATGATTTACATGCGTCCACAGCTGGATCACCAGATTATGTAGCATGATTTACATGCGTCCACAGCTGGATCACCAGATTATGTAGCATGATTTACATGCGTCCACAGCTGGATCACCAGATGATGTTTCATGATTTACATGCGTCCACAGCTGGATCACCAGATGATGTTTCATGATTTACATGCGTCCACAGCTGGATCACCAGATTATGTAGCATGATTTACATGCGTCCACAGCTGGATCACCAGACGATATTTCATGATTTACATGCGTCCACAGCTGGATCACCAGATTATGTAGCATGATTTACATGCGTCCACAGCTGGATCACCAGACGATGTTTCATGATTTACATGCGTCCACAGCTGGATCACCAGATGATGTAGCATGATTTACATGCGTCCATAGCTGGATCACCAGATGATGTAGCATGATTTACATGCGCCCACAGGTGGATCACCGGATTATGTATCATGATTTACATGCGTCCATAGTTGGATCGCCAGATGATGTATCATGATTTACATGCGTCCACAGCTGGATCACCAGATGATGAAAACACTGAATCCATCTTGTGCCAGCTATCGGACACTAAGTGTTGTAAATCGTTGTGTGAAGAGGATCACTTGTGACGTCACAAGCAAGTGGAAACACGATGACGCCATGATATCGTAGATGCCTAACAGGTTTGTGTATGAGTTCTTACAAGACAGCGACTGGCCAATCAGATATGTTTTAGCTAGTAGTGATAGAAATTCGTACGAATATTGGAATAATTATTATTGTTTTGAACTACACTGTAGAAATAGACTCCAACTGGGTAATAACCATGTTTTTTTGCCACGGTAATGACGAAACGTTTTTTTTAAAAGCACTTCACCACTAGGTTGTGTTATATGATGTGGAGAAACGTGAACATTGTTTTTATTTCTGCTCAGGAAACAGACGTTTATCTCAATGTCATGGAAATGACAAATATGTGAAATTCCCCAGAAGGTTAAATGGACAACGTCCCCTCTAGGCTGCCTTACATACCAGCATGAGCTGCGTCGTACAGAGACTTCCGGTGTACCGCGGCAAACAGTGGCACCTTGGACCTCTGCCCTGGATGTAACACGTGCCTCCGTTGTGACATGCGTAGTCCTCACATGTGACGTCATCTTCATACTCACATTCTTCGCCAGAGAAACCACGAGTACAGTCACATCTTGAAGAGACACGCATATCAGATATAAGTACATTGAATGGGATTACGCCTAGGTCTATTGTCAGTTAAAAGTTGGAATCAATAAGGATTGCTTTTTCATACATGTGAGGGCGGTCGGGTAGCCTAGTGGTTAAAGCGTTCGCTCGTCACGCCGAAGACCCGGGTTCGATTCCCGACATTGGTACAATGTGTGCAGCCCATTTCTGGTGTCCCCCGCCGTGATATTGCTGGAATATTGCTAAAAGCGGCGTAAAAATATACTCACTCACTCACTCACTCATACATGTGACGTGGGTAGGGTGTTTTCAAACACCGTTTTGCTATTTATTCCCCATTTTATTCCCCTTTATATTCATTTTTTGATATCACGGTCGGATAGCCTAACGGTTTAAGCGTTCGCTCCGAACACCCGGGTTCGAATCCCGACATGGGTACAATGTGTAAAGCCCATTTCTGGTGTCCCCCGGCGTGATATTGCTGGAATATTGCTAAAAGCGGCGTAAAAATATACTCACTCACTCACTCATACATGTGACGTGGGTAGGGTGTTTTCAAGCACCGTTTTGCTATTTATTCACCATTTTATTCCCCTTTATATTCATTTTTTGATATCACGGTCGGATAGCCTAGCGGTTTAAGCGTTCGCTCCGAACACCCGGGTTCGAATCCCGACTTGGGTACAATGTGTAAAGCCCATTTCTGGTGTCCCCCGGCGTGATATTGCTGGAATATTGATCAAAGCGGAGTCTATGTGAGAATCTATGTTGTTGATATAAGTTAAACTGACTCCACCCACCCCTTGTCTGCAACCTATAAATCGAATTTGTGACAATAATTCACTTTAAATAGTAAAACATCGCCTCATAGGATGCAGAACATCTTCTATTGCACGTGCGGGTACCCGCGTACGTTTTACAACAGACCTAATTATCGACGTGTCTACGCGTGGTTGCAGCAACATACATTCTTACCTCCATGTGTTCCCGGAAGTGTCGTTTACCCCCTCTTTAACGCAGGTTCCCCCGTTATTACACTGCAGTGGACACGGGGACTCTGTGGAGGAATACAAGCAAATACACGATGAGCAGTGTCCAATAGAGACGACTGAGTACACCATGTCGAACGTGCAGTACATTTCGAGCCGAAAAAGAACAGCACCGTTTTTGTACTATAAAAGCGATAAAACGTTTTCCGTATTCATAGACATTTCTGATTGAAGAAGTGTCGATTGTACGATTCCGACTATATTACGAGTCATCTTCCCGATGTAAGGGAGTTAACTGACTGGAAACTTGACTTATACAATCAGTTAACTCCCTTGCATCGGAAAGATGATCGGTGAGGTGAGGTGAAATGGGGTTTAACGTCGCGTCCAAGATTATTGCATTTATACAGCGACGTGCATGCACGTGTATGTATATATGTATATATATATATATATATATATGTGTGTGTGTGTGTGTGTGTGTGTGTGTGTGTGTGTGTGTGTGTGTGTGTGTGTCCTTGTACTAGTCCGGACTGATGCCGATTTATAGTGCCAGCACACTGAGATACCATGCCGCAGTTTAACATGAATACCCGACTCAGACACAGTATACTGACTCCGAGCCGACCTGTCCTTGTTTTAGCCCCTTAATGCCGAGCGCCAGACAGGGTGACAACAAGTACCATCTTTTAACGTCTTTTGGTATGACGTGGTTGGGGATCGAACCCCGGACCTTCCGTTCTCCGGGTGGACGCTCTACCACTAGGCCACGGAGGCGGTCGGGTCTCTTGGACAGTATTGTTCTGATTGGTCATTTGGATCAGGAACAGTGGCTCGTATTGAGGCAGTACTTCACTACTGACCTTCCGCTCTCCGGGCGGACGCTCTACCACTAGACCACGGAGGCGGTCCTGGGAAGATGATCACGATTGTGTGATTATGAATCACGATCACCTAAAAGAACTCACGGAAATGAAAAAAACCTGTTTTTCTCAATTTAAAAATCGACACAAAGTGTTACATAGCTGTAAATACGAAATACCAAAACAACTCGAAAAGTACTAGTCTGGATTTGCTAGTTTGATCTCAGTGAAAAATACAAAATGTACTTTACAGGAGGTAATTTGTCGGCACTTTCAACATTCAAAAATAAAACTAAGTCCAAATTGACATAGCAGAAACAGACTATAGGCATTATGCACCTGTTCTCACCTGTCGTCAAGGTGTCATAGGTCACCTTGATCTACTTACACCTGGTTATGCCCTGTTTCACAATAGTCTGTTTTATTCAAATTTATACACACTTTTACGTGTAAAAAGGCATAAAAACGTTTGATACGCTGTATTTGTGCCCCTGCCCAATTAGTACTAATTAAGTTGTTTGAATATTTACATATTTTGTATATTAACTGCATTTATTTAAGATCTGAGGTCGAAAAAACAGTTTTTTTTCATTTCCGTGAGTACTTTTTAGTGATGATACCACGTGTTCCCGAGAAGGAAAGTGTATCCTGCCCCACTAGTGGTCCCGGTCATAAGCAAATGGCAGTGCAATAACATTCCCACCACGGACAAGTAACTCCGTCTGGGGGCTCGGATGGCTCAGTCTCGTATGACGACTCATTTCGAGCAGAGTCCCTCGGACACGCCAGAAACCTATGATTGTGTGTTCGAATCCTGGTTCGCCTTGATTATGTTTACTTGTTTGTCAGCACCATACTCGTGCTTGTGGGTTTCATTAAAGTGATAAACGTCCGAGACCTGCATCACTTCGGTCTTACCTCCCACATCAAGCTGGCACGCCGTGATATATATGGAACACTGTTCAGAGCGGCGTTAAACCCAACTCACTTACTCATGACATTTCGCTTGGTTGTATGTATAAATAAGTTGTTATGACTTAACACCCGTTATATTGTATTTGAAAGGACTGTGAAAGTATTATGCTCTGTTTGTTTGTTGTTTAACGCCGCACTCAGCAATACTCCAGTTATATGACGGCGTTCTGTAAATAATCGTGTCTGGACCAGACTCCAGTGATTGATATCATGAGCATCGATAGGAGGACATGCATCAACCAAGTCAGCGAGCCTGACCACCCGATCCCGTTAGCGGCCTTTTACGACAAGCATAGTCGCCCCTTACGGCAAGCATGGGTTGCGGAAGACCTATTCTACCCCGGATCTTTACTGTACTGTGCTATATATTCATATTAGACAAATGAATGTATCGATGTGTGGACAACATGGGTGTTTACCTCTCTGTAGCGGGGACACGAAGTAGTGTGCGACGTAGCCACCGGCGTTGACGGAAGTGTCCGAGGTGAAGGTCACCGTCACCGCTGTCGTGTCGAACGTGAACACGCGCTGTCTGACACTGTCCCCACATATCACGTGATTGATAGATTCATTGACCTCTCCATATGGGGCTTGAAATAAACAGAAGGGGTCTTGTTAATCTTATGATATGTGATTTGGTGTCATTATTAATTATTGTGCAAATTCTCCAAACTCGGACATTGTGAAAATTCGGAAGCTGTTGCGTTCATACACTTTGGCAGTCATTCTATGACGGTTCTTATTGTGTTATGATTTTTTTTTATTGATGAACTAGAAATGATATGCATGAAATGTGTGATCATGGTATTTTGTAAGCCATTATATTAAGGATATCATGTAATTGCTGTTAGCTGATGATATTTTGAAGTTATGTTCTCACATCCTGTCACATTTCTATAGAAACAGTTTGCTTTTGTAAAAGGTGGGACCAACAGATAAAACCAGAATTCTAGTTTTTCGAAATGAGGATATTGTTGGACAAAAACTGGTTTTATGATAATGGAATTATAGTAACAACATATTGTTTATTTCTTGGAACATTGTTTTCTTCGAAGTTAATTATATACATTTGTGTGAATGGCCAGTGGCCTGCTTGCTAGTCAAGCACACAAGGCTATGATTACTGTTCATTATTTCTTTAAGGCAAAGTTTTATGATATAGCCGGTACACTATTTAATGGTTATATATCTCCTGTTCTTTCATCTTGGGTGTACACTATTTTGTTGTTATTGAACAGGTGTTAAACCGTTAACTTGGTGTAGTAAAGTGAGCAAATAAAGTAATAATTGGATAGACTGGTAGATTCAATATGTCCATTGCTGGTACATGTAGGGTAGATAAGTAATGGATTAGACTGTTAGGAATATCTATCATCGTTACCCACGTCAGTGTTATTTATCACTTAAAGGTTTAGATGAAATGAGTAAGCCCAAAGGGGCTTCAGATGTCGGACATATTTTGTTTGTTTGTTTGTAAATCACAACATGTGGGCAATACCAGGATGTTTAATAAAATGTATATTTTTAGACAAAGTCTAAATTAAGTTTGCTTAGTCCTGGCATGATTAAGTTAGTTTCGTCCACTTTCTTAACAATTATGCAGATATACAAAGTCCATACCACAGCCTACGCATTCGGTTTCAAATTCAATTTAGCGCTGTTAAAGCTATAGGTAAAATAGCTCTAAAGAGAAAACATAATATGTTTGTCTCCCAACTACCCAGCTGTTCTAATGAGTGAATGAGTGACGTTTTACGCCGCTTTTAGCAATATTCCAGCAATATCACGGCGGGGACACCAGAAATAGGCTTCACACATTGTACCCATGTCGGGAATCGAACCCAGGTCTTCGGCGTGACGAGCGAACGCTTTAACCACTAGCCTATCCGTCCGCCATGTTCTAATGACAAATCACAATGTGCAATATATGACGTCATATGACGTCTTTCAACAGCGCACACATATTACGACCAACAATCTGCTGTAAGGTTCACCGAACTTTCACGGGGTATATTCACGTATACATTTGACATTGTTTCCCTGAGTAGGACTGTAAAGTTTAAGCAGACGTCTAATTTCACACACCACGCATGTATTAATGGATGTTGGTAGGTATGACGACTTTAAGTATACGCCTACCTGATGATAATGTCACTGTGTCATATGTACAGTTCTCGCTCTCCTCGAGATCAAACGCGATGAATTCTATGACGATGGTGCTTGGATTAGACGCCCGGATGTAGGTCACGCACCTGCTGTTATGTGGATAAGCATCCGGGTACTTAGGACTGGTGAAATTGCCACCCTCGTCACTCAAAGTGACTGTACAAGTTTTGCCTGCTGGAATAAACAGAACGTCTCACTAGAAGATTGCCTCTAAATAGGGCTGGGACAAGTCCAAATTTACTACCCGGGTACCCACCCCACTATTCCCCGACCCTACCCGGGTACCCGCTGTAGGTCTTAAGAGATAGGTACAATTTTCCGATTTGGGATAGTTTGACCGTAGCCCTGGCCAAATGTATTTAGATACTCAGATAAAACGATCTGGTAATGCATACACTGAAGTTGACTGAATGTTTATCTCTATTCAAACTTATAAAGTCAGAAGGAATGCGTGCATAGTCAGAAAGAAATGCGGACATTAGTCACTTATAGTGCAACCGTGGAAGTTATAGATAATTCTTGCTATTAAACAATATATCTATCACGTGACTAACCACGGGTCCGGGTAGTACTGTTGGTACCCGGGTCCTACTCAGGAACCACCCGACCCGAGTACCCGAGTTACCCGTCCCAGCCCTACCTCTAAACATACAATACTTTACTTTTTTATTATTTATTATTGTAATGAAGAGTTGGAGATGGATATAGGAGAGAATGTTGTGCTTAAACAGTTTTGTATGTACCTCTTGGAAGTTCTGTGACGGTCGTAGATGCTGTTGTGGAGGCGGTAGTGGTAGCCAGGGGTACCACGTGGTAGCTGACGTTGAAGCCGTGTGTCTGTATGGCCGAGTCCGACTTAAACACGAGGTGAAGATGTCGTCCAGATGAGGTCCAGTTGCCATGAGCGGTCATACCACATAGCAACGCCAGTCTCTCAGAGTCTAGATAATTGAAATGGTGTGATGGTTATTATATAGGGTCTCAGCACTAATTTTGTTCTGCATAGTGTGATTGAGTAAAGGTGTATGCCGCCAGGAAGGAAAGGAAGACCCGATACACAATTACCGTCATCATACCTCGATAACGTAGACCAATGCTCACACTATCGACCACTTGTTACCCATCAAATACACTGATATTGGGCCAATGTTTACCACTTCGGTGAAACCCACGATAAAGGGTATGGTGCTGACAAACCTAGAAACATAATCGTGACGAACCGGGATTCAAACCCACAATCACTCTGCACAGCGAATTGCGGCGCCTTAGACAAACGGGCCACCCGTGCCCCTTGTTTACATAGAGCATACATGGAGCTAATTATATTATTAAGATGAAAGGCAACAGTTGCAGCAAGAAAAAGAATTTTAACATAAATAACATTCAAATAGGTTGTAGATTATGACCAAGTTAATGAAATGTGTTTGATTAAGTTTCATGATTATGTTAATCTTTGTAATCAACAAATCTGTATTAAATTAACAAATGTTACAGGCATCAATGCATGTATAGAAAGTATTTGTTTGATTAATGCAATATATACAATATTAACTTTTCACCCATGCGATATTCCTCAAATAATGCTGAGATAAATTATTTGAATTTTTTATTATTTTGAGATTTGTCAACACTATTTAATGGGTTTTTTCACATCCCTAAGAATTGAATCTTTATCCAATTTCAACTGACGCAGATGTAAGGATATTTGGCACAGATCAAAGGACAAAGAGTACAAGTCATTAATATGATAGAATAGTTTTATCTAATTAACTTTAAAAAATCAGACACAGAACCTGATATTACTCACAAGGAATAAAAATAATAACAAAACTGAATAATTTTGTGCCTTTACGTGACACCGATACATGACATGTCATCTTGACATAAGTATCACTCTAATTAACATTCAATGATAACTTGACATGACTTGTGTGAGTCAAATCATAGAACAAGAACACTAACTTTACTCCTATTCAGCTGTATCCAGGAATGCCTGGAAGATATTTCTACAGTGTTAATATAAGTCCAGTGAAGTACTTATTTGTCAAAAATGATATTCTCACTTTATCGAATCTGCAGTTATGTTGTTCAGATGACTGTCGGTTGTTTTTTTAGCTGACATGGAACAATGGTGATTGAAAACACAACTCACTGAGTAATTGACTTTATGGAGATACAAAGTCAACCTAAATTGCATAAAAGTCACCACCAACAACAATGAATGACAATCAGTGTGCCTACCCAGCATACCCACACAACCCATGTGCACCCGGAATCCCACCCCTTTAATACACTAGAAACGATTAGCCCAATGTTGGTACACTGTTGGACTAATGTCATGTTGCCAACATTAGACCAACATGAAAACGTCTTTCAAAAGATATATTGGACCAATATCATCTCCCAACATTGGACCAATGTTAATCGGGCATTGGGCCAATATTGATCCAATATCATTGCCTTTGCTGGGTAAGTGTTCCCAAGCAATTACGTCAAACACAAGTCGTCACGACGCAGCTGATAATTTCCTGACAACTATATACAAACAACATCAACACTTTTCGTACTAAAATGAGTCCTACTAACCTGTGTTCGGACCGTCGTGCACGGCAACGTAGTCAAAGTCGCAAGGAGACGTCTCGACGTCCAAATACAGGAGCCGAAGCTCGACAAAGCTGTGTGGTGGACCCTGGTTAACAATAACAACATAAATACACGTGCAATCTTACTTAACATCAGACAGTTTCCTGTGTGTCTTATAGGGTTCATAATAAAAACAAGTTAATTGACATTTCAACTGTTATTTTCGGATTTATTATTATTATTATTCTTAAAGTTCTTATCACACCAGAGGTGATCGGGTAGCCTAGTGGTTAAAGCGTTCGCTCGTCACGCCGAAGACCCGCGTTCGATTCCCGACATGGGTCAAATTTGTGAAGCCCATTTCTGGTGTCCCCCCGCCGTGATCTTGCTGGAATATTGTTTATCATACCAAGCCCTATACCTCTCGCCATGTGAGTCTGTTAGGGTTAATTGTTTAACCGTGGCAACTATCTTGAGAATTAAAAAAAACAAATCCCGTCATACAGTTCTAAACCTTTCTGGGTGTTTAATTACTTGGCTTATTGAATGTTTAGATGCAATGCCAACATTAAATCTCCAGTCCTTTCCAATTTCTTTGTTTGTTTATAGTTTAACGCCACTATCCACAATCGTCCAACTTTATCACGGCGGAACGTAAGTAATCGAGTCTGGACCAGACAAACCAGCTGTTGATATTGTGAGCAAGTTCCACCGTCCGCAGGATACGGAGACCCGCAATCAATCAAATCAAAAAGCATGGCCATCCAATCTTGTTACTATCTTCGCACGACAAGCATTGTTGGGGCGTATTCCAACCCCGAATCCCCACCAACCTGTATTGTGTAGTGACATAAGACGCTCGGGGGGTAGGCCAGGGGGTAGCCGGGGGAGGTGATGAACCCCTTGTCTCCGGTCAAGGTCGTGTTGCAGTAGTCTTCAGCAGCATCTACAACACCAGCCCATAATCTTCAGGTATCTCCTGCACATATCTCCTGATGAGTGGTCGGTCCTGGCTATACTTTTCCTCAAATAACCCACACACTCTGGTAACTAATAACGGCAACTGTGTGAGTATAGCGATGCCCTGCATGAATTGACATTATAGTGTGTACTAAAAAAGGACAGGACTGCAGTGTAGTGTAGTGTGGTGTGGTGTGGTGTGGTGTGGTGCGGTGCGGTGCGGTGCGGTGCGGTGCGGTGCGGTGCAGTGCAGTGCAGTGCAGTGCAGTGCAGTGTAGTGTAGTGTAGTGTCCCACTCAGCAATATTCCAACTGTAAGACGGCGGTCTGTAAACAAATTATTTGATAGGCATTTAGAAGCTGGAAGAACATGGATACTTGACACATTTCTATGGATAAGAAAGAAATAGCGTCGCTTCGCGTCCCGTCGCGTAGTGGAGTGCTGTGTAGTGGAGTGTGCCTGGTAGTGTAGTGTAGAGTAGTGTGCCTGATAGTGTAGTGTGCCTGCTAGCGTAGTGTAGTGTAGTCTAGTGCAGTGCAGTGTGGTGTGCCTGATAGTGTAGTGTAGTGTGCCTGGTAGTGTAGTGTGCCTGGTAGTGTGATGTAGTGTAGTGTAGTGTGGTGTGCCTGATAGTGTAGTGCAGCGTAGTGTGCCTGATAGTGTAGTGTAGTATGCCTGATAGTAGTTAGTGTGGTGTGCCTGATAGTGTAGCGTACTGTAGTGTGCTTGATAGTGTAGTGTAGTGTGCCTGATAGTGTAGTGCAGCGTAGTGTGCCTGATAGTGTAGTGTAGTGTGGTGTGCCTGGCACTGGAGTGTAGTGTAGTGTTCCTGATAGTGTAGTGTAGTGTAGTGTAGTGTGCCTGCCAGTGTAGTGTAGTGTACCTGGTAGTGTAGTGTAGTGTAGTGTGCCTGCCAGTGTAGTGTAGTGTAGTGTTGTGTAGTGTACCTGGTAGTGTAGTGTAGTGTAGTGTTGTGTAGTGAAGTGTAGTGTGCCTGCCAATGTAGTGCAGTGTAGTGTAGTGTAGTGTGCCTGCCAGTGTAGTGTAGTGTAGTGTAGTGTAGTGTAGTGTAGTGTAGTGTAGTGTAGTGTAGTGTAGTGTAGTGTTGTGATAGTGTAGTGTAGTATTGTGTAGTGTACCTGGTAGTGTAGTGTAGTGTAGTGTACCTGGTAGTGTAGTGTAGTGTTGTGTAGTGTACCTGGTAGTGTAGTGTAGTGTAGTGTAGTGTAGTGTAGTGTAGTGTAGTGTAGTGTAGTGTAGTGTAGTGTAGTGTAGTGTAGTGTAGTGTACATACCAGACCGGACGGGGGTGAAGTTGAGCCTGAAGCCAATCCCATCGCCTGCTGCGTCCGTCTGGAATCGGAGGGTTATGACGTCAGAAGAAGACAGGAAGGAGATATGTTCGCTCCCACAATACCTTGCTTTTCCGGATTCAGTAGCGATGTCTCCATCTTTTACTTCAAGAAAATCCCATCTGTTGAAATAATTACAAATAACTTCTGCCCTACCTTTCACATATCTTTATGAAGCAGCATTAATTGTCGAAAAACTCTTTTCCTAATTACTTTAAAGCGTTGTGTTCGGCAAGGGTGGAAACTGGACTTTTACAGTCAGTTAACTCCCTTGCCTCGGGAAGATTGTTGGCCCATTGCAATAGGTAGCCCCCATCTGTATGGCCCTTTCTGTCTGCTAAGGTGACAATCATGGCATGACTTTTGCGATGTTTTGTAAAATCCATTGCTATATGCTTTTATACCTTTATACCGATCGTGTTTAAAGTGAATAACATTTTTTATCGTTTAATGTCATTTATTACGTATCGCAAAGATCAAATTACTTTTTTTTACAAACGGTCAAGTTGGCTGAGTTTGGGTAAAACACACCATAGTTACATATTATGCATCGTTTCATTGAAAGATGGGACATTCTAAATGGTGGTATCTTCATTGTGGCCGTCAGTTAATGTAAACAGTGGTAGGTCATTTACTTGGGGGTATTTCACATTCATGCTGTGTGCTCTTTCTGGGACAATACTCTATCAAGGCACCAAGTTGTCAATAATTCAGTTTTCCATTATTTGACCAACATTGTACCTTCATTTGTTCTTTGTTAACAGCTAATTGTCTGTAGTTTGTTTGTTTGTTGTTTAACGCCACACTCAGTAATATTCCTGCTATTTGACGGCGGCCTGTAAATAATCAGTCTGGACCAGACAATCCAGTGATTGACATCACGAGCATCGATCTGCGCAGTTGGGATACAATGACATGCATCAACCTGGTTGGCGAGACTGACCACCTATTCCCGTTAGTCGCCTCTTACGACAAGAATAGTTGCCTCTTACAGCAAGCATGGGTTACTAAGACATATTCTACCCGGATCGTCACGGGTCTGTCTGTAGTAGATCCACCAGACATACTGGTATTCTATAATTACAACCGAATAAGATATTTCTCATACAGTTTGCGTACGTCATTTTATCATTTAATTTAATTTTGCAAATATTTTGCAAAAAAAGAACAATTTTAAGAAAATACTGAAGCCTTTTAGTACTTTTGTTTTTTTGTTTACTTTCCTAAAATTTCAAGATACTAAGTTGAAATTTTAAGATACTAATTTGAAATTTCAAGATACATAAGATGAAATTCCAAGATACTTATTTGAAATTTAAAGATGTTATGTTGAAATTTCAAGATGCTAAGTTGAAATTTCAAGATAATTACCTTAACATTTCAAGATAATAAGTTGAAATTTAAAGTTAATATCTTGAAATTTAAACTTAGTATCTTGAAATTTAAACTTATGTATCTTGAGGTTTCAAGTTATAATTTTAGTATCTTAAAATTTCAAGAAAAAAAAGGAAAACAAATTAAATGGCCCTAAAAGGCTTGCGTAAGAAAATGATATATTTCAGGTTTCCAGTTAAATCTTTCACTACCTACAAGCACTGTGATTGATCCTCGAGGTCAAAGTACTGTGACGTCATATTGATTCTCCACCCTGGGGCTGTTCTGATCACCCAGAGGCAGTCGAGGTCTGAGGGGTAGTACTCTGGGAAGCCGGGTGACTCTACAACGTCTGTACCCGCCATCACCGCACCCCCACAGGCGAACACTGAGTGGTACCATAAAAACCGGGTAAGTTTGTGCGTATTTGCACATTTTTTATGAAAGATGTTTGAGACAATTCTGTTAAGGTAGATGTAAGTGTTTCTTTTTTATAAGAGGAGTTCTAGTAATGAATATGGAACTCCCTCTATCATAAGCACAGTATATGCAAAGATAAAACATTAATTTGCACATGCTGGCAAGTAATCAACACACGCATGGAAAAAACAGCGAAGGTAAGTGTTGAATTTATTTCAATGATGTTTTTAAGAGAGGTTATTTGGTATCTTTTCAAATACACACAAAGCCGGAAGGACGATAAAAGTGTTTTCTTAAAAGCAAATCAAAGGTAATGAAGTAGTATCATCAGTAACATAAACGGGATTTAGGTGACCATAATTGTGAGATGGGGTTTCGCGTAGCGTCCAAGATTAGTGCACTTATATAGCGACTTGCATGCACGTGTGTGTGTGTCTGCTTATGCTAGTCCGGAGTGATGCCGATTTATAGTGCAGGTTCGCTGAGATACCACGCCGCAGTTTAACATGAATACTCCACTCAGACACAGTATACTGACTCCGCGCCGAACATTCCTCGTAGTAGCCTCTTAATGCCGAGCGCAAGACAGGGAATAAAACAAGTACCATCTTTTAAGGTCTTTTGGTATGACGCGGCCAGGGATAGACCCCCGACGCGCTAACTACAGACTTAAATTTCTTAATTTCATTGCTCGGAATTAATGATTGTACAACCCTTCATCTGTTTCCGGTCTCACAAATAAGTACATCCTCTAGAACAACGCGTATCTCACATAACTATATATCCTACTCATAAACACTTGTAACCAACTTGACATAAAGTGTACCGACGTGTGGATACTGAAAACAAAAGAATGCAATGGTTCCGTTAGTCACATATACACCCATCTCACTTACTTTCACTTGTCATTCCAGAAGATTCGCCAGTCTCAAACCACGCCCACGTTGAGCTGATCCATACCGCGAGTGTTAAAACTCTCCACGCTGTATATATAAACTGCATTTGAATGAAGAACATACACAACGGTTTTCAAAGGGAGATATATTTCTCAGACTCTGCATCAGTTAAGGCATGGATGAGGGTCCGTCTGTTGAGGGTAACACGTGTTTCCATTTCAGATATAATTGCCCGTGGACACTTGTTACAACACCCTTCACTATCGTTATTCTTGTGATGGTCACGTGTCACCACTTTGCAGGCGCTACTGACACCATTAGCGCCTGGGAGGTCGTCAAGGTCAACATGTCTAATAACTGAAAAGCGTTTTCTACAAAATGGGTTTGCTCCGAGGAGGAGACCCTTATGGAACCCTCTGTGCGTTCATGTTGGCCTAGGACAATGGTTTCACTTCCGACACCGAACACCCTACTTGAGTCGTCTGCTTATCTTTCCTGCTAATGAGTCCTGTGCCATGAAGCGCGTGAACAATGACCTATTTAATGCAGAGAAATCTGGCCATGCGGTCAACTCAGAACGAGGCAGGGACCTTGACCTGCTGGGCACCAGGCGCTCCACTTAGATCTGCGTTATGTTATAAGTATGTGTTTAATACCGTTAACGTAACCAGTTCTGTAGGGCAAACTATAGATCAAACCCTGTATTCTTTGATGAATGTTTCTTTTACGAATGCACGTCAGAGAGCACCTACTCTAGAAAGGTAACCATCAGCCCGGCATGTTGGACCTTGTCATCAAACAACCTGACCAAATTCTTTATTCTCATTTTCGAAATGAAGTGAAGTACCATAAATGATTAACCTTAAGGTCTGAGACACTGGTAAGAACAGCCCTGCTCAAGTACAAAATTATAGTATTCTACCATGCCCATGCACTGTACATAGCTCCCTAACTTACAGCCACCATGAAGATTCCGGGGTAGAATTGGTCTTAAGCATCCCATGCTTGTCGTAAGAGGCGACAAACGGGTTCGGGTGGTCAGGCTCACTGACTTGGTTGATGCATGTCATCGCATCCCAATTGCGTAGATCGATGCTCATGATGTCAATCACTTCATTGTCTGGTCCAGTTTCGATTATTTACAGACGGCCGTCATATAGTTGTTTAACGCCGCACTCAGCAGTATTCAAGCTATATGTCGGCGGTCTGTAAGTAGTCGAGTCTGGACCAGACAATCCAGTGATTGATATCATGAGCATCAATCCACGCAGTTGGGATACGATGACATGCATCAACCAAGTCAGCGAACCTGACCACCGTTACATTTACTTAAGACATATAACAAGTTATCATATTTCAACTATCAACAATACAGTTATGTTCATACAAAATGTTGTTCTCCATTCACATACAAGAATTGTCGCCTGGACAACCAAACTGTACTGAAATCAGTCAATCAAATGAAGAAAACCCGACTCGCTAAGCCATTGAATTACTCGGACCCTACAAAGCATTTTGTTGCTATTTTAGCGGGCACCATAAAACCATGCGCTCTATCATTTGTTTAGCCAACGATAGCATGTCTGTCCGCCGTGAGCACCAGAGAGGCGTGCTTCCGTTGAATTAATATAGACTATGAAAACGGAAATACTGGTTGATATGTAACAGCGACAAATACTCTTGACGCATGCTTACAGCGTGTTGTATTGAATGTAGACAGTTTAATGCCTGGTTGTGTTCACCAAACAAGACTTTTAGTACTATTCAGTTCTACATGAGCCCGCATTCTCTGGTACCAGATAACCTACAGTGTACAATGGTGGATGTTTATGATTTTGTTTGTGGCCATCTACTTTCTCCGACTAAAGGGATATATGTTACGATGAGAAAACTCTCGAGCGTAGGTTGTCAGTAGTAGTTGTCCATGTACTATATCACTAAATCTTTATGTCCTGTAAATAGGGTTTTCGATTACATGGGGCGAAAACAGGGGTCAGAGGCAACAGCATAAATACATTATTTAAGTAGCAAATCGACATACATGTGACATGTTTACTGTATTCAAAGTGGAAGATTTATTGACTCTTGCGTCTTAACTGATTATATTTGTTTAGTCTTTACAATGATTTTTGTTTAAATAAAATAATAATTTTTCTTCTTCTCCTTCACTTTATTTAGTATTTCTAGGCCACAGGCCTCTTTGTACAATCGGAATACAATTGAAGTGCAAACAGTATCAAATATTACACATTTCTTTGCTTTTTTAAAAAACAAAAGCAGTTTTAACATAATTGCATAATATTATCAAAGTTGTAGTATTTCTGTTCTTACAGCTCTGGCGCAAATCAAGTATTTTGCTGTATATTTATAGTGGGTGAGTGAGTATGGTTTTACGCCGCTTTTATCAGTATTTCAGCAATATCACGGCGGGGAACACCAGAAATGGGCTTCACACATTGTACCCTACCAAAGTCGGGAATCTAATCCGCGTCTTCGGCGTGACGAGCGAACGCTTTAACCACTAGGCTACCCGACCGCCCGTCATATTGATAATAGGGTCTTACGGTGACAGCAGTTTATTAAACTCAAGAATATTTGGATGTAAAGATGTAAAGATGTACAAATTATAATAAATTAATAATTTAATAATTCATATGCCGCACTGACAGGGCTACAGATGCCGCATTGACAGGGCTACAGATGCCGCATTGACAGGGCTACAGATGCCGCATTGACAGGGCTACAGATGTCGCCTTGACAGGGCTACAGATGCCGCATTGACAGGGCTACAGATGCCGCATTGACAGGGTTCAGATGCAGCCTTGAGAGGGCTACAGATGCCGCATTGACAGGGCTACAGATGCCGCATTGACAGGGTTACAGATGCCACATTGACAGAGCTAATTAATACCTTCCTGATAGGACTACAGAAGCCGCCTTGACAGGGCTACCGATGCCACGTTGCATAGGTACAGATGCCGCGTTGACATAGGTACAGATGCCGCATTGACAAGGCTACAGATGTCGCCTTGACAGGGCTACAGATGCCGCATTGACAGGGCTACAGATGCCGCATTGACAGGGTTCAGATGCAGCCTTGAGAGGGCTACAGATGCCGCATTGACAGGGCTACAGATGCCGCATTGACAGGGTTACAGATGCCACATTGACAGAGCTAATTAATACCTTCCTGATAGGACTACAGAAGCCGCCTTGACAGGGCTACCGATGCCACGTTGCATAGGTACAGATGCCGCGTTGACATAGGTACAGATGCCGCATTGACAAGGCTACAGATGCTGCATTGACAGGGCTTTATATGCAGGCTCTGATATTGAACTGTCGCAGCAGATGACGTTACCGTGATAATACGTATGTAGCGTTTTCCTGTGTGGTGGTGAGAGGAGGTGTCAGTCACTCTTGCGCCCAGTTGGCCTGAATCATTCTGTCATTCGGCTACAGCTAAAGCTCCTTGCGACGTGATCATTCGTTGCTCCTTGATGTATCATACTAAGAGTTTGGGTGTGAATGAACAGTATATCGTTTCTTTAATACCCATATCTTTGTAGATTGGCATGCTGTAAGTGCAGCCCAAGTTTCACTTCACACACAAGTTTCACTGTTCTGGGTGCTGTAGCACGTTCGTTACTCAACTTGTTTTGGTTGTGTTTGGGCGATTGATTCTCAACCATTTTGTGACACTGTTCGGAGTTTGGACCAAGCGTGTCCAAATTTTTGTGTTGGTAGCGTCTCTTCATCAGTTTACATCAAAAGTACTATTATTTATGTCCACCATCCACAACAGCAGGAATTACATCTTGCCAGCAGTTGTGAGTACAAACATGTCAAGCTTATCAGTTTCCTGTCAAATTGCAGGGAAATGCACACTGGGCTTTTGCTACACATGGTGTTGTAACAAAATGGCCTTTTATCATATAAAATGAATTACCATACTGCTATTTTCATTGTTCAGTTTCAAAATCACGTACACCTGTACTGTTTTAGTAAACAGTGAGGACATTTTTACATTCTTTCCATATGTTGAATTTGAAATGTGACATAAAAACATTTCAGCTCTCTTTTATGAAGCAAAAAAATTCTGTCGTTGAAAAACCTGCTCTTACCTCTCATTAACATTACCAAAACACTGCAAGCTTCCCTGAATATGCGCATTAATATATATTACGTCAGAAGGTCAGCGATTTGTCAGTCAGACAGTGACATCAGTCAACATAGTTCCACTCTAGTTTCTAGAAACCTGTTTCTGAGACGGTGGTGTTACTAAATACAGTTTGTTTGTTGTTCAACGCCGTTCTCAGCAATATTGCAGCTATATGACGTCGTTCTAGAAATAATGTCCTGGACCAGACAATCCAGTGATTAGCATCATGAGCATCGATCTACGCATTTGGGATACGATGACATGCATCAACCAAGTCAGCGAGTGTTGCCAACCGATCCCGTTAGTCGCCTCTTACGACAAGCACAGTCGCCTCTTACGACAGGCATGGGTGACCTAAAATGATAATTACATACACATATTGTTTCTACCATCTTCTATATCTCCAGAGCTAGCATTTCGGTAAACCTACACTTACTCCTGGATCTTTTCCCGTGGTTTTTGCGAGCCCAAATAGTCCATCTTTAATTTTCATTAACATTTCACCGACCAATCAAACGTCGACATGAATGAAAGGTAAAGGATCGATGTAGCTCGTTTTGCCCAGAAGCCAAAGCTACCGCCAGTTGTAATGGGCATAAAGACATCCTTTCCTTCTAAAAGATTTTTTAGGTATTTCTTTTGCTTGTCAGTCAGTTTTTCAATGATGAATTTCTCGCAAACTCGATCATAGACAATGTGACTGGCCACCATGTTTTTAATATTGCCAACCCAACATTGAGGCTCACATTCTGATTGGTCCGTTATTGAGACTCACATTCTGGTTGGTCCGTTAGACCTAGTAGCACAGCCAATCAAATTGGCAAATGGAAAGGGCGGGTAATTTGAGATTGCGAGAACCACAGGAAAAGATCCAGGGGTAAGTGTAGGTTTATCGAAATGCTTGCTCTGCAGATAGAGAGGATGTGTTTCTACTTGCCTTTCGCGGCAATCCTAAAATAACTGTCCTTTATGAAAGGGAAGCTACTCTAACCCTAGTCTACGAGACGTGACGTTTGTTCTGCTTGTTCGGTCATAACGTTACGAAGTGCACGTTACGCACAGCGACGAAATGCAAAAAGGTTACAATTCGGACATATTTAGACCAAACCCAACTGTTTTAAATGGAGGTAAAGACCCAATTGGGAGAGGTCTATAAGCACAGATATCGGAACTGATCTCGCTAGGCTAGAGTCGTCGCTAAATGTTTTCGCAATGTATGTCTCCAAGGTCGCCCAAACTTGTAAAATGCCTAGCTATCCGTCCCAGTTAGACACTGATTTTTAGTATCTTTGACTATTTTATTGATAATGATAACACTGATCCTATTTTGTCTCCAGATTCCCGATGGTAAGTTCTGACACGATCCCCGATTGACAAGGGCGACGCCATGTTTGTTTGGAAACACTGAATGTAGTACCAACCTGACCTTTCATATTTGCATCTTTATCCGGATATGACCCCAACGGATGCCGTTTTTAGCCGTTGGCCTTACCCTGCCGAGAAACTTACCCATTATATGATAAACCAGATTATTCTCTTATTACCCAAGATCTATGGACTACAGCGACACTTAATCTATATTTTATTCTGCATACAGCACAGCTATATATACTGACATGGTGGTCAAGGCAGTGTCCGTCATTCATTTTCTGTTTCTATCAAGCAACACGTGCTGTAGATATCAGTTACTGAAAGTGTGACGGAAGGTGAGATACAGATCTATCTCGTTAAGACGACACACATACCGTGCACCCAAATGACAAGAAAGTAGGGACGATACCACGTGAAACACCATTGCTGAAATAGCGACGTAGGGACGTTTACTTAGGAATTATGGTAACTGGCTTCCGTTGCGAGAAGCGGCCAGTTCACGAAGCTGTCTTAACTCTAATATTGGTGTATAGGCGTCGTAGCGACACTTACCTAAGTCTATTCTCACAGCTGTCTTAGCGCTAAGTTATCTTGACTTTACGACAAAAAATACGACATTGTCGGACCTGTCTTAAGGGTTCACGACAGGTACAATGTTGGTGCATGGCGGCCAAAAGACGGCATGTTGAAGAAAACGATTCGATGGTATAAGTCTAATGTATCATTTCTGACCACAAAATCCAGTGTTTTCCACTTGCAGTTTAAAGAAACGAACAACATATCCCATCAAACACCGCTGTAACATTGTATTTGCCGATTATGGCTTAAGCCCGACTGCGAGTCGAAAACAGATGATTGCTAAACAGTCACCCCATACAAAATGTTACGTGGAAAAACACATGTACCTTTTTCGTTAATTATTATGGAACACCAACAGCATATGTGCATACGATCGCAAAAACCTTGACCTTTTCTTGCCATGGCCAGTTAATGTTTGTAGAGAGTAAGAGTGGTTTCCCTCTCACTACAAGTTTTTTGTTTGTTTGTTTTTTTGTTGGTTTTGCTTGTTTAACGCCGCTATCAGCAATATTCCAGCTATATGATGGCGGTCTGTAAATAATCGGGTCTGGACCAAACAATCCAGTGATTGATGTCATGAGAATCGATCCACGCAATTGGGATACGACGACATGCATCAACCAATTCAGCGAGCATGACCACCTGATCCCGTTACTCGCTTCTTACGACAAGCATGAGTTGCTGAAGACCTATTCTACCCCGGATCTTACGGTCCTGGCTACAGGTACAAGGTATGAGATATATAGCGTCTAATGGACACTGGCTGGCATGATTATTGATTGATCATGATTAATCATTTAATCCCTGAATGAATATTCCATTACAAATGATTAAGGAAAACGATTCAAGTTTATTCTTCAGTGTTACGATAAAAATACTTAAGATTTATAAGGTCGGTTTACAATCTTGGTAGGGTGATTCACAAAACATTACTTCCAAAGTTATCGAGTTTGCTCTCAGGGAGCGTTGCATATACCACGTCGGGAGATCCTGGATGTGTGTATGAATGTTTCATTGTTGTGTGTTCAGAACTTCCTTTTCACATCTGGCTAAAGCATGTTTGTTCCATGTGTTTGATGCAATCTCTCCTTTTGACGTATGGCCATACCGATAGGATGCACGTATTTATTATCCAGGGCCCCGTTCCACAAAGCCACCTTAGCGCTAAGGTGATCGTAACTCCCATACTTTAACACTGGCTTACGCTAGTCGTAGCGCTAAGATCGCTTTGTGGAACGGGGCCCTGGTCGATAGTTTCCATTTTGCAAGATGTCAGATCCTACGTACAGACAGTTTACAGGAGATATATTAATTTTAATGGATATCTCAAGGCAATCCTGAACATATAACAATGAAACATGTACCATCTTCCCGAGGCAAGGGAATTAACTGACTATAAGAGTCCAGTTTCCACCCTTGCCGAACTAGGCTGGAATTTGAAGTAAATGTTATATTTTGACTGGACTAACGAGTCTATGCGTAACGAAATCCTAAACTAAATTCCTAAACTTTGTTCAGATTTCGGTCGATTGCTGGATTTGCAAAGCAGGTGTACCGTCAAATCGGCGCCAACAGATATTTTCCAAATCTTTTCATGTTTTTAATCAAGGTGCTTTTTCGCAATATAGGTGTGTAGATTCAGATTAGTTCACTTGTTGTTTGAGTTGTACATTGTCGTTACTTTAGTTAAGCAGTGCAGAGTTATCGTCCTAGCTTTGTTTACAAATTATTTAGGTTGCAGGTGTTTGTTTTTAAGCCGAATGAAAAGAGCGTCGTAAAATGTGAGACCCCGTATATATCGCAATAATACGACGAACTTGCGCTTGTTGTACTGACACTATGGCGGCCTGGAGTTGCACACAGATCAGCTGCTCATCACCATGCAGTGCAGCCACATCGACACCAATGCGCATGCAATGGGAATATCAAGCACAGAACGATTGATTCAGAAGGAAATATAGGAAACCCGGAAAGACGAAAAATGCTGAGTGTGCGAAAACTGAAACCGTACATAACAACGCCGTACAGAGAATGAATCCCTCTCCTTTTTTCACCTTTTCTCCATGACGTGTTGCCATTCAATGTAATGATGCTACTATTGATGGAGAACAGTTAAATATATCCCTAAAATGTTTTGCCCCGTTATGTGCTGATGACACTATGAAGACACTATATAGCCTCTACCAAACTAGAATTACAATAGAAATTGGATGTTATTAGCACATATTGTGATAGATAGAAGCTTAAAATAAATATGTAAAATTCTAATATTCAATGGAAGTAAGAAAGAATTTGAAAACACGTTTATCCTACAAAACATCAATCTTCAGAATGTTGAGTATTAATATAGTGTAGAAATATTCCACACGAAATGTACTTTCACACCCACAAAAAAAACAATATGTAAAAAAGGCCTTAGAGCTATGAACTACTCGTATCAAAAGCAAGATCGTACAACTTATCTATAAGTACCCAACTATGTGATGCCATTGTACCTCATAATTTAACATACGATTCAGAAATTTCGGGCTTTGAAAACTTAAGAATGACTGAAAATGTTCACCTGACTTTCATAAGAAAAAATATTTCGTGTAAAGAAAAGCACACACCTATATATGGTGTATGGTGAAAGAGTAAGGAAATCCTTATATGAAGATGTGTAGTCTAAAATGATCACTCACTGGGCAAAACGTTTAACTAGAAACCAACAAAACTCTCCTGTCTCATATACACAGTTCTAATAGTTTTTTTGTGTGAAAAGTATTAATGATAAGGAGAAAATACGAGGCTCAATTGTATTCAAACTATTCTCTTCCAGACAGGTAACAACTACATCTGGACTTTAGGACATCATACAATGAAAAAAACCCAAATTACCTGAAATTGAAAGCAAAACATTGTCTTGAAAACCAATATGTTCAAAAATAATGATTTGACATAGACTCCTAATCTAAGGGAAAATTCTATACGATAATCAAGGAAAATATCCAAAATAAATCTTATTTACAAAATCTACCCAATAAATATATTTTTACTACATACAATATAATTCAGACTTTCAAACCACCGAGTACCAGTTGAGCTTGGTCGGTGGAACCATATGCCTGTTAGAGAGAAACTGTTTCTTATGCCAATCTTATGATATTGGAGACGAGTATCACCATTTTGTTTGCGAATACTTTGGAGGTATAAGAAAAAAGGTATTGCAATTTACACTGTCTGAAGAGGCCTTCTATGTTCCATCTGATAAAATTATATAAAAATAAAAATACTATTATATTAAACAAACATTCTAAATCTTGCTGTAAAATAATAAATAAGTGTAAGTAATATGTAATTTGTCGCCATGTATTTGTATATTGATCTCTGATAACGACCTGATTATGCTAAGCTGTGTGGCCATGGGTGAATTAAGTTCTGTTCTGTTCTGACATATTTGCGACGTTCCCCATCTGCGATGTGGCGTACGCAAATAGGTGCATTACTACTTATTTCCGTTTTCAAATTTTCATTTTTCTTCATCATCACCCTTTTGAATTCTTTTTATCTCCAACGCTTGCCACATCTATCTATAAAGACATCAGCTTTAGGATAAGATCCTTCATTGATCAAATGTACATAACAATAACAAGCAGCATTAACCACAACATCACAATTTATCGTCAATAGTGGTTTAATTGTTTACCTTTAAAACTTATATAACATTTAATAAAAAAATGAAATGAAATTTCGATCTAGGGACTTCCATGAATAATTGATGACGTCATTGGTAAACCTCTAGCTTATTTTCCCTCCGTCACAAAAGAGCTCACTGTCATAGCTAACATTTGTGTCGTAAGTAAATAACGTTGAGATAGGTTTAAGACAACTTCAAGAATAGCTCTTATGGCAGGCGTAATTTTCTCGTAAGACGCTAAGATTTGTCTTAGCTAAGACAGTTTCGTGAATGGGTATGCTAGTCACCTGGGTGGCAGTGTGCCGATCAACACAAGTCGAAATTTCAACATGATTCATTAAGTGACAGTAATTTTATTCCATTCAAAAATCAAAGCGAAAACGTTCTTTCACGGAGTTGATGGTGGCTTGGGTACTGTGTCAGATCTGGAAGAAGGGATTCAAACTGATCTTTCCTATCACGAGTGAACGCACTACCAATGTAGCTATACTTCCATCCAACACGCCATAGGCTACACAAACTTTCAGACAGCCGGAATCGACATACTAATAGGCATAACGTTTTGCACAAGACAATGGGGTCAGCCGTTTCCGGTGGTCGAAAGGGGGAGACCACTCCCGTTTGTCCATCCAAGTCCAGCTACAGGTTGTGTTTAAGCGAAGATGCTGAATGTGCCCTCTCTGTACATCGCTCCTTCATCATGTTGAGTAGGTTTTTCATTGTGAACCGACCAGCCGTTATAGGGCCGTGGCTTGTCAATGCTTCGTGGTTTATCTGCAAATAGACTCTGATCATAAAAATACACGCCACTACAATACACATTATAAAACTCACGAGCAGAGTATCGGAAATCAGGGTCATTAGCAAAATACAGTAAACTACGGTTATAACGAACTCAAAGGGACGACTAATTTTAGTTCGTTATAACCGTAATTTGTTATAAGCATATATACAGTATAACTACAGCAAATAGTCGGGACTAAAAAGTTAGTTCGTTATATCCGTTAGTTCGTTATAAGCGTGTTCGTTATAACCGTAGTTTACTGTAAACAATACGAGCCGTTTACCACACGCTTAATTCTGCCGATGACACCAGGTGTACGTGAAATGTCGGTGTAAGTCTATTGGCCCTTGGAAGTAATTAAACTTATACCAATTGTCTCAATATAATGATTTTATGACATTGCAAGAACAACCCAGTTGCCTTATGTCTATCCCTGTTATTATTCCTTACGTATTTGTTTGACTATCACCAAATTCCAATGCCCAAAACATATATATGTAGTATCTATTACTGAATATATGACCGCGGCCCTGTGAAAAACGGAACATAAAACCAAATTCACTCACTTATTCATTTTTTAATGGCCGCTCATTAAATTTTATGCAAAAAATATCTTCTGATTTTATATCTTTAAGATATTTTTAAAAGAATTTTTTTCCAGTTAATCAACATGGCTGGGATGCCCATCGTACCTTGTGCGGGGGAAACTGTGATAGGCCGCTTGTCTCTTCTCCCACGACGACAAGGAAGTCTGTGTTTACACCACACCACGACAACGACAACGACGACGGCTATCAACACAACAGCAGCCAGCACACTGAGAACTACTACAGCTACACTGCAAAATAGAAAGTATATAATGTAATGTTTTTGTAGAAATTATGATATAGAATACATTCGATTTTTGTAATCTCGAATGTGACAACAAACTCAAGGTTAATACGCGGTCTATATGTTATGATAAATCTCAACCCCTTATATCAGAGTTATCGACCCCTTATATCAAAGTTATCGACCCCTTATATCAGTTATCGACCCCTTATATCAGAGTTATCGCCCCTTATAACAGAGTCATCGCCCCCTTATGGCAAAGTTATCGCCCCCTTATATCAGAGTTATCGACCCCTTACGTCAGAGTTATCGACCCCTTATATCAGAGTTAACGACCCCTTATATCAGTTATCGACCCCTTATTACAGAGTTATCGCCCCTTATATCAGAGTTATCGCCCCTTTATCAGAGTTATCGACCCCTTATATCAGAGTTATCGACCCCTTATATCAGAGTTATCGCCCCTTATATCAGAGTTATCGCCCCTTATATCAGAGTTATCGACCCCTTATATCAGAGTTATCGACCCCTCATATCAGAGTTATCGACCCCCTCATATCAGATTTAATGCACGGTCTAAACTTTGTGTTACACGATCATGCCGATCCCTTATATCAAAGTTTATAAACGGATATTACACTTGTTTATACACTTACATTTGTTACATTTGTTGTCAGTGTTACATGGCCGGTTACATTTCACAAACAGTTTCACATTTGTACTTTTGTTCTGTAAGTGATCGGGTGACATTTATCCCGATTTCAGCACTAAAAAGCAGCCATATTATACTCTACTATTCAGTTTAACACATTGTATCGATACGTATGTCGGGCTTAACCCTGGACGGATGTTCAGCAATAAGTTACACAGAAAGTTCTTGTCCGCCCCGTGCATTGGAAGTATGTCATCACAATCGAATAGAGACCACAGCGTTCTCTATATGTATGGATCGTCACGATATTGCTGAAATATTGCAGATGTGACGTAAAGCACTCACTCACTCTATATGTATGGCCGTATTACTGTACCTGCTGTCCTCGTCAGTGTTGGTGCAGCAAGTGTTGTCACAGCAGTCGGACTCGCAGTAGATCACACTGACGCTGCCAGCGTTGCTGAAGGTGCATGGTTGACCTCCTTCAGCCGGTACTGATGACACAAGGCAGTGGTGAGTGATATGCACCACCTTAGCACACTGCTTTAGAACACATTCGTTTCAGTGTCTGCATATTGTGTGGTTATTATTTAGCCAAAACTACTTTTAAAATTAACTTCGTACGTATATCACGTGAACAGTACGGATTCGGCCTAAGTTCATACGTATATCACGTGAACAATGCAGTTCTATCCTAACCATATACGTATATCACGTGAACAATTCGCTTGTATCCTAACTACATACGTATATAATGTGAATAATACGGCTTCACCCTAACGTCATACGTATATCACGTACGTATATAACGTAAATAATACGGCTTCACCCTAACGTCATACGTATATAACGTGATTAATATGGTTGAATGCTAATTCGATACGTATATAAGGTGAACAATACTTAACCCTAACGTCCTACGTATATAACGTGGACAATATGGTTGTATGCTAATTTCATACGTATATCACGTGAACAATACGGCTTCACCCTAACGTCATACATATATAACGTGATTAATATGGTTGAATGCTAATTCGATACGTATATAAGGTGAACAATACTTAACCCTAACGTCCTACGTATATAACGTGAACAATATGGTTGTATGCTAATTTCATACGTATATCACGTGAACAATACAGCTTCAGCCTAACGTCATACGTATATAACGTGAACAAGACGGCTTCACCCTAACGTCATACGTATATAACGTGATTAATATGGTTGAATGCTAATTCGATACGTATATAAGGTGAACAATACTTAACCCTAACGTCCTACGTATATAACGTGAACAATATGGTTGTATGCTAATTTAATAACGTATAGCACGTGAACAATACGGCTTCACCCTAACGTCATACGTATATCACGTACGCCTATCACGTGAACAATACGCTTGTATCCTAACCATATACGTATATCACGTGAACAATGCACACCTATCCTCACTTCGTACAATAAGGCGATTCGCTAATTTCCTCTTTTACATTTCTGAAGTTACCGAATATTACATGGCTATTACTAAAATATACACCTAGGAACTGGTTGATGCCGCGGTTGTCGGCGTGGCCTTGTGGTTAAAGTCCGTTGAAGGCCCAGGTTCGATTCCCCTTATGGGTGTAACGTCTAGCATTTCTATCTTCGGGTAGACTGATTGAGTTTGGTTCAACGCCGCTCTTGACATGATTGTTCAGTTATATCACAGTATGTCAATCGAAGTGATTTGAGAGGTGTACCACTCCAGCGAGATCCTGGAGCACGGCTATGGTGGTGAAAAACCTAGAAATATAATTAGGGTGAACCTTTTTTTCGAGCTCGCGATCATAGGTTTCCGGCGTGCCCAACGGACATCTAAGGTACGCAAAACATAACCGATTGGATCTGCACTTTGTAAACACTTCTCAATGTACACCCGGTTACACGAGTAACTTAAAACAGTAAAATAACACGGCACATACCTACGTGTAGGAGTAAACTCCAAATTTGAACATTGAGAACACACGACAGTAGATGCAACATCTCGTAGGTCCAAGCAATGTATTTACCCATGGTCTGCTCTCAGCTGACGATAACGTCACAGGTATGTTCCTCGAAACAAACTCTACGGTCAATACTCGCTGTACCAGACAATAGACATATCATTGGCTCAGGGTTTCTGTTTATGGGTCTGTCAATCTCAAACGCCTTTGTAAGGATTCTGTGTACATGTTTTGTAATGAGACGGAATATATACACCCGTTATGAATAGAGACAAATTCGTTTTCTCAAGGGGTGATAGACTACCAGCGACCAAGTCCCGTAAACCACCGGAACAGTACAAAGGACAAACTTGAAAGAGATTTGGCCTTTTAACACTACTACATTATCAAACCCGTTTCGCAGAGCGTAGCCCTTTGAGACGTGGTTTAAGAAACTTGTACCTCTGCAGTAATATTGTCTGTTTATGTGTTGTACTTAGGTCTGTCCATTTGCCACTGTGTTATTTTTCAACACAATATTACTATTAATATATATAGATTGGCTGAGTGAAACGTGTTAACGCCACAGTCAACAACTAAATACCTTTTAGCCAAAACTCGAAATTACAAGGCAAAAGTCACACTGAAAGTCCCCATACTTGCACTATCGCTCTACTTAAATGATAGGTTAATAAAACCTTACTTTCAAATTCTGTTATAAACAACATATATTAAAAAAGCAGCACTGCTTGTCGCATCCTCCTGGGGCAAGGGCATTACCTGACTATAAAAGTCCAGTTTCAATCCTTGACGAACTAGGCTTGAATTTCCAAGCTCGATCGTAGCGCCGACAGTGGCTATTACGACTTATGTCCCTTCTAAGTCCCTCCTATTGACCAATCAGATTCCACCCCTCATATCACTTGCATTTACTTCAAACAAAATGGCTGTGCCCAGTTAAGACGACTTGATAGATAATCTAGATCTATATTTAAACAAAACGAGTCTTACCTCACGAAGTGGATCAAATCACATTGGCACCTTAATTACAAACATAAAAAGATTTGCAAAATCCCGTCGACACCCAGTTGGCGAGACACATAATTTGCAAATCCTGCATTCAATGAAAATCTGCAGGTGGAGTTCCATGTTGTTTACGAACTGGCTATGTAGTTCATTACGCGATTTTGATTGGACTATGCATAGATTCGTTTCTAACTCTGGATTTCCAGCCTAGTTCGGCAAGTTTGGAAACTGGAATTTTATGGTCAGTTAACTCCCTTGCCTCGTGAATATGTGCTTGTCGTAGCAACAAAGCCTCACATCTCAATGTTGAATGGTACGCTTTACATTTTCATCTGTTGTATCTTAAAGGTATGGTTGATACTTGGACAATTAACAAAGCTGGACAGAGGGACTGTTGAACGCTACTGTCAGAAGTATTCGAGCTTTATCACAGCGACCAGTAAATACGTACAACAGAAAGCTCGAGTATGGTGACACAATCAGCAAAGTCACAGAAGTTGACCATCCAATCCACATTATTCGCATCTTATCACAGGTATGTGATCCTGGGTACCAGTACCAGGCAGCCCAGGGGGAGTAATTTACATGTGGGATGGAACCTGAGAGATAATGTCTTTTCTTGTCCTAGTTGAGTTGAGCCTTGTCTATTCATGATGAGGTGATGTGAGGTGAAAGGGGGTTCAACGTAGCAATCAAGGTTATTGCAAACAGAGCGACGTGCACGCACGTGTGTTATGTTAGCTAGAATATTCTCTAATCATTCATGTCCCCAAATTTCGTATCAACAAAGGATGGGTTAAATAATTATTTGATAAATAAAATGTTCCTCGTGGGATTTTTCCATATGTCCAAATCAATTTTCAAACATTTATTAGTAACCATTTCCTTTTTTAACGCAAAATATGAAACTGATCTTCTTAAATTTAAAGATGGAGACATCAATTGTCCAAGGTACATATTCTGATGCAACTGCTACAATTTCATAACGATAATACCATTTCTCACATTGTTTAACATTTGCACTTTTGCGAAAAAACATGTATTTTAGTAGTTTTCGACCGGCTAACATTTAACTTCCAAGTCGAACAATAATCATCTAGAATATCCAGTTGCTCTTTTAGCCCACTTACTCGATCAGAGTGAGTGAGTGAGTGAGTTGGGTTTAACGCCGCTTTTAACAGTATTCCAGTTATATCGCGGCGTGTACTCGATCAGAAATAAAAACTAACATCATCAGCAAACATCAATATAAACAATTCAAATAAGCCGTGGAATAATTGTATTCCTCTTCGATAATTATGTATCAAGAATATCAGCAGCCAACTCATTAATAAAATGTGGAAATAAAATTGGGATTAATACACAGCCCTGTTTTCGTCCAACTGGGCAATCGAAACACTTTGTAAAACCACTGTTACACCGTACACGTGCTGTAACAGATGGGTACACAGACTGAATCATATTCAAGATTTTAACAGGAAGACCACATATTCTTAGTACACCACTTATAAGTTGTTTTCTTTCTTCAGAATCATTTTTTTAAAGTGAGCGAAGGCAACATAGAATCTTCCTCTACGTAAACTTGAATATCTTTGTATACTCGTACAAGTAGTTGGTGTTAACACGTTGTCCTTTGTTGCATACCCGTGTGTAAAACCTGGCACATTAACAACTCAGATAACTCCTGGGTTGACACCAAATAGTAGCAGAACCGTACCAACCTGTTGATGGAGCCCAAGATACCGGCCTTGACGTCCGGAGATACGCCCAAATTTCCTTCCGCGTTACTGTCCGGCACGCCTAGCTTGGTGTAGACAGCATCTGAGATTCTGGAGATGAGACTGGGACAGTATGCTGTACCAAGATTTTCATTGGGGCATTTGTAGTCGCCACCAACCGAAACATTTAGTTTTAGAGGTTATACGTTGCCTATTTCTGAAACTCAAATACCATTCACAATTATGAACTTGTGTCAATATTAGTAATGATGTTCTTTGATACAGTCGCCCTGGACGCATAAAACAAGGAAAACGATGAAAGATGTCACAGTCAATTTTTTGCCACAACCACCAAGTTTCAAGGTTTTGTTTTGAAGAAATAAAAAGGTACAGTAAGTTTAATAAAGAACAAAACTCATAACTACATTCCAAGATGATAAATGATAAACTTATGATAAACGTTTATCTAGAATACATATTGAAACTTTGATTGCGTCTCTGCTGGTAGTTTCAAAGGACTGAGTGAGTGAGTATGGTTTTACGCCGCATTTTAGCAATATTCCAGCAATATCACGGCGGGGGACACCAGAAATGGGCTTCACACATTGTACCCATGTCGGGAATCGAACCCGGGTCTTCGACGTGACGAGCGAACGCTTTAACCACAAGGCTACCCGACCGCCCCAGTTTCAAAGGAGACGACTTTGAATGATAAGTACCCAGAACAAGAGTTTGGATGCCTTAGCAAGACAATCATTCCAATATGGCTAACAGACCACACACCAAAGGACGAGGAAGCACGAGGGCCTTATTTGACCAACTGTAATTGTCAATTTTTGCGGAAACCTTGAAAATGTGAGTCGAAATTATGAGCCATAGGCAAATGAGTGAAAACCCGTTTTCTTTATAACACTAGCAAATTATGGTCTTTGGACATGACAAGTCACATCGGAATATCATCAGAATTCTGATTCGTTGTTTAAGTTTTATGATGCATTACCGTCTATAAATACGTGTTTAACAACTTCCTTGTCTGCAGTCGCAATATCGCAGACCATGTGCGGATGTTGTGACCTAAGTGGTCCCACTCCATACACCGGCCGTAGTCAGCCATCGTCATTCCCCGTGCGGGCGCAGTTGTAGCAACCATGCGTCTCCTGTTGCTCTGGATGCTCGTCGGAGTCGTCGTCGTCGTCGTCGTCGTTGTGTCAGCGCTGCCGGAAAAAAATCAACAGCAGCAACTCCGGCTTTTCTGGCGGAAACTGCTTCACCGGCAACGGAGAGGTAAGTAGTCGCCATTCCGTACATTTAGTACAGAAATACGACACTAACGTATCTCTCTGATGTGGCCGAGCCACCGAATGAGTAAGTGATGTTAGTTTAAACTCCGATTTGGACATTATATTTCATATCAGCATGATGTAGGAGGAAAATCGAAAGTAATGCTGGTCATATATTAAGACGTTTACACGAAGATGTTACTGACAAACTAAGAAACATAACAAGCGCGAAGACAGACTCGAACCAGCGATCATAGGTTTCTGGCACGCCTAAAAGACCTAACTTTGCAAATCGAGTAGCGGCTGTGCCCCGAGCGCACCAACCCTGAATATTACCACACGCTCCTGCCCGTATCCACAAGATACCAAACACAGCTGGTGAGGTGAGGTGAAATGGGGTTTAACGTCGCGTCCGAGATTATTGCACTTATATAGCGACGTGCATACACGTGTGTGTGTGTGACTGCTTGTACTAGACCGGACTGATGCCTATTTATAGTGCTAGCTCACTGAGATACCATGCCGCTGTTTAACATGAATACCCCACTCAGACACAGTATACTGACTCCGAGCCAACCAGTCCTTGTTTTAGCCCCTTAATGCCGAGCGCCAGACAGGGTAACAACAAGTACCATCTTTTAACGTCTTTTGGTATGACGCGGCCGGGGATCGAACTCCGGACCTTCCGCTCTCCGGGCGGGCGCTCTACCACTAGACCACGGAGGCGGTCCCCAAAGACAGCTGACTGTGTGTACCATATACACTGCATTATCATATAATGGATAGGTTTCTCGGCAGGATAAAGCCAACAGATAAAAACGACATCCGTTGGGGTCATATGCGGATAGAGATGCAAATATCAAAGGTCAAGTAGGGACTACTTTCACTGTTTATAAACAAACATGGCGTCGCCCTCGTCATTCGGCGATCGAGTCAGAATTAACCATCGGGAAACTGGATAAACTACAGGGATAATTGCTATCATTATCAATAGAACAGTCTAATATACTGAAAATCAGTGTCGCGAAAGGCAATTAAAAACAATTGTTGTTTGGCGAATATGTTGCTTCGCCACTGTATAAGAAACAGATTTCAGTTGGAACAATATTGGCTACTGTCACTGTCCGACTGACACATCAATTACCCTGTGACGTAATAAATATTAAAGCGCACATTCCAGGAAAAGTCGGTAATGTTTGTGAGAGAGTGAAAGCGATTTTGAAGCACAGCATTAAAGAATGACATTATATGATAAAGAGGTTATCATGCTTGTGTGTTTGGGGATGGTAAATATCCTGTATTAGGAATAAACACTATGTATTTAGCTCGCCAAGGCTCGCTAAATACAATGTTTATTCCAAATGCAGGATATTTACAGGATATAACACACTCGCGTGATAACCTCTATGTTTCTGTGTACACTATTACCTGTACGTACCTTACACTCTTATATGTATGTACCATACACTGCCTTCTGTATGTACCACATAGTTGTCTGTTGCACCATGCACTATCATCTCTATGTACCATACACTGTCATCTCTATGTACCATACACTGCCTTCTGTATGTACAACATAGTTGTCTGTTGCACCATGCACTGTCATCTCTATGTACCATGCACTGTCATCTCTATGTACCATACACTGTCATCTCTATGTACCATACACTGCCTTCTGTATGTACCACATAGTTATCTGTTGCACCATGCACTGTCATCTCTATGTACCATACACTGCCTTCTGTATGTACCACACAGTTGTCTGTTGCACCATGCACTGTCATCTCTATGTAACATACACTGCCTTCTGTATGTACCATACACTGCCTTCTGTATGTACCACATAGTTATCTGTTGCACCATGCACTGTCATGTCTATGTACCATACACTGCCTTCTGTATGTACCATATAGTTATCTGTTGCTCCATGCACTGTCATCTCTATGTAACATACACTGCCTTCTGTATGTACCATACACTGCCTTCTGTATGTACCACATAGTTATCTGTTGCACCATGCACTGTCATGTCTATGTACCATACACTGCCTTCTGTATGTACCATATAGTTATCTGTTGCTCCATGCACTGTCATCTCTATGTAACATACACTGCCTTCTGTATGTACCATACACTGCCTTCTGTATGTACCACATAGTTATCTGTTGCACCATGCACTGTCATGTCTATGTACCATACACTGCCTTCTGTATGTACCACATAGTTACTGTTGCACCATGCACTGTCATCTCTATGTACCATACACTGTCATCTCTATGTACCATACACTGCCTTCTGTATGTACCACATAGTTATCTGTTGCACCATGCACTGTCATGTCTATGTACCATACACTGCCTTCTGTATGTACCACATAGTTATCTGTTGCACCATGCACTGTCATCTCTATGTAACATAAATGCTTCTGTATGTACCATACACTGCCTTCTGTATGTACCATACACTGCCTTCTGTATGTACAACATAGTTGTCTGTTGCACCATGAACTGCCATCTCTATGTACCATACACTGCCTTCTGTATGTACCACATAGTTATCTGTTGCACCATGCACTGTCATCTCTATGTAACATAATGCCTTCTGTATGTAACATACACTGCCTTCTGTATGTACAGCATAGTTGTCTGTTGCACCATGCACTCTCATCTCAATGTATCATAAACTGCCTTCTGTATGTACCACATAGTTATCTGTTGCACCATGCACTGTCATCTCTATGTAACATAAATGCCTTCTGTATGTACCATACACTGCCTTCTGTATGTACCACATAGTTATCTGTTGCACCATGCACTGTCATCTCTATGTAACATAAATGCCTTCTGTATGTACCATAAACTGCCTTCTGTATGTACCATATAGTTATCTGTTGCTCCATGCACTGTCATCTCTATGTATCATACACTGCCTTCTGTATGTACCACACACTGCCTTCTGTATGTACCACATAGTTATCTGTTGCACCATGCACTGTCATCTCTGTGTAACATAAATGCCTTCTGTATGTACCATACACTGCCTTCTGTATGTACCGCATAGTTGTCTGTTGCACCATGCACTCTCATCTCAATGTATCATAAACTGCCTTCTGTATGTACCACATAGTTATCTGTTGCACCATGCACTGTCATCTCTATGTAACATAAATGCCTTCTGTATGTACCATACACTGCCTTCTGTATGTACCGCATAGTTATCTGTTGCACCATGCACTCTCATCTCAATGTATCATAAACTGCCTTCTGTATGTACCACATAGTTATCTGTTGCACCATGCACTGTCATCTCTATGTAACATAAATGCCTTCTGTATGTACCATAAACTGCCTTCTGTATGTACCATATAGTTATCTGTTGCTCCATGCACTGTCATCTCTATGTATCATACACTGCCTTCTGTATGTACCACACACTGCCTTCTGTATGTACCACATAGTTATCTGTTGCACCATGCACTGTCATCTCTGTGTAACATAAATGCCTTCTGTATGTACCATACACTGCCTTCTGTATGTACCGCATAGTTGTCTGTTGCACCATGCACTCTCATCTCAATGTATCATAAACTGCCTTCTGTATGTACCACATAGTTATCTGTTGCACCATGCACTGTCATCTCTATGTAACATAAATGCCTTCTGTATGTACCATACACTGCCTTCTGTATGTACCGCATAGTTATCTGTTGCACCATGCACTCTCATCTCAATGTATCATAAACTGCCTTCTGTATGTACCACATAGTTATCTGTTGCACCATGCACTGTCATCTCTATGTAACATAAATGCCTTCTGTATGTACCATACACTGCCTTCTGTATGTACCGCATAGTTATCTGTTGCTCCATGCACTGTCATCTCTATGTAACATATACTGCCTTCTGTATGTACCATATAGTTATCTGTTGCTCCATGCACTGTCATCTATATGTACCATACACTGCCTTCTGTATGTACCGCATAGTTATCTGTTGCACCATGCACTGTCATCTCTATGTAACATATACTGCCTTCTGTATGTACCACATAGTTATCTGTTGCACCATGCACTATCATCTCTATGTAACATATACTGCCTTCTGTATGTACCATACACTGCCTTCTGTATGTACCACATAGTTATCTGTTGCACCATGCACTGTCATCTCTATGTCACATATACTGCCTTCTGTATGTACCATACACTGCCTTCTGTATGTACCACATAGTTGTCTGTTGCACCATACACTGACAATTATATGTACCATACACTGCCTTCTGTATGTACCATATAGTTATCTGTTGCACCATGCACTGTCATCTCTATGTACCATACACTGCCTTCTGTATGTACCACATAGTTGTCTGTTGCACCATGCACTGTCATCTCTATGTACCATACACTGCCTTCTGTATGTACCACATAGTTGTCTGTTGCACCATGCACTGTCATCTCTATGTACCATACACTGTCATCTCTATGTACCATACACTGCCTTCTGTATGTACCTCATAGTTGTCTGTTGCACCATGCACTGTCATCTCTATGTACCATACACTACCTTCTGTATGTACCATACACTGCCTTCTGTATGTGCCACATAGTTATCTGTTGCCCCATGCACTGTCATCTCTATGTACCATACACTACCTTCTCTATGTACCATACACTGCCTTCTGTATGTACCACATAGTTATCTGTTGCACCATGCACTGTCATCTCTATGTATCATACACTGCCTTCTGTATGTACCACATAGTTATCTGTTGCCCCATGCACTGTCATCTCTATGTATCATACACTGCCTTCTGTATGTACCATACACTGCCTTCTGTATGTACCTCATAGTTGTCTGTTGCATCATCTCTATGCACCAATGCCTTATGTATGTGAAAAACTGTTATCTGTATGTTACATACATTATCTTTTGTATGTACAATACTCTCATCTGTATGTATCACACACTGCTATATGTATGTGCCATACGTTCATCTGTATGTACCATGCATTGTAATCTGTATCTACCATACACCGTTATTTTATGAACCATGCACTCTGGTCTGTATGTACCATATACCGTTATCTGTATGTACCATACATTGCCTTCTGTATGTACCATACATTGCCTTCTGAATGTACCATACATTGTGATCTGTATGTACCATACACCGTTATCTGTATGTACCATACATTGTGATCTGTATGTACCATGCATTGCCTTCTGTATGCACCATACATTGTGATCTGTATGCACCATGCACTGTTATCTGTATGAACCATACATTGCCTTCTGTATGTACCATACATTGTGATCTGTATGTACCATACATTGTGATCTGTATGCAATATACACCGTTATCTGTATGTACCATACATTGCCTTCTGTATTTACCATACATTGTGATCTGTATGCACCATACACCGTTATCTGTATGCACCATACGGCGTTATCTGTAAGTACCATACATTGCCTTCTGTATGTACCATACATTGTGATCTGTATGTACCATATACCGTTATATGTATGTACCATACACTGTGGCCTGTATGTACCATACACTCTGATCTGTATGTACCATACACCGTTATCTGTATGTACCATACATTGCCTTCTGTTGCACCATACACCATTATCTGTATGTACCATACACTGTCATCTGTATGTACCACACACCGTGATCTTTATTTATCATAGACCTATTCTACCCCGAATTTTCGCGGGTCTCACAGTGTATGATGCATACAGATTATGATGTATGGTACATACAGATCAGAGTGTATGGTACATACAGGTCACAGTGTATGGTACATACAGATGACAGTTTATGGTACATACATATCACAGTGTATCTGTATGTACCATACACCGTTACCCGTACGTACCATACGCTCATATGTATGTACCATACATTGCCATCTGTATTTACCATATACACTGCCATCCGTATGTACCATACCATACCAGTATGTACCGTGCACTGTATTCTTTATGTACCAGACACTATAAGCTGTATGTACGATACTCTGTAGTATGTATGTACCATGCATTCCTACCTCTGCGGCTTGAAACCTTCACCACAAATTAAAATAGTTGGATTTGGCCGAAATATATTTGAATTGTTACCATGTTTCGTTTTGTCGCTGTGTGTACATCTGACTACACTTCTGACACACTTAACGTTATGACAGGACAGACCGAGTGTCAACAACGTCTGACCGTGGCCGTGACGTCTCATAGACTAGGGTTAGAGTAGCTTCCCTTTGACAAAGGGCAGTTACTCTAACGGACAGACCGATGGATTGCCGCGAAAGGCAATTAAAAACAATTGTTGTTTTGCGTATATGTTGCTTCGCCACTGTTTAAGAAACAGATTTCAGGTGGAACTACATGTATATTGGCTACTGTCACTGTCCGACTGACACATCACTTACCCTGTGTATGTACCATGCATTCCTACCTGTGCTGGACGACCACCTTACGCTGTATTTCAGCCCGTATCCGGTATGAGTGCACCAACCAGACCATTAGCCTGGACCAGCCTGCCGCCATCGTGGAGGGCTACAACCGGACTCCCGACCACTACTTCGACAACTCCAACTGCAGATGGAAGATTACTGTGGGGAAAGGGGAGAACATCCTCCTCGCTTCGCTGGACTTCCTGTTAGAGTACAGCCCTGACTGCCGGTGAGATTACAGGTTGCCAGGCAAGGACGACCTCATTAACAACATAAGGATATCACCGTTAGTGTTGTAGGATCATATCCAGTATCCAGGGTTCGACATTCGTATAGTAGGGTCGTCTACATCGTAACGTGCATTGCTTGGTGTATATTATGGTGGCAGAGAGGGGACATCGCTTTCTCGCTTTCTCCCTCTATCACTTTCTCGCTTTCTCGCTCTATCGCTTTCTCGCTTTCTCGCTCTATCGCTTCCTCTTATGACTAACCATAGTCATATCAAGGAATCGGGTGTTCTTTAACTACATTTGAATAGTTGTACTGTAAATCTTGAAATTAACGTTAGAGTTAATTATAAATGCAAAAAAATTAGCGTAGACATAATTACCGTATTCGACGTAATAAGCGCCCAGGGCGCTCTCAAAATTAGGATATTATTTTGGTGAAAAAAAAAAGAGTTGAAAGATTAATTTCGTGGTTTATGCTGACAGCCTGAAATGTTTATGTACGACATATATATTTTTCCCGAATCTAATTGCCCATATTTAAGTGTGCATATAACGCACGAGTGCGTATTATACGCCAATAAATAAGTCTTGTGTACATTAATCAATCGGAAGGGGTGCTAATATATTAGCAAATATCGCCGTGGGCGTTGATTAGAGCGGGGCGCTTATTACGTCGAATACGGTAATTATACTTTGCATTTATGTCTCAGAAATGACTGTTGATAAGACGGCCTCACTGAACACTTTGAATAGCGGAAATACCAACTTGAATATAAAACCAATCAACTATCTATTTCCACATTACGGTTACTGAGAACAATATGTCATCCAAAAACTAAAAATTATATAATGGACATCCGGTAGTATTACCATTGCTTGGGTGATAACTTCCACTTTGACGACATCTACTCCGCAAACAGAATAAACGTTGATATAAGCGTTGTTTTTAGGAAAACACTATTGCTTTTTAGGAAGTACGTACTGCTCAGCGCTATTAAGCGGTGTAATTTGCTATCTGTTTTGATAGCTAAATATAGGGCCATAAATCAATCAAATTTTTTTTTTACGCAGAAATACGTGGATTGTTATAAAAGCACATATGTCTGTACTGTTAAATTATATCTAAGTAGATAGTGAGAAAATTTCAACATTCCGTCCATATGTATAATTTGAAATGCGACTCGAAAAATCTCAGCTCTCTTTTATGATTAAAACCCACATCAGCCACACACACACACACACACACACACACACACACACACACACACAACCCACCCACCCACCAACACACTGAGGTCAGGTTTAACCATTCACTAATGTTGTTTTACGTATATACTTTTTATCGTAAAGAAACACATAACGCATACGACCCACATCGTGGCCAAGAGGGAATATTGCTATACCGCGATAAAGCGATAAAGCGAGAAAGCGATGTCCCCTCTCGGCCACCTTAGTATATAGAGCTATGTTACCAACCAACGTGGTCACCAATTAGCCATAATCCTTCATACAGGGGACACGGGTGGCCCAGTCGTCTAAGGCGACGCGATTCACTGTGCAGAGTTGCGTCCCTTGGGCACGCCAGAAACCTATGATTGTAGGTTCGAATCCCGGTTCGCCCCGATTATGTTTCTAGGTTTGTCAGCACCATACCCGTGCTCGTGGGTTTCACCGAAGTGGTAAACGTCTGAGACCTGCATCACTTCGGGCTTTCCTCCCACATTAAGCTGACACGCCGTGATATAACTGGAATAGTGTTAAAAGCAGCGTTAAACCCAACTCACTCACTCACTTCATACAGTCATGATCAATGCAGCCTTTTCTTCATAATCACAGAGAGTGTTTCAGACAAGCGGATTCAAGACAATAGGGAACCACAAATTCAAGAAGGATTAACTCGAATTGTTGCAATCTCATAAAAGAACCTAATTCAATTCTGTCAGAATATTTGATTTTTCAATTTTGTATATCACTATCCCACACTACAAATTTAAGAACACATGCATTCCTTGATCCATCGGACATTTGTCCCTAAACGTGCTAAAGATAAACTTACATCTCTTATCTGCAAGATGGAGGGGCAATGTGTCAAACATGAAAACAAACGTCTTTGATAGGCATTTAGAAGCTGGAGTACTAAGTAAGGATAAGAATTTATGGATGAACAACTTCTTTATTACAACTAAGAGCGACGTTTCGGTGTAGGTTCTAACACCGTTATCATGTTGTTTATGTCACTGACTTCACCGATGATTGTCACCACTACCCTTGTGTGTACATAGCCATCTCCCTGAGGCAAGTGCGTTAACTGACTATAAAAGTCCAGTTTCCACCCTTGCCGAACTAGGCTGGTATTATGGAGTTACATTTTGGCTGGGCTAACGAGTCTATGCATAGTCCAATCAAAATCGCGCACCGAAATCGAAATCCGGTTCGTAAAGTGCCATGCAGATTTCGGTCGACTGCAGGATTTGTAAAGCATGTGCACCGCTAACTCGTTGTCAACAGATATTTTCTATATCTTTTCATGTTTTTAATCAAGGTGTTCACGTGATTTGATGCACTTCGCGATGTAAGACTCGTTTGATCACAATATAGCTCTTGATTATCGATCAGATCGTCTTGACTGGGCGCCACCGTTTTGTTTGAAACAAATGCAAGTGATACGAGAGGTTGAATCTGATTGGTCAATGGGAGAGGCATAGAAAGGACATTACTCGTAATAGCCACTGGTGGCGCTACGATCGAGCCCAGGAATTCCAGCCTAGTTCGACAAGGGTGGAAACTGGACTTTTAAAGTCAGTTAACTCTCTTGCCTCGGGAAGACGGTACATAGCAGGCTTCTCTATTCCAGTATAACAATATCTACTCTACTGTATAAACATTGCCTCCTACTTGTATATATACTTGCCAACCACACTCTGTAAATCACTTGCTTGATAACGGTGTTAGAACCCACACCGAAACGTCGCTCTTAATTGTAATAAAGAAGTTGTTCATCCATAAATTCTTATCCTTTGATGAAAACAAACGTTCCTCTGAAGAATACTGAGAAAACAATATGTGAAATACCGGACTTCCTCATAGATACATGGAGAGGACAGTCATGCAAGGAGTAGGCATTCCCAAGTGTGCTCCCATTCTTCCTGACCCGTTTCCTTATGCACATGAATCGAAATTTCTGATATCTGATGTCGTTCAATAATGGTCAAATAGTCGACCCCCTTCGATTGATGTACCCGCCTCAACTAGCAATAAAAGAGCCCAGTGAAAGCATCTCATCTGTTCAGTGCATAAAGATTCAGAATGACAACCTACTACCCACAAGACTGTGTGACAAAACGGACGAGTGTCCGGGTTCTCTGGTTTGTCAGGCTCAAATCAAAATCCGTGATTATATGGAATAGCATAATGTTGTTGAAATGTCTATTGGCTTTTCGACAAAAATACGAAAAGGATTTATTTCATACTGCTTCTGACTTTTGTTTCAGTTTTGACTTTGTCGAAATATTTGACGGGGCACCTACATCTTCGCACTCCATTGGTAAATTTTGTGGTCGTCGAGATGTCCGTCTCATCAGCAGTTCCAGAAAGTTATACATCTACTTCCGTTCGGATGAAAGTGTTACGGCGCCCGGCTTTCGGTTTCAAATACGCAAAGTTGAAGAGGGTGAGAATATTTGAGTGAATGACTTCGACAATATCTCGGAATGTCAGCCTGCTGTAGGGGAAAACGTATTGCACTTGTTAAATCCCACAAGCAGGGCGCGATGCCAACAAAAGGATCATAATCACAGCTACGATTAAAGGATCCGGGGACGGCTAAAGCCCCCATTTCACCACGGCCACGAATATCCCGAATCACCCCGAATAGGAAATTTTACATGTTCGTAGATAAATCTCAATCATTTCTTGAAGTTCTTAAATGAATCTTATTTAATTCCCAAACATTCGTACAGTTCGCGGGAGTTCGTCGAATCGGCGAGAAAATATTTGTTTGTCAACAACGTCCCTGGAAGGGCTGCATCGTAATCAATTCGTAATGAATTCATATGTTCCGTAACAGCTTCGTAATCGATTCTTTTGCATTCTTGGCTATTCTTAGAGATTCGTGGTTCCCAAAATTTCTTGTCCTCAACCCGAAAACATCCCGAAACAGCCACGAAAGTCCCGAGTCAACTACGAATCATGTAAGAATTAAGTAAGAACAACATTCAGCATATTCGTAACTTAGTCGTAAGCAATTCGTGCATGATCCGTACATGAATCTTGTAATTCGTACATGTTTCTTAACCTATTCCTGGCATTCATCATTTTTTTCAACCCGATAAGCCACGATAGTTGGCATTATATTGGCCGAATCATCACGAATTTCGAAAGTTTCCGATTCGGGGTGATTCGGGATATTCGTGGTCGTAGTGAAAGGGAGGCTTTATGCTACTATTCCACACATACCACGAATCCCACGAATTGATAAATTTTAGGATTCGTAGTAGAATCGTTATCAGTTCGTGAAATTCTTAACTGATTCGCATATATTCGTAGTTAGTTCTTACAATTCTTGAGCTATCGGGAATTCGTGACAAAAGTTTTGAGCTGTTCAAAGTTTTGGCCACGAACTCCCGATTAAAAAATTTCGTAGTTAATTCGTAACAAATGCGTAATGCATTCTTAGGCATCGTAACTGAATCGTAATCGATTCGTAGGCATTCGTAGGTATTCTTTACTCATTCGGGGATTCGTGAATTCGTGAATTCGTGGCTTTACGCAATCGGCTACGAATCCCACGTATACACGCCGAAGCAGGTACGAAGCTCACGATCCAATCACGAATCAGCTACGATTGCCGGGAAATTGGGTATATAAGGAAATTAACATTGATTTCAGGTCATTAGCTGCTGACGATTGTGCCATTATAACACGAAATTCACGATTCAGCAAGATGATCTACGTTGGACATCCATTTTGAAGCTGATGCCCAAATATGGGTGGGGGCCTTTTCATAGCTATCTTGAGGGAAAAAAACAGAAATTGTCAAGAATAGTCACGAATTCATTTTTATTCGTACCTGATTCGTACATGCATTCGGCGTATTCTTAACTGATTCTTAACTGATTCCTAACTTTCGTGCAGTATTCGTAATAACTTCTTGTAAATCGTAGTGAATTCTTGACAATATTCATGCGAATCCAGCCGAATCCCACGAATATTTGTAACTCTATCGTACCTGTATCGTAACTAGATCGTAGAGCGTCACGAATTGAACCAGAATATTTGCCAAATTCCACGAATCCTCACGTATCCTAAAATTTAAAAATCGTGGCGATTCGTGGGATTCGCGCTCTGTGTGGAATAGAAGCATAAGAGAAGCGAACTCTCGATAGCGAATTGCGATATCGTGTGAATGAATAAGTGAATAGGGATTTCTGGAAACATCCTGTCGACCTGAAAAGTAAGGACTTCGGACAGTCAGAGATAGAAAGTAAATCCTTACCGCCGACGTATCCTGACACAAGTGACAGAGCTGTCTTTCAACTTTGTAAATTTGGTACATGGCACCGACTTTGGCACGTATTTCATATTTAGTGACGAACACCTTATACATTCAAATAGAAAACTAGCTGACATTTTCGGTGTACGAAAGTGAACGTAATTTGTTCCCGAAACTGATGAAGACAGGAACTAGCCTGATCAACAACTCTTTCAGCATCCAGCCCCACGTGCAATAGAACCATGACAGCGATTACGGGGACCATTCGCTCCATCAACTACCCAAAGCGTTACAAGGGCGACACCATCTGCTTGTACAAAATCAAGGTTAGAATACATGTTTCGCCAAACACTCTCAAGTTGCTGTGGTGGTGGGCTGTCCGTATGTCAGATGGATACATTTATATTTTCGTGTCAGTATGGCGCTGAACTATCATAACACATAATTTGTACAAGGATTGTGTGTAGCTGATAATTTTAGAAATTGCGAGTCGTTAATGATTAATGAATTGGAAAATTTGTTTCTACATATTGTTTCTTGTATATGTCTTTGTTAGTAGCTAAGTTATATCATCATTGTGGCCAATGCCTCCTTTTGCAGGCACCCGCAAATAAACGGGTGAAGCTGGAGTTTGATGACTTCAGTTTGGAGAAGAGGCCCTGTGAGTACGACTACCTCACTATCTACGACGGACACAGCTCAGGTGAGAGACAGGCTTTAGGTCAGGTGAGAGACCGGCAATATGTCAGGTGAGAGACAGGCAATAGGTCAGGTGAGAGACAGGCAATAGGTCAGGTGAGAGACCGGCAATAGGTCAGGTGAGAGACAGGCAATAGGTCAGATGAGAGACAGGAAATAGGTAAGGTGAGACACAGGCAATATGTCAGGTGAGAGACAGGCAATAGGTCAGATGAGAGACAGGCAATAGGTCAGATGAGAGACAGGCAATATGTCAGGTGAGAGACAGGCAATATGTCAGGTGAGAGACAGGAAATAGGTCAGGTGAGAGACAGGCAATATGTCAGGTGAGAGACCGGCAATAGGTCAGGTGAGAGACAGGCAATAGGTCAGGTGAGAGACAGGCAATAGGTCAGGTGAGAGACCGGCAATAGGTCAGGTGAGAGACCGGCAATATGTCAGGTGAGAGACAGGAAATAGGTCAGGTGAGAGACAGGCAATAGGTCAGGTGAGAGACAGTAAATAGGTCAGATGAGAGACAGGCAATAGGTCAGGTGAGAGACAGGCAATAGGTCAGGTGAGAGACAGGAAATAGGTCAGGTGAGAGACAGGCAATAGGTCAGGTGAGAGACAGGGAATAGGTCAGATGAGAGACAGGCAGTAGGTCAGGTGAGAGACAGGAAATAGGTCAGGTGAGAGACAGGCAATATGTCAGGTGAGAGACAGGCAATATGTCAGGTGAGAGACAGGCAATAGGTCAGATGAGAGACACGAAATAGGTCAGGTGAGACACAGGCAATAGTTCTGGTGAGAGACAGGAAATAGGTCAGGTGAGAGACAGGCAATAGGTCAGGTGAGAGACAGGCACTAGGTCAGGTGAGAGACAGGCAATAGGTCAGGTGAGAGACAGGCAATAGGTCAGGTGAGAGACAGGCAATAGGTCAGGTGAGAGACAGGCAATAGGTCAGGTGAGAGACAGGGAATAGGTCAGGTGAGAGACAGGAAATAGGTCAGGTGAGAGACAGGCAGTAGGTCAGGTGAGAGACAGGAAATAGGTCAGGTGAGAGAGAGTCAATGTGTCAGGTGAGAGACAGGCAATAGGTCAGATGAGAGACAGGAAATAGGTCAGGTGAGACACAGGCAATAGTTCTGGTGAGAGACAGGAAATAGGTCAGGTGAGACACAGGCAATAGTTCTGGTGAGACACAGGCAATAGGTCAGGTGAGAGACAGGCAATAGGTCAGGTGAGAGACAGGCACTAGGTCAGGTGAGAGACAGGCAATAGGTCAGGTGAGAGACAGGCAATAGGTCAGGTGAGAGACAGGCAATAGGTCAGGTGAGAGACAGGCAATAGGTCAGGTGAGAGGCAGGCAATAGGTCAGATGAGAGACAGGCAGTAGGTCAGGTGAGAGACAGGAAATAGGTAAGGTGAGTGACAGGCAATAGGTCAGGTGAGAGACAGGCAATAGGTCAGATGAGAGACAGGAAATATGTCAGGTGAGAGACAGGAAATAGGTCAGGTGAGGGAAGGCAATAGCTCAGGTGAGAGACAGGCAATAGTTCTGGTGAGAGAGAGTCAATAGGTCAGGTGAGAGACAGGCAATAGGTCAGGTGAGGGAAGGCAATAGCTCAGGTGAGGGACAGGAAATAGTTCTGGTGAGAGAGAGTCAATAGGTCAGGTGAGAGACAGGAAATAGTTCTGGTGAGAGAGAGTCAATATGTCAGGTGAGAGACAGGCAATAGGTCAGGTGAGGGAAGGCAATAGCTCAGGTGAGGGAAGGCAATAGTTCTGGTGAGAGAGAGTCAATAGGTCAGGTGAGGGCCAGGAAATAGTTCTGGTGAGAGAGAGTCAATATGTCAGGTGAGAGACAGGCAATAGGTCAGGTGAGGGAAGGCAATAGTTCTGGTGAGAGAGAGTCAATATGTCAGGTGAGAGACAGGCAATAGGTCAGGTGAGGGAAGGCAATAGCTCAGGTGAGGGAAGGCAATAGTTCTGGTGAGAGAGAGTCAATAGGTCAGGTGAGAGACAGGAAATAGTTCTGGTGAGAGAGAGTCAATATGTCAGGTGAGAGACAGGCAATAGGTCAGGTGAGGGAAGGCAATAGTTCTGGTGAGAGAGAGTCAATAGGTCAGCTGAGAGACGGGCAATAGGTCAGCTGAGAGACGGGCAATAGGTCCGGTGAGAGAAGGCCATATATATAGAGATCTGGGTGCAGTTGTACAAAACAACCTTAGCGCTAAGGTTACCTTATATCCTTACGTTTTAACCTTAGGCCTTTACTAAGGTTGATTTCCTGTTGCATAAAACTACCTAACGCTAAGGTAGCCTCAGTGATGGTGAAAGTTTAAGGTTGATCCGACCAAACTTTAGCGTGGCTAAGGTTCACACTTCATTGAATTTCAACATGGCTACTTTCTTGCTGATGTGTGAGGAAACTGAGAGAAGTTTAAGAAAACAACGTGTTTTCCGAGATCACACCATACAGCGTAAGACACGACGCGAAGCCATTTTCTCTCGTAGACAAAGTTCGTCCTTTGGTCGAAAGACCAACACAGCGTTCATACGCTATGACAGTGGAATCTCGAGTTTTACTTACGCTGAGATATTTAGGAAAAGGGGAATTTCTTTCTGGAATTGGAGATTTGCATGGTATGGATAAATCAAGCGTGTCGAGAGGCTTTCATTCTACGGTAAAGGCAATATGCACGGTCTTAGACAATATAACTTTTCCTTGGAGTCACGAGCAGCAAACTAAGGTACAGCAAGGTTTCTATAGAATTGGTCATTCCCAAAACTTCTCGGTGCCGTCGATGGAACATTTATTCCCATAAAACGGCCTTCACCAAACGACGAAGCGGCCTACATATGCATCAAGGGATACCATGTCCAAAGGTACCTTTGTGCAACGGGCGTAGCTTTTTCATAAGGTTGCCTTAAGATTAATCTTAGTAACTAAGGTCAACCTTAGTAGCTAAGGTCAACCTTAGTAAAGGTTGTTTTGTACAAGGCACCCTGGTGAGAGAGTCTATAGAACAAGTGGGAGACAGGCAATAGGTAATTGGTTATTGTATATAAATCGCCGTTATAGCTAAATATACTGGTCATTACAATCAAATAGTGCAACTTCAGAATGGAACATGACTTTTTCAGCATCCAACGTGCTGGGCACCTACTGCGGGCGACGCGCGCCACGGTACATCGTCTCCTCCACCAACAACCTGTTGCTCTACTTCCACACCGACGGCTACGTCAACGAGAAGGGGTTCAGCTTAAATTATTCATTTGTTGCTGACACTGCCCAAGACGCTGAGGAGGTGTTTGGCGACACACCAGTCGAATATGACCCAGGTGAGCTTGACCAGGGACCCTTATCTTGGCAAGATGGTGGCGTATGCCACGTCGCTGTGACATTTGTATTATAAGGCACCAACCGTGACGCAATAAATAGAGAAGCAACAAATAGCAAATTCCTCGCTGTCCCCAATACGCTGTCATTTGATCCCCCCAAAATACCTAACAGAAATATTCTAGAAACCTCAAATCGACTTTTTCTAACCCAACATTTTCTTATATGATCATATGAATTGAATTATATGACCAATCAGAATCGAGTACGTTAAAGTGAGTGAGTTTGGTTTAACGCCGCTTTTACCATTAAGCTGATGTGGAGGAAAGCCCGAAGTGATGCAGGTCTAAGACGTTTACCACTTCGGTGAAACCCACGAGCACGGGTATGGTGCTGACAAACCTTCCTTCCTTCCAGACTGCTCCGCCACGTTTACAGAGCTAAGACCACACTTGAGTAGTCCGATGTTCAATGAAGACCATTATCTCCAGAGGAAGAGGTGCCGAACCATCATCCGGGCACCCGAGGATCAAAGGGTCATCTTAAATGTTCAGACGTTCGACCTTGAGGAGAGCCTTGACTGCATATATGATCACGTGAATGTCACGTACCAATCCAAGCAAGGTAAGCTCTTGGAAATGTATATACATTGCATTTAACTGCTGCATTGCCTATACTCAGCAAAACTACACGGGGCTCCATTTACCGAAGAAGTTGTTGTGATTAATTCTAACCTAAATGACTCGAGACCCCGAGTACAAGATTGAGTGAGTGAGTGAGTGAGTTGGGTTTAACGCTGCTTTTAACAGTATTCCAGTCATATCACGGCGTGTCAGCTTAATGTGGGAGGAAAGCCCGAAGTGATGCAGGTCTCAGGCGTTTACCACTTCGGTGAAACCCACGAGCACGGGTATGGTGCTGACAAAACTAGAAACATAATCGGGGCGAACCGGGATTCGAACCCACAATCATAGGTTCCTGGCGTGCCCAAGGGACGCAACTCTGCACAGCGAATCGCGGCGCCTTAGACGACTGGGCCACCCGTGCCCCCCCGAGTACAAGATATCAAAGAACATAATTAATAGAATGTTTTGTTTATTAATAAGGAACCATTACAAAAAGCATTACCCGGAAAAAAATTAAGAAAACAAAACAGAAAGAAAGAGCTAATTTTCCCCATTATATAGAGGCATTGTCGATTTAACTGATTCGATCTCAACTGATCTCAAAAGAATGGCGGGCTCCTGAATTTTATGAAATTATGATATTATGGAAAAAAGTAAATACATTTCAGACCCTGATGGTCAAAAGCATTCGGATAAGCAAACTATTTTTTAGCACGAAGTGGTAGAACTCGACCGATTCCATAAACATAGGTTTTCACTAGAATTGACATTTGGGGGTTCCATTGTTCCAGTAAATATCTGAAGCCATGTGAATTCGCCCTGACTCCAAGTTTAAATGCCATCAGTGGACATGGAAAACTATACGGATGCTACTTATTGATTATGATTATTATCTCTCTCTCAGTCTCAGTCTCATGCACATTTTGGCAGGTGGACTGAACACAGTCCGGATGTGTGGGTACCAGAATCGGAACTCGCGCTGCTTTGAGTCGTGGAGCAACGAGTTAATCTTGGATTTTTCCTCTGACCGGATGTTCGGGGGGAACGGGTATAACGCCACCTACCGGTTTGTTCCGGATAACTACACCGGTGTCAGTGAGTACAAACCGGTGTAGTGTAGTGTGTGTGTGTTTGCGCGTGTCTGTGTCTCTGTGTGTTTGTGTGTACGTTTATGTGTGTGTGTCTGTGTCTCTGCGTGTGTGTGTGTGTGTGTGTGTGTGTGTGTTTGCGCGTGTCTGTGTCTCTGTGCGTTTGTGTGTGTGTGTGTTTGCGCGTGTCTGTGTCTCTGTGCGTTTGTGTGTGTGTTCGCGCGTGTCTGTGTCTATGTGTGTTTGTGTGTCTGTGTGTTTGTCTGTGTGTGTCCCATCCGAGATTCGAACCTACACTGCTACAGTGAGACCCCTAATCGCCAGCACACAAGGTCATCGATTTAACTCACTCAGCCACCGAGGCTTGCACATAATGAAAGTCCGACTACTGATAGTCTAGATCACGTTCTGTGTGTACCCCTCTGGTCACTGTTAATTGGCAAGTCCGAAAGCTATGAACAAACAATGTCATTTAGAAAGTGGTCGAGAAAAGTACATATTCCAGTACTTTTTTTTGGTTAAGCTCCCATCCGGGATTAGAATATGTACTTTACCAAGAAAGTGTTATCCAAAATATACTATTTGTTACATTTGACCGCTTTCTAAATAGCATTGTGTGATCATTCTTGTTCCAGCCTGCAACATGTTCTCCTGTGACGACGACTGTAACGGCTACTGCTACAGCAACGACCCCGGAGACTTTAAATGCGCATGTCCGATAGGGAGAGTACCTAACAACTGTGCTTTAAACGTGAGTACCAGCATACCCCCTCACTCACACGTTATAATAAATATGTTTTCAGTAACATATAAGAATAAGAAACTATGCCTTATCATCCTCTGGAACAATGACGTTTGCACATTTTAAACGTCATAAAAATCCCGTTATTGTCCACTGACGCCCTATTGTGCCGCTGCCTGATATTTGCAGAGTCGTGAGAGCGACACGATGGTCTACTGAAACGAACGTTTCAGAAAGTAGTACCAGATCACCAGTCCTACTGATATACCCAATTAGTCCTGGGCTGGGATTTTTATTTAAAAATTGTCCCAAAAAAGTCTTCTAAAAATAATAATGCTATATATATTGCAACAAAAATTGCATTGCTCCATTGCGTTTTCTAGGAAAAGATTTTTGGTTCATCGTTTTTAACAAAACAAATATCTAGTTTTTCAGATAATGTCGATAAAATATTTGGTCTCAGTACATGATCCCAGCAAGGAACAGATGTTGGGGAGAATGTCTTCCTGAAGCTCGTCCTGGAAACCAGTCGTTATGTGCTGCAATGTCACATCAATCACTCTTAAACCCGTGACGATTCGGGTTTGAATTGGTCTTCAACCCTGGATTAACGGGATCGGATTGTCACGCTCGCTGACTTGGTTGATGCATGTCATCGTATCCCAAATGCGTGGATCGATGCTCATGATGTCAATCACTTGATCCAGACTTGAGTAATTACAGACGGCCGTCATATAACTCGAATACTGCTGAGTGCGGCGTTAAACAACAACAAACACACAAACAAATCAATCACTCTTAAGATAACGACACAAAGCCCAGACTGAATGTTTTCATTTATGTTTCGTTTGCTATAACGCCGCATACGTACCATAGTCACTCCGACATTCGCTGTGTAGAGTGACGTCCCTTGGGCACGTCAGGAACCTATGATCGTGTATTTGAATACCGGACCACCGATCATGTTTTTAGGTTCCAGACATCATATCTGGCTTTCCTCCAACATCAAGCTGACACGTCGTGACATAAATGGAATACTGTTCAAAGCGGCGATAAACCCAACTCACTCACTCACTCGCTGTTTCAGGTGAAATGGGAGAAACCCCTGCACAATATAACAGTGTATGAACGATCGCAGGTTACCCTAGACTGTGCCATCAACCACCCCTACACTATCACAGTCTGGTAAGTACACGTGGAAGGTCTTTATAATTAGAATACAGATTATTAGCTTACCTAACTGGCCACTGCTCAGTGTATTACTGAGTGGGGGCGGTCGGGGGCGGTTAAATCGTTCGTTCGTCACTCCGAAGACCCGGGTTCGATTCCCGACATGGGTACAATGTGTGAAGCCCATTTTTGGTGTCCCCCGTGATATTGCTGGAACATTGCTAAAAACAGCGTAAAACAATACTCACTCACCCAGTTGTTTCTGAGTATAGTAGTACTAGGAGGCAGCTTATGTTCCGCGTTTCGGGATATTTTGTATTGACCTTTGCATTTTGATCATGCCCCTGAATTCTATTCCCTTTCATTTTCAACACCACTCCTCAGAAACAACTGGACCAATGAAGCTTCACATGCTTGTTGCTACCATTGATGTCATCCCACCAAAAATGTTTGAACATGATTCTCAATATGGCTAAACTTTTGACATTCTTCCACCATCTTCTCCTTTGAAACTGTAAAAAGGGAAGCTGACTTTTTGCATGTTTTTCTTTAAATGTAAGTTTGTTATTTAACGCCCAACTCAGCAATAATCCAGCTTTATGAATTGGTTGCTGAAGACCTATTATACCCCGGATCTTTCGCATGTATGCTTCTTTGTATATTTTCTGAAACTCATTATGATCGGGTTTATAATTTGTTTTGTTTTTCATAATAAAAAGATAATAAATTTAATTTCGCAAGACGTTAAACAGTTAATCCCCAAGAACCATTGTGTGCGTATTGATTGCTATACACATTCCGAGGCGTTGACAAGGTTGCAAAGACAAGTTTTCGTTGAATCATGTTCTGAAAGTCGGTCTGATCATTTGCCCCTAAGGTTGAAGTGTTATAAAATCATAACAGTTCTTACATTTTAAATATAATTGATAAAAATGTTTTAGTTGCAGATTAAGAGACATTTGTGAAATGTAGTTATGTGTTTTCAATAATGAGTGATAATATTTAAGTGAGCTACGCCCGTGGTTCGTTTGTTTTTCTCACCTTTGGACATTGGTCGTCGAACATAGAATCGATACCTTTTGTATTTAATTGAGACTGGATATCTTTTTAAGATACAGAGGTAAAACGTGATATTTTTAGATTACAACTATGAGCCAAAAGATATTAAAAAAATATGTACTATTGTGATTGGTGGCAGACAATTATTTTCAATCAATATGAAGCATGATAGTTTATTTTCGAGGATAAGTACGAATTTTCGATAAAACCCAGGCCACCAGCCTCAGAAAATTAAATGGTCGGTCCCTAACCTGGATCTTCACGGGTTTCGTTATAACTGAGATGTGATTCATGTATTGGCTATAAAGTGCAGTGTAGGTTTTAATGGACTTTCACACATGTTGCATGTGTCATGCAACATTAAAATTAATTACAAATATTTAAAAACAAAATCAACTTACACTGTGCTAATCCAGGGACTTCAACGACACGCTGCTGCCAGATGACACGATGCAACATGTCAGCGTCAGCGAGTCTACCATCACCTTGAAGAACGCCCGATTGAACGACACGGGCAGATATACATGCGTTGTACAAGCTGGGGAATGGCTGAGGTCACGGACAATATGGCTGACTGTCAAAGAGGGTATGCTGTTATTTCGCCACCTTGTTATTCTCCTAGTTGTTTTTGCTTGGAAAAACTCAAGGTGTGGGGTGTGTGTTAAACGTGAATACTGTTCATGATCAGTGGCGGATCCAGGGTTTTGAAATGAATATAAAACGGAGATATTGTGAACATAATACACAGGTCAAACCCATTTCTGCATGTAGTTAGATGCTTTGATAGTTGTTATACATGATTTGAAAATAAAAATTAATTAATTTTTTTAAAATTTAATTTTGTTTAAAGAAAGTAAACTTCTTCTAATACATGATTTCTTTAATGTTCTCCAACTGTTTTTTTCAATCAATCTTATATTCATTGATGAAGTATTTGTTCATTTGTATTGAAGTGATGTTTTCATTGTCAGGCTGTTTATACTTCCTTCACCATCTGTACCACCTCTGATCATAATGTGGTTAGGTGAAAGGATTATTTGGCAAGTCACTTTGACAAACAACAACTTCCCTCCAGCGTGTCTAATTACTATCACCACCTAACAGCTCCATCACCAACAAGAAATGAATTCGTTCTGAGCGTTGACTCGTATATGACTTGAATCCGAGATTCATGTGTGGTACAGCCGAGGCTTGAAAATAATGAAGCTTCACTCTACCATAGATAATATGTGGATAGTCAACACACGAAAACGATTTGAAATAATCAGTAGATTCTTAGGAAATTGAAGGACAATAAATATAAATTACTGTTGTCAAAACCTTTGCCCTGTCAACTTCAGCGCATATATTTATTTTATTAATCAATCAACATAACATTTTACAGATTTATCTGAAATGATAAAGGGATAAAAGAAAAAGAAAATGTGATGAAGAAACTCATCAGTTATAGAAAACGTACAAAAGATGTCAAATTTAAAGATTTTCGATACACCTTTATCCATCGCATCAAACAAACAAAGAACTATTTCGAATGCTAATTCTTGATGATGATCTATGTTCATTCTGTGCAGCTAATTCTGAAGCGGTATTTCATATATATTGCGGCTGCAAGCACGTTAAAGTGTTTGTGGTCAAAATAAAATGTTTTCTAAACGCATAATTTACAGAAAAAACAATTTACATTTACAATAATTTTATTATACTTGGGTACAACTCAAGGTTCAAGGTCACATCCTATTGGCAGGAAAAATATATGTGCATGTATCAAGTATTCAGATAGGACTGGCCAAATTAACAGGTATTTTCTCTTTAAAACAGATGAAAACCTCTGTGGATTTTCGTCTAGGAAGATAATAGACCCAAACATTAACGCTGCTGATAAGAAAATTGCCGGGAAAAACTCCACAAAAGCACCACATTTCATCCCTTGGCAAGTCGTACTTTGGAACATATCTTCGGTAAGATGGTAGAGTATGCCTTTTGGGGGTTGGGGGTTTGTTTGTTTGTTTGTTTGTTTGTTGTGCAACGCCGCACTCAGCAATATTCCAGCTATATGACGGCGGTCTGTAAGTAATCGAATCTGGACCAGACAGTCCAGTGTTTGACATCATGAGCATCGTTCCAGGCAATTGGGATACGATGACATGCATCAACCAAGTCAGCGAGCCTGACCACCCGATCCCGTTAGTCGCCTCTTACGACAAGGATAGTCGTCTTTTACGGCAAGCATGGATCTACCCCGGATCTTCTCGGTTCCGTTTGGGGATCGGGGGGGGGGGGGGGGTCGGATGGATAAATTACATTACCCCACGTTAACATGAATATGGTTGTCACATATCTTGATTGCCTACATGCTCTATACTTTCCTTGATCAGGATAATCTTTTTCTCTCGTTGTCTTTGCAAAGTAGAATGCGTCCCAGCTTCATGGGTGTAATTGTAACGTGAATTTCATTAATATATTTAATCTGTTGCTTTATGTGAGTCTACATACTAACCAGGCGGTTCAGTTTCAAGGAAGCGTATGACGTCATTCCTTGTATCTAGGCGTTTAAGATAGAGGTACCCTGTCCCACAAACCAAGCCTATTTTTGCAAGAGACTGTGATATGTTGGAACTTGTTTTGATTGTATAAAATGTCCATACTCTCTTGCAGTCAATCTGATATTCCCTGACCAGTTTCATTCCACACCATTTGTAAAAATGACATCCCGTATTCGACGTAATAAGCGCTCGGGGCGCAGTAAAAAATCTCTTATTAGAATATAATTTTGGTGAGAAAAAACGACAGAGTTGAAAGATCGTAAATTTCGTGGTGCAATGCTGTCAGCCTGAAATGATACAAAAGAAAAATGTGTGCGTATCATACACGACAGATATATTTTGAAGAATTTAATTGCCCATATAATTAAGGATGCATATAACACACGAGTGCGTATTATACACGAATAAATAAGTCTTGTGTACATTGATCAATCGGAAGGGGTGTTAATTGGGATTGTTCACTGGCCAATATATTAGCAAAATATCGCCGTGGGCGCTTATTAGAGCAGGGCGCTTATTACGTCGAATACGGTAATATTTGTCTCATATACGACAGTTTAGTTACCACACACCCGTGACCTGTTCCAGGAGTCCGTCCATTGCGGAGGCGTGTTGATATCAGACAGACATGTCTTAACTGCAGCTCACTGCGTGAAGGGAACGGACACGGGTAAGCTCAACCTCACCACCATCAGAGCACTGATGGGAACCTTGTCTTGCAAAAGTGAGAACGGCGAGAAGAAAGAAATTACACGGTTTGTCACACATCCCAAATATAACCCGACAACCCTGGAGTACGACTTTGCTATTCTGGAACTGAAACGACCGGTTCGAATGCTCTCTGAGACTATCTACCCGATTTGTTTACCCACCAAAAAAACCTGGTGGGGCATCACAAATAGCCAGAAAGGCATCGCATCAGGTTGTGGCAAAGATTCGGATGGCGCTCTCCCAGACAGGCTGCGAATGGTGGACATTCCTCTGGTGCCCAGGCACAAGTGCACCGAGCAACAGGAGAGGGCCAAAAGAACCTTTTCATCTGACATGTTCTGTGCGGGCTATGCCGGCGGTAACATTGGCGACGCATGTGATGGGGACAGCGGCGGGCCCCTGGCTGCGAGAGTGGACAACCACTGGACGCTTCTTGGACTGGTATCTTATGGTCAGGGCTGTGCCGAGAAGGGAAACTACGGTTTCTATGCCAATGTGTCTCACGCCCTACAATGGATACAGACCTTTGCAGGTAGGATTTAGACCAACCTCAAAATCAAGGGAAAATTTATGTTTCATTTTTCTAGGCCGTGTTTCCCAAACTGGTCGCGGTTACGTAGCCTATTGGGTTCATTCATATTGAAGATATTGATACAATCTTTGAAGCCACAGTATGACTGGAATATTGCAACACGCGGCGTAAAACCTTACTCGTTCACTCGTTCACTTTCACAAAACGTGGCCATAGGATTAGGCAAATGAATGGTGTGTGCTTTCGTCTTTCTGAAGATCCAGAATCTAAGATGATTCTACTTTTTATATGTTCTATTTAATAAGGACCAGTTATTGCCAAAAAAGGCCAAAAGACAGTTTACTTGTTTACTCAGACCAGCCCGAAAGTGTGAGACAAATTAAATAGAATTAAAAAGCAAGCCGTTCACGTTTAAACATTTGAACAAATAATTTTATAGCTCACCTTAACGAAGACCAGTTGAAATGGTAGTTCTACTTTTTATATGTTCTATTTAATAAGGACCAGTTATTGCCAAAAAAGGCCAAAAGACAGTTTACTTGTTTACTCAGACCAGCCCGAAAGTGTGAGACAAATAAAATAGAATTAAAAAGCAAGCCGTTCACGTTTAAACATTTGAACAAATAATTTTATAGCTCACCTTAACGAAGACCAGTTGAAATGGTTCACAAGTTATCCGAAACTTCATATGCTGGATTCCAGTTATGTTTGCTGAGATTAGACTGTATTAAATTCAAATATCTTTTAGAATAATCTTTAAAATCACACTTTTTACTGTAAGATGACCATGTACATGTATGTATTGTATGTATGTTTGATATTGCTAACAAACCTATAGGAAAGATACCCATTTGAGATAACTGGTAGTAAACACAATCTAATGTGTGAGATGCAATTTCAGGTCCTTGAGTGGTCACTCCGAGGTGATGACGTAAGATCAGATTATGATTTACAGTAAACTACGGTTATAACGAACACGCTTATAACGAATTTACGGATATAACGAACTTACTTTTTTGGTCCCGACTATTTGCTGTAGTCATGCTGTATATATGCTTATAACGAACTACGGTTATAACGAACTAAAATTAGTAGTCCCTTTGAGTTCGTTATAACCGTACTTTACTGTACTACTTTCCTGATACATTAAATACATAGGTTATCCGTAATACACTGATGAATTACCCATGATTCAGTCAAATTCACCTACATCTGGATGTGCGTCCGTACCTCATGGTTTTAGAGTGTTAATAAATGTTCTTATCTACAGTAAACTACGGTTATAACGAACACGCTTATAACGAACTTACGGATATAACGAACTTACTTTTGTGGTCCTGACTATTTGCTGTAGTTATGCTGTATATATGCTTATAACGAACTACGGTTATAACGAACTAAAATTAGTAGTCCCTTTGAGTTCGTTATAACCGTACTTTACTGTAGTTTGCATTATAATCATTGCCTTGATAATCAACGGAGTTTGCGAAAACCTTGCGAAACATGGTAGGGATAGTTAGCAGCAATCGGGATGACGTCACTCATGATCGCTGTGGCATGCATTCATGCGCCTCTGGTATGATGAAAATAGACAAAATATGCATCGATTCAATACTCAAATGTTGCGATTTTAGTGTGTGTAAATAACAGATTACTGCCCCCGTGCCAATGATATACCATTTATTGTACAAATCGTTGTTTCATAACGTATCTGACTCGCTTACGCTCTTTAGATAGTTACGTTTCCAAAACAACTCTTGCGATATAAATGGTATCTGACAGCCCCTCGTGTAATAATAATAGTAATAATATGCATGTCTATAATGCGCCAAATCCATGCCCTAAAGTGTGCTCTAAGAGCTAAATTATTACTACTGCCAGTGTATTGATCAGTGTGCGCTCGATTATTGTTAACTTCCTGGGGAGTATACAACCCAAGCTGCCTGTGAGGAGCTAGAAGGTTAACTGCCACATTGCCATCTCATCCTACCGGGTACCCATTAACTGCTGGGTGAACAGAGGCACATTTCGTACTAAGTCACTTGCCTCAGGAGACAGCAAATGTGCTTCAGTGGGGAGTACACAACCCAAGCTGCCTGTGAGGCGCTAGAAGGTTAACTGTCACATTGCCATCTCATCCTACCGGGTACCCATTAACTGCTGGGTGAACAGAGGCACATTTCGTACTAAGTCACTTGCCTCAGGAGACAGCAAATGTGCTTCAGTGGGGAGTACACAACCCAAGCTGCCTGTGAGGCGCTAGAAGGTTAACTGTCACATTGCCATCTCATCCTACCGGGTACCCATTAACTGCTGGGTGAACAGAGGCACATTTCGTACTAAGTCACTTGCCTCAGGAGACAGCAAATGTGCTTCAGGGGCCAAGGTGCTTAACGTAGCCACCCATCCAACTATTCTCGGAGACCGACGTTGCTTTACCTGATTTGTGACCCGTGCACCGTGCACATGGCCACGTGCCACCACTAGGTATTGCATGTAAGATACATCTGTGTAATGTCTATATCGGTTTTCAATGCATAAGTGCATTAATTCACTTTATCAGTGTTGAAAATCTAATATACTCATAAAAAAAGAAACGCAAAGCCAGATAAGTGTGAGGTAGGAAAATACATTTATACGAGGAACCGTACAAGGTATTGAGCCAAACTGTTGTGGAGAGAACACTTGGATACAAGGAAAAAATCCAAGGTGAAGGTCAGCTACCATCAATAACGAGTTTGTCCCCCGTTAGAATCGATAGCGGCCTGACATCTCCTGCCCATGGAAGAGACGAGTATGCGAAGCACGTCCTGGGAAATGGTAGCCCACTCGGCCTGCAACGCAAAAGCCAACTGCTGCAACGTCTGGGGTTGTGGTTGGACGTGTGTCCAATTAATTTCACAGGTGCACTATCGGGTAAATCCGGGGATCTGGGGGGCCAGGGGGGGCCAGGGAAGAACATCAATGTTGTTATTGTGTAGTCAGGCTCTTGTGATCCGTGCTGTATGCGGTCGAGCGTTGTCCTGCTGGAATACACCTGGCTATGGTTATTATTGTGGTAGGAGAATTTCGTTGATGTATCGTTGAGCCGTAAGGTTGCCCTGGATATGGACCAAACCCGCCTGCCATGATGAGAGATACCCACCCACATCATAACGCTACCCCCACCAAACCCGTCTACTTCCTGTACACAGTTTCCGGCGTAATGTTCTTCCCGATGTTTGTAGACCTGTGCTCTTCCATCCCCTCGACGGAGGGACCATCTCCGTGGTCTAGTGGTAGAGCGTCCGCCCGGAGAGCGGAAGGTCCGGGGTTCGATCCCAAGCCGCGTCATACCAAAAGACGTTAAAAGATGGTACTTGTTGTTACCCTGTCTGGCGCTCGGCATTAAGGGGCTTAAACAAGGACTGGTCGGCTCGGAGTCAGTATACTGTGTCTGAGTGGGGTATTCATGTTAAACTGCGGCATGGTATCTCAGTGTGCTAGCACTATAAATAGGCATCAGTCCGGACTAGTACAAGCAGCCACACAAACACACACACGTACATGCACGTCGCTATATAAGTGCAATAATCTTGGACGCGACGTTAAACCCCATTTCACCTCACCTCACCTCACCCTCGACGGAGGAGAAACCTTGATTCGCCGCTATCTCCATCGCATTTGAGGCCATACTCTGTGTTGACCACACCAATGCAGTCGTTGTTGACGATGTTGTCGACTCAGTATGACGCGTCGAACAGGACGTCCTGCTCGTAGAACTGCGGCTTATAAACCGTTTCGTACGGTCTGGTCGGAGATTCTGCGCAGTCCGGGTATTTGGGATGCGGTTGAGGTGGCTGTGGTCGTCCTTTCACGTAGATGGCGCAGTCGGATGTAGCGATCTTGTGAGGGGGTGGTTACTCTTGGTCGTCCCGACCTTGGCCGATCACGTGTTGACCCATGCTGTTAAAACCGATCCCAGGGCCTTGTGATGGTGCTGGGCACTACATTGAAAACCCTGGCTACAGCTGAGTAGGATTCCCCTGCCTGTAAGCGGCCTATGACATTGTTTCTTTGCACTTCCGTTAATCTTGGCATGTTGTTGAACTGTCACTGTTCGATTGACGCAGATGTCAGGCAAACGATAACCCTGCACTTTAATACCGTTAAAAGTGCTGCTGCACGTGCAGAACGTGCAGCTCCATGGTCATTTTGTTAATGCACTGGGTGCGTTTTTTCCGAATCGTATGTGTTTCCTGACTAATTGCTTGCGTGTCCTTATTGTGATCATTTTGATCCGGGACATTTGTCATTGACACTATAACATATTAAACCTCTTCATTTGGCACCTCTTGGTCTGCTAATTTTGCTTTCATGACCAAAAATATCCGTATTGCCTTTCTTGTTTTGAAGAGTATATATGTATAATGTAAAGTGGGTGAGTGCGTTGGGTTTAACTCCGCTTTGAACAGTATGGACACAAAATCGGGGCGAAACGTGATTCGAACCCAAAATGACATAATACTGCCGTGCCTAAGTGACGCAACCTTATCACAGCGAAATACTGCGCCTAAGACGACTGGGTTCCTGTATTATTTAAAGACGACAGTGCGATAGCATTATAAAGGACGAGTGATTATTTTTACAAAATTCCTGGAGAAGGTCGCATATCTGAGTACAATTTCGTCAGTAACTTTTGTATTTTATGACCGTCCTCGGCTCGACATTGAAGCAAAGGTGTCATGGGGCGCCTCCTTGGGCAAGTGCTTTTGATCGAAATTTGCGTCTGTTCACCCCGCAACGAATGGGTACCTGGTAGGATGAGATGGCAATCTAAATGCAAACCTTCACGCGCCGTTTTATTATTATTATTATTATTATTTATTATTATTATTATTATTATTATTATTATTTAGGCTCATGTGGTAGAACGCGGTTTATCGAGGAGAACTACAACACTGGAAGGATTATTAATGGACACGATGCCCTTGAAAATCAGCTCCCGTGGAGCGTGGCATTGGTTGATACGGCAACAAATCTACTCTGCAGCGCTACGATCATCAGCGATTCGTGGCTTTTAACAGCTCGTCACTGCATTGAAGAGTAAGGTCTCATTTAGATTTTCTCCCCCACAATTTTGGATGTGGTAATGTAAAAGGCTACGAATTATTTCCTATAGTACCCTACATCAACCAACGACAAACATAAACCTCGACGCGTGTGGTGCATATGTTCCACTATCGGGTCATCTGGCCGCCTCCGTGGTCTAGTGGTAGAGCGTCCGCCCGGAGAGCGGAAGGTCCGGGGCTCGATCCCCGACCGCGTCATACCAAAAGACGTTAAAAGATGGTACTTGTTGTTACCCTGTTTGGCGCTCGGCATTAAGGGGCTGAAACAAGGACTGGTCGGCTCGGAGTCAGTATACTGTGTCTGAGTGGGGTATTCATGTTAAACTGCGGCATGGTATCCCAGTGGGCTAGCACTATAAATCGGCATCAGTCCGGACTAGTACAAGCAGCCACACAAACACACACACGTACATGCACGTCGCTATATAAGTGCAATAATCTTGGACGCGACGTTAAACCCAATTTCACCTCACCTCACCTCACCTCACTGCCAGGTAATATGGATCAATACAGAGTATAACACGTACACTGTCAGGATGTACATGTACACCTGAGTGGGGTATTCATGTTAAACTGCGGTATGGTTTCTCAGCTGCTAGCACTATAAATCGGCATCAATCCGGACTAGCAAGCACACACACACACACACACACACACACACACACACGTCGCTATATAACCCGGGCGTGTGAGTGACGCAATTCGTTGTGCAGAGTTGGGTCCCTTGAGCACGCCACAAACCTGTTGATCACACATTAAGCTGACACGCAGTGATGTAACTGGAATACTGTTAAAAGCGGCGTTAAAACCATCTCACTCACTCACTCACTCACTCACTCACACTGAAACATGCATGACATGTCATGATAAAACCGCTTCAAAAGTGGCGTCATCATTTCACGTTTGATATGTCTAACAGAATTCGAAATTCAATACATTCGAGAGTATTTGATCTGACGAGTTTTTTAGGGTCGTGTCATTGGAAGCGTTCATGGGTCGAGGTTCGTTATCAGGATGCAGATATAACACGCTTGATTATCGAGGATGATGTTTTCTACTCTTTACAGCCTGACACCCCGTCTTCGAGACAAGTTGAAATTCTTGCCTGGGAGCTTGAAGTTAACAGACAAAAGCAGGATGGTCCGTGTGATCAAAGAAAGCTACATACGTGAGCTGGACAATGTGAACATTTTGCTTCAGGAAAATGGCACTTCTATTGTTTGATTTTAGTGGTATTTCTCTCGTGAATAAGTGTTGGAATTAAGTCTCTCTTTTGAGAGCTACGACATTAAGTTTTAAAACAGAGTACCATCATTCTCTCACTAAACGAACACGTCACCATCTTTTACTGTAATGAAAGTCATCACCCTCACTATGACTCTTTGTGTTGTCTTTCTGCTGTTCAAGAGGAGGCGGTTGGGTAGCCTAGTGGTTTAAGCGTTCGCTCGTCACGCCGAAGACCTGGGTTTGATTCCCGACATGGGTACAATGTGCGAAGCCCATTTCTGGTGTCCCCCGCCGTGATATTGCTTGAATATTGCTAAAAGCGGCGTAAAAACATACTCACTCACTTTTATGTACAAGACATGGGGATTTCGGTTTGACGAACAGGGCCCCGTTCCACCAAGCGATCTTAGCGTTTCGTCGATCGTAACTCAAATTCTTTAATACTGGCCTACGACAGTCGTAGCGCTAAGATCACTTTATGGAACGGGTCCCAGGTGCGATAATAACGACACTTCTTTTTTCAGATGAAAGTGCAGATCTTTCCCTGGTAAAGGTGGATCCTATGCCGTTTGGCGATGCTGTCAAAGCTGCGTGTCTGCCTGCTGAGGATGATGTCACTGAACCAGGGTTGGAGGGCGTGGTCTCTGGGTGGGGGAAGACATCACTTGAGAGTGAAGGTAAGAAGTTTTCTTATTTCTAGTTTGTCATAGTTTTTATAGGCAATATATGCACACTTGAGATCGCCCATATAGTCCAAAATAACAAATCTTCAAAAATACACTGCTCATGCCGTTCAAAACACATCAGTGATTAAAAGTACAATTATTTTGTTTTACGAATGGGCAGTTTGGTGGTTACAAAAGATATTCATGTCTATAGTGGTCAGTAGTATTCAAGCGTGGAAGTGGTGTGTGTGTGTGTGTGTGTGTGTGTGTGCGTGCGTGCGTGCGTGCGTGCGTGCGTGCGTGTGTGTAGTGGGGAGGGGGACTGAAGACACCCTCGTCCTGGAAGGCAAGTCACGTCATCAACACCAGGAACGATCCAGAGAATCCACGAAGGTGATGACTTACCGGCGAATGGAGGAGCATCGTATTGCTGCGTCAATATCGTCCATTATCAGTTCACTGGCTTCCAGACCTCCTGATATCTGATAGAAAAAAAACCATGCACAACATGTCTCTTGATAACTAACAAGGATATGTTTGAAGCTGATTCAGACAGGTTCTGACAACAATCTGTGACTATGGGTGAAACTCTGGTTCACCATTTTCAACCATCAGTCAAACATCAATCAAGAAGTGGAAGTATTTGGCATCACCACCGTCAGAGATGACGAAGACTTCCAATCAGCTGGACACACATAACACAAGGGTTTTGCAGGCTTTTCTTCTGCAATGAACTTGCCGCCGTGATAAAACTGTAAATATGGTTTTTTTTATAAAGGGTGTTGAACCCAAAACAAACGAACTGCTCTGTATTTGTGTTAATGCTATAACACAACCATGATTCTGACTTCTGAGGTAAATGAAACGAAGACTCATTAGAAATACATTTATTTCGGAAAGCCAAAGACGAACGTTGCCTCCGCCGATGTAGCATCAACAGAGGCGGTAGATGTCAACGTTTTAGAAGTTTAGATTGCAGGACCAGAGGCGGCAGATGCAACAGTGGCAGAGGCTGTCGATTTTCTCTGAATGACTACATCTGCTCGCTCCTCCATCTGTGCAAATGTTCTTTGTAACAAAAAAGCGCAGTGCGAGTTTACGCTTCATAACACCTTTTCACAGTAATGAGTGAGTGAGTGAGTAAGTATGGTTTTACGCCGCTTTTAGCAATATTCCAACAATATCACGGCGGGGGACACCAGTAATGGGCTTACACATTGTACCCATGTCGGGAATCGAACCCGGGTCGACAAGCGAACGCTTTAACCACAAGGCTACCCGGCCACCCTTCACAGTAATGTATGTTGGCAGATGTAAAATAATAAAACGTACTTTGTTACACTTAAAACGAATATGTGATGTTAGATATATCGATTAGTTTGAACTCCAGAGAACATGTGATAAATATAACAGTTTGTAAATATACTCACAACGTGAACTAAAGTCTTGTCGAAAATGCAAGAAAAACGATTTTCCACTTCTTTTAAAAGATATAGCTCATAAAGCAAAGGCTGTAACAAATATTATCAATTATCATATAGTTACATGTAACAATGTCAGAAATGCATGTTTACAGCTAAAGTTGAGATAAACATTCATAAGTGTATCACAATGTGTGTATACAGAGATGTCTAGTTCGACTAATTTATATCTCTAAGGTAAGCTTTTTGGCAATAAAATAATGTGTTGTATCTGGATTATTATCTGATTTGCAAATGCCCTGCTTTCCAACAATTTACATCTTGTAACAAATGTTATATTTGGGAAAAAACTCTCTGAGTAAAGTACAGATTCTCGTACTTCTCGCAAGTCTAGGTTTGTCAGGTTTAGATTCAATATAGTTGAGGTACTGCTAAAAGAAAACATATACAACAGTTCATTTCCATTAAGGGGGCACGGGTGGCCCAGTCGTCTAAGGCGCCGCTATTCGCTGTGCAGAGTTGCGTCCCTTGGGCACGCCAGAAACCTATGATTGTGGGTTCGAATCCCGGTTCGCCCCGATTATGTTTCTAGTTTTGTCAGCACCATACCCCTGCTCGTGGGTTTCACCGAAGTGGTAAACGTCTAAGACCTGCATCACTTCGGGCTTTCCTCCCACATTAAGCTGACACGCCGTGATATAACTGGAATAATGTTAAAAGCGGCGTTAAACTCAACTCACTCACTCACTCATTGAAAGAGCATGCTCGATTCTACCTCAAACGTTATGAAATGCAGATACCAAGGGCTGGAGTTGCTGGAACACTGTTCAGCTTAAAGGGAACGTTTACTATCGGAAAGTTGAAGTCATCCCTCTTTTTTGTCACTCTGGATCTTTATGCATAGATCTAGATAATATTATGAAACAGATGAAGAAGTCTCACTGGTCTCCTTTATTTCTATTTCAGGTGGGTATGTCAGTGGAAGGGAATTGGCAATTTGAGTGTTATTGAGCGATATCAGGTCATTGGTGCACGTGAAGCTTAATTAAATTAATTATATTGGCGCAATTCCCTTGTATGTCTACAATCATCCTGCAATAATTATTTCAGGTGGTCCGTCCAACAACCTGCTGTACCTGATGGTGTCCATGCTGAACGACACCCAGTGTCGGCGCGTGTGGCCGCAAGTGAAGGACAACCAGGTGTGCTTCCAGGCGAAGAACACCTCCTCCGAGACTGCTTCTGGGGACAGCGGCAGCGGACTCGTCGCCAAGCTCAGAGGTACGACACACTATTCATCACCCGATGCAAGTTAGATCATTAGATTTTTTGGCAGCCATGAAAGTAAAAGTATTGGCTGTTACTGCAGACCTCACTAACTTCGTATAATATTCTGAAGATTATTTGTCCCCTCAGATGAAGATGAGCGAAATGTTTGGGATAGAACAGTTTCGTATAAGGCTACAGTGGGGTCCGCGTATCGAGGTGAGGGTGAGGGTTTAACGTTGCGCCCAAGATTATTGCACTTGTATAGCACTGAAGATTGGTTTAGTTACTTTAAATGTTGTTTGATGGCCACAAAAGCAACGGTAATGATCTTGACCACAGTCCACACGAAAACTGAAACGCAGCTTCAAGACAATAGTACCAATAGCGTTTAGAGTACAGTAAACTACGTTTATAACGAACACGCTTATAACGAACTGACCGATATTACGAACTTATTTCTTAGTCCGTGCAATTTGCTGTATATATGCTTATAACGAACTACGGCTATTACGAACTAAAATTAGTGGTCCCATTGAGTTCGTTACAACCGTAGTTTAATACTAATTAAGACATAACCAAATCTATAGGATCTTTGAAATGTGGAAAATCGACCTGGTTTTCTTTATAACTTCAAACGAATCATAATTACAATGCATAAATTGATTGTTTAATGTCATGCTTACCACTGGATATGTTCCAGAAGCGTGGCAAAATAGTGTCAAAGTGCCTATATGCAGCGTGTTTACTGACATATGCTTTCATAAACAAGTCTTCGCTTAACCGTTTAGGGTGAAAGCAACGGTAAAGTACCTGTAAACACGCAAAAGGCACTTGTGTTGTGAGTACAGGGGTGTGTTCTGAATCCTTTGGTTTTTTTTTCTTATTCATCAATACATTAGCTGCTGGTATACCTAAAACAATATAATGATAATTGTTAGCGGATGAGGATATTTATTTTCCATTTCTGATAAGTGGACTACAAGACAAAATACGACATACTGAATACCTATTGTTCAACTTGTAAGTTAAACTTTAACCGGATTGTCTGATCCAGACTCCATTATTTACAGAACGCCGTCATACAGGTGGAATATTGCTCAATCAGCAAAAACAAAGAAGAAACACATAACCTTGATCTGGTCGCTTATGCGAAATAATGTAAAAGCTTAACTTGTTTATTCTGGTTTTGTGAAGACGTTAGCTGTGCCCAAACATTTCTCAATACCTTTAAACAATGAACTAGTGGCATATGCCGTCACGAATGGTCTAGCACACGTTCTACCTGTTGTCGTTTTGCTATATATATACAATGTTCAGAATATTGTCCTCGTGATCGAGTTGGGTGCACGCAATTGAATATTGACAATACATTCCTTGACCACACAGTCTGTGTTCTCGCTGTTTTCTTAACCGAATTGAGAACATAAAATTATATAGTTTTGTGTTTATCTGCCCCTCAGTGGAACATGTCAGAAGGGAGCACGTACTAAGTACATATCTCATCAATAGATCAATTTTCTCGCCTCATGTCAACTGTATAAATAAACGGGCTATGGGAGTGTGGGAATGTGATGACAGCATGCACCCCGACGTGCACGTGCAGCGTGATATAACGGAGGAACATTTTCAATGTGTGCGTGCGTGCGTGCAAACTATGATAAAAGGTCTATGGCTCATGATGTTCTTCAATGTGGCTCTGAAAACCGGAAACTTTGACCAATCATGTACGATTTGTATTTGCCACTAGGTGCTCACTTAAACAATATACACGGTGGATTGACAATTTCCACACTTTCGGGTGTCGGAGCCCGTGATTAATATGGTGTTGCTTTTCTTGCAGAGACCAACGTACTGATGGCGACGTACTCGGGAGGACACCCCGGCTCGAATATCCCCGGCGTGTATCTGAGCATCAAATCCTTCGTTCCTTGGATAAAGGAACACATGGGATGGGAGTTGGTGTGAATGTGATGGCAGTATGCACCCCGACGTGCACGTGCGACGTGATATAATCAAGGAGGGACAGAGATATACAATCAGCATGGGTTGCTGATGACCTATTCTACCCCGGGTCCGTTTTATAACAAATATAGAACAATGTTTCCGGCAGACAGAGGAAAATCTAGAGAGATTAAAATCGTTAGGACTTGTCTGAGAGTTTCTTTTACAACTGCATGTTTTGAGTCGCTTTTTGCCTGCTGTTTTACATAATTATTCCAAAGAACGCCGGTCTTACACGTTAAGAGTGCCTGTAAAAGTTGAATACATTTCTAAACACATATATATTATCATAGAGCTTTCTGTAAACTATAAAAATACATGTATTTGTTGATTCACCGTCTTTGTGAAATCACTCTCTTTATCATCTTCCCGAGGCAAGAGAGTTAACTGACTATAAAAGTCGATTTTCCACCCTTGCCGAATGAGTCATGAATTTCTGAATTATAGTTTGGCTGGCTTAACGAGTCTATGCATAGTCTAGTTCGTAAACAACGCCGTTCAGATTTCGGTCTAATGAAGGATTTGCAATGCATGTGTACCGCAAACTGGACGTCAACAGATATTTTCCTAATATTTTCAAGTTTATAATGAACGTGAGTTGATGCACTTAGCTAGGTAAGATCCGTTTCATTAGAAATATAGATCTTAGTTATCGATCAGATCGTCTTGACTGGGCGCCGCCCTTTTTGTTTGAAGCAAATGCAAGTGATATGAGGGGTGTAATCTGATTGGTCAACAGGAGGGACATAGAAGGGACATAACTCGCAATAGCCACTGGTGGTGCCACGGTCAAGCCGCGAAATTCCAACACCGTTCGGCAAGGGTGTAAAGCGGACGTTAACGCCCTTACCTCAGGAAGATGTGTTCATGTTGATTCACGGCTTATGTTGATTGGCGGTCTATGTTGAATCACTGTCTATGGTATATCCCTGTTACTAACGATTCTTGATACTATTGGATTTATATTACATTGATGCCCAGTATATAGCTGCTCGTTATACCACAAATAGTTTCATGTTTTTGAAATAAATATGAAATGATTTTACTAGCATACGCGTTTCTTCAGCGTTAACAATCTATTTTCATTTTGATAGTTTTGCCATTATACATCTTAATATATTTTATTAATGATAAGTTGGCGCAGAGTGAAGAAGCTTGATCATATGGACCGAATTCTAACACTGGTCTGATATGTGACTAGAGTCACGGTCACGACAAGACGGTCACCGTCACAAGACAGTCATGCAAATTATTCATCATCACAAATCTGAATTCAATTTGAACATGTTTGCGCCTAAATCTGTAATATTTCCGTTTAATTGAGGAGCTGTAAAAAAATTAGTGAGTAAGTAAAGTTTTGCACCGCTTTTAGTAATATTCCAGCAATGTAACGGCGGGGGACACAACCAATGGGCTTCACACATTGTACACATGTGGAGAATCGAACTCTGGCCTTCAGCGTTACGAGCGAACGCTTTAACCACGAGGCTACCCCACCGCATCCTCAAAATTAAACCAATAGGATATATTATATACTATATTAACATACATATAATATGAAATATGTCAACATAAGTATCTTAATAACCAATATGATGTCCTGAAATCATCGTGTAATATGAAATATGCAATAACAGCCGATTCGTCCATGTTACTGTAGTTAATCCGTCATGCCATTTTGAACTTCTGGTGATTGGTATATATGCATCTTGTAGCTAAATATGGAGGTGTTGTCAAATAATAACACATAAAAACTGTTAAAAAGCACTGAATTTATTTTCCAAACAAACACATATATTTGAGATCTGTTCGGAGAGTACCGATCCATTTCATAGAGCTAACTATTTGTTGATAATTCCGATGACTTCATGCTAGAGCTAAACAGCATTCTTTGTACAGCAAGACATTATGGCAGTTGAACCGTGACAAACTGTTACAAGTCTGTGACAATATGACACTGCTGTGACAATGTGTGACCATGTCTTGACATTGTTTACGCAGCACTTTTGTCAACAATGTTGTTTTATCTTGGTCGACAGCGTTGTAACCTTTTTATCGTGTGACAAATGTCTACAATGATGTATGGTGTCTAAAAAGTCTTCGCATTGCGATTGACGTTGTCCACGACTGCACTCCGTCACCGCCACCGCAATCCGAGCGATGTGATCATGCATATGAAGCACCCATACAATCACGTTCACCTACACTTCGACACAAAACAATACAGCTTCGCGAAATGGCATTGTGATACACTATATTTAAACATATGTCGGCAGAGATGCTTCCCCTTATAAGTGAACATAAAATGCTTAGCGATGAAGTAACATGGAGCAGACAAAACAAGTCAACTCTCTCTTCTTGTTGTAAAGGAGGTAAATATTTTGAAAATAGATTAAATGATGGAATTCCCATTACAAATCATGAAACAGACCGTCTTAATGGTAACGTCTCTGTATACAGACCGTCTTAATGGTAACGTCTCTGTATACAGGCCGTCTTAATGGTAACGTCTCTGTATACAGACCGTCCTAATGGTAACGTCTCTGTATACAGACCGTCTTAATGGTAACGTCTCTGTATACAGACCGTCTTAATGGTAACGTCTCTGTATACAGACCGTCTTAATAGTGACGCCTCTGTATACAGACCGTCTTAATAGTGACGCCTCTGTATACAGACCGTCTTAATAGTGACGCCTCATGGAACAGACCGTCTTTATGGTGACGTCTCTGTATACAGACCGTCTTAATAGTGACGCCTCATGGAACAGACCGTCTTAATGGTGACGCCTCGTGGAACAGACCGTCTTAATAGTGACGCCTCATGGAACAGACCGTCTTAATGGTGACGCCTCCTTCAACAGGGCGTCTCGGTAATGACGTCTCAAGAAACAAGCCGTTTCAGTGATGACGTCGCAATATACAGATCGTGTCATTGATGACGTCTCAAGAAACAAACAGTCTAATGGTGACGTCTCAGTATACAGATCGTCTCATTGGTGTCGTCTATGAAACAGACCGTCCCAGTGATGACGTCTCGTTGACGTCGCAATATGCAGGCCGTCTCAGCGGTGACGTTTCAAGAAACCTGCCATCTCAGCAGAGAAGTCTCGGGGCATGACCTACTACACTCTATGCCAATGAGCAATGAATGAAATATTCACAGAGATACAAACGATATAAATAATATTTACATAGATAAGAAATTTTGTCTATAGTAGGACGGCATTGCTTATTTACATAATGTACATTACTGTCGCATAGTGGCAAAACAATCATGATATCATTGTAACTGTACGTGATATCACTATAACAGAACTGTAATATCATTATAACCGTACATTATCTTGGTATAACTGTATGTGATATCAGCACGGATAGATGTTCCTTATGAATCTACTAAAGCAGGGCTTGTTTTCAGTTAGGTCTGTTAGAAATTATGAACACCAGAAAACGTTACACATGTGATGTTTCCAAATGAAATCAAGTTCTGCGCGGTTTGTCGCTGCTGCTTTGAATAGTTGGTTTTGCATTAATGTCTTGCATTGATGATAACTCTACAGTGATGGGCAGTCCGTTTGTCAAGAGCTGGAGGTTAACGTGGGTACCTTCAACACTTGCAGATTCATCAACTTCCAACTAGCGATATCAAACTGCAGTAGATCCTTACTCTGTTCGTTGTAATGTTTTTAATTCGTTATTTACTTCGTAATCTCAGATCATGCTCTGTGGTTGAATTAGTTGGTTTGATGAATCTCTTGGCTTTTGGGTGACGCGATCCGGAAACCAGATCTTGAACAGGCTTAATTAATACAGACTTTGTGAACAGTGAGTAGTATACCCCTTAAACAGGGTGGTACGTGGTTTTCCTACAAGTATTTCAATACACATATACAATGAAGTACAGTCTCTAGCAACCGTGGTTAAAACAATTCACCAACGTAATACTTCCAGATATAGTGATATGTGTAATTCCAAACACACACACAAACTGATAGACAGGACAGGCCACGAACCCCTGCAGCCGCCTCACTATTCCCGTTTCGTGACAACTGTGACAAACCACAAACAAGACCTAGTATAGTGTCGCAAAACGGATAAAACATGACACATTATCATAATATTTGTGATACTAAATATTGATATTGATAAAGATACTCATTATTTAAGGTCATACGTTTGTCGTTTTCAAATGTTTAATACATGAAATAAAGCACATAACATAAAATAATTATTCACATTGCGTATTCACACTCCTGAACCTCCATACTCTTACGTTTACTTTCTGAATACTAGTACCCTATCCTTGAAAAACGAAATGTCTCCGGTGTATCTACAGGTTAATGTATCGTCAACTGTCACGGTTTGTCCTGGCTGCAAGAGGATGATATTCTAGATCATCTGATCGACTGTCTACGTCTTAATTAAACAAAGCGCTGATTCTCCAGTTCGCTAAAACCGTTATAAATGACACGTTAATAACCATGACAACTGACAATGTGTGCAGGGTGCGGAGTCCGTGTGGTTGGAAATGGTGGTGGTCCAATGTCAGTCAAAATAGTAGTCATCTTTTATTCGGCGGCACAAACACAGGGCAAACGTCATCCCGAGGACCTGCAAGGTAAAGAATGAAGTAAGTCACATGGGAGTGAGTGAGTGTTGTTTTACGCCGCTTTTAGCAATATTCCAGCAATATCACGGCGGGGGACACCAGAAATGGGCTTCACACATTGTACCCATGTCGGGAATCGAACCCGGGTCTTCAGCGCGACGAGCGAACGCTTTAACCACTTAGCTACCCGACCGCCCCTCAAGACACATGGAGAAAAGGCAGTATATTTGTTTTATATGATGTTAAGGTGATTATCTCAACTTAAGTAATAATTCTCCTCGTTTGGCTGTTTATTGTCAGAAATATACTAGCGGTGACCTGTAAATAATCGAGTCTGGACCAGACAATCCAGTGATCGATATTGTGAGCAACGATTCACGCCGTCGGGGTACTATGACACACAATTAACCAAATCACCAAGCCTATTCTAACCCAGTATCCCAACGCTACTACATCTAGTGGTACAACTACCAGGTCACTTTCTCCTGAAGATCCGGGTTAGAATATGTCTTCAGCAACCCATGCTTGCCATAAAAGGCGATTATGCTTGTCGTGAGAGGCAACTAAAGGGATCGGGTGATCAAGCTCGCTGACTTGTTTGATGCATGTCATCGTATCCCATTTGCGACTGGGATCGATGCTCATGATATCAATCACTCAATTATTTACGAACCGTGCGGCGGTAAACAACAAACAAACCAGGCAACTACATGTACGCTGTGAAGAGTTGCGTCCCTTGGGCATGCCAGAAACCTATGATTGTGGGTTCGAATCCCGGTTAGCCCCGATTGTGTTTCTAGGTTTGTCAGCATCATACACGTGCTCGTGGGTTTCACCGAAGTGGTAAACGTCTGAGACCTTAATCACTTCGGGCTTTCCTCCCACATCAAGCTGAAACGCCGTGATATAACTGCAATACTGTTAAAAGCGGCATTAAACCCAACTCACTCACTCACTCACTCACTACATGTACGTATACTGAAAGAGCATGACATTAATACAACTAGCATTATCCTTACCATCATTGCAGCCACGCCCACCCCTACCCCACCAAGTATCCGTGCGTTGCTTGCGAGGAAAGCAAAAAACTTCGTGTAGCAACCCTGAAACAAAATTCACAAACGGCATCAACCAAGAAGATAATGACCAAATAACATTACAAGTTATTATTTTGACTTATCACATAAATCTACGGTGGTCGCATGGTGATCCATTTATAACAGACATTGTGTCGGGGAAGTAATTATCCGGCTTTGATTGCGTCCTACCTCTGTAAACATCTGGTCATTGAAGGTGATGTCAACCACCGGAGGCCCGACCGCTGGTGTCAGTTTGGGATAGTCCAATCCGGTACACTTTGTCAGGTTCTCGGACATCTGTGTTTTACAACAGCTGTCGGGGATGTACCTTCTGATACCTAAAACAGACAAACAACAGACATACATCAGACGAGACACGTCTCTCAGACATCTGTGTTTTACAAATGCTGTCAGGGTTTTACCTTCTGATACCTAAAACAGACAAACAACAGACATACATCAGACGACACACGTCTCTCAGACATCTGTGTTTTACAACAGCTGTCGGGGATGTACCTTCTGATACCTGTAACAGACAAACAACAGACATACATTAGACGACACACGTCTCTCAGACATCTGTGTTTTACAACAGCTGTCGGGGATGTACCGTCTGATACCTGTAACAGACAAACAACAGACATACATCAGACGACAACCGTCTCTCACACATCTGTGTTTTACAACAGCTGTCGGGGATGTACCGTCTGATACCTGTAACAGACAAACAACAGACATACATCAGACGACACACGTCTCTCAGACATCTGTGTTTTACAACAGCTGTCAATGTGCGCCGTTTGTCATCTTTAACATGCAAAATTGAAGAATGCAATTTTTTAATTATTTTGACAAAATACCTGTCCACTGAACCCGGCTAGGATCTGACCAGTGGCCGGCCCCTATTCCCACCATGGTCAGTAGTTGCCACTACGTACACCCTCCCGCACCTCACACAGTATCTACCGACTGTATGTCCCAGGTGTACGCTATATCATAAGTAATACACGAGTCAGGTAGATTATGCCCCGGCGTTGCCAGGCTACCTGTCACATTTTCTCTTTACAATAATACATTTTCGGCCTAACGAGACCCTAAATTAGATCCCCACCTCGCTCGTGCAATGCTATCTTGACCGTCTCACTCCAGGGTGAACGACAAGATATCCCACTTAGCTTCGCCCAAAGTCTGGCGTGATTTGTGGAGCCGAAGCAGCAAATGTCAGTATTGATAACGCAAGTATTACGGACGTAACAGATAGCGAGAGGCGAATGTTCATCTGAAGGAGATAGCCGCTAGAATTATTGAAACCATTACAGTTATACGGTTGGAATGGAGAGGCTGTATGACAAGCATACAGTCCTGACTATAGGTGTGTTCAGACCTGGAACAATCATACCATTGGATGATAGTGTGAGTAGCAGTCTAGTGAGTGAGTGAGTTGGGTTTAACACAGCTTTTAACAGTAATACAGTGATATCACGGCGTGTCAGCTTAATGTGGGAGGAAAGCCCGAATTGATGCAGGTCTCAGACGTTTACCATTTCGGTGAAACCCATGAGCGCGGGTATGGTGCTGACAAACCTAGAAACATAATCGGGGCGAACCGGGATTCGAACCCACAATCATAGGTTTCTGGCGTGCCCAAGGGACGCAACTCTGCACAGCGAATCTCGGCGCCTTAGACGACTTGGCCACCCGTGCCCCCGAGTAGCAGTTTTATTAGTGAGTGAGTATGGTTTAACGCCGCTTTTAGCAATATTCCAGCAATATCACGGCGGGGGACACCAGAAATGGGCTTCACACATTGTACCCATGTCGGGAATCGAACCCGGGTGTTTGGCGTGACGAGCGAACGCTTTAACCACTAGGCTACCCGACCGCCCCAGCAGTTTTATTAAGCGGGGTACGCAGACCAACCAAAGCTGGTATCCGCTGCGGATGTCACCCTCTCCCTCAACTCGTTGTTAGGTTAAGCCGACCATAGTAACAGGAGTGGGGCACGGGTGGCTCAGTCGTCTAAGGCGATGCGATTCGCTGTGCAGAGTTGCGTCCCTTGGACACGCCAGAAACCTCAGATTGTGGGTTCGAATTCCGGTTAGCCCCGATTATGTTTCTAGGTTTGTCAGTACCATACCCGTGCTCGTGGGTTTCACCGAAGTGGTAAACGGCTTAGACCTGCATTACTTCGGGCTTTCCTCCCGAATTAAGCTGACACGTCGTGATATAACTGGTTAAACCCAACTCACTCACTCACTACTTAGAGGAAACGCGCAGACACAAAGGGCCGTTCTGTCTCTTAACACACACGTAGGGACACGTATTAGTCTTATAGTTTGTTTGTCTGTTTGTTGTTTAACGCCGCACTCAGCAATACTCCAGCTATATGACGTCTCCCTGTAAATAATCGAGTCTGGACCAGACAATCCAGTGATTGACATCATGAGCTCATGATACACACAAGCAACACACATTAAACTGAGGACCTAGTCTGTCTCATGTACACACAGGCTACACACACTATACTGAGGACCTAGTCTGTCTCATTATACACACAGGCAACACACTATATACTGAGGACCTAGTCTGTCTCATGTACAAACAGGCAACACACACTATACTGAGGACCTAGTCTGTCTCATGATACACACAGGCAACACACATTATACTGAGGGTCTGGTCTGTCTCATGATACACACAGGCAGCACACACTATACTGAGGACCTAGTATGTCCCATGATACACACAGGCAACACACACTATACTGAGGACCTAGTATGTCCCATGATACACACAGGCAGCACACATTACACTGAGGACCTAGTCTGTCTCATGATACACACAGGCAGCACACACTATACTGAGGACCTAGTATGTCCCATGATACACACAGGCAACACACACTATACTGAGGACCTAGTATGTCCCATGATACACACAGGCAGCACACATTACACTGAGGACCTAGTCTGTCTCATGATACACACAGGCAGCACACATTACACTGAGGACCTAGTCTGTCTCATGATACACACAGGCAGCACACATTATACTGAGGACCTAGTCTGTCTCATGATACATACAGGCAGCACACATTACACTGAGGACCTAGTCTGTCTCATGATACACACAGGCAGCACACATTACACTGAGGACCTAGTCTGTCTCATGATACACACAGGCAGCACACATTACACTGAGGACCTAGTCTGTCTCATGATACACACAGGCAGCACACATTACACTGAGGACCTAATCTGTCTCATGATACACACAGGCAGCACACATTACACTGAGGAACTAGACTGTCTCATGATACACACAGGCAGCACACATTACACTGAGGAACTAGACTGTCTCATGATACACACAGGCAGCACACATTACACTGAGGACCTAGTCTGTCTCATGATACACACAGGCAGCACACATTATACTGAGGACCTAGTCTGTCTCATGATACATACAGGCAGCACACATTACACTGAGGACCTAATCTGTTGCATTATGCACACATATACATTTCCAGCTTAATGACGCTGCCACCATTGTGTAAGTATCTGACCATGTTACCTGTCTGGTTCTTGTACCACAGGGTGTTCTCCTTGTAGTACGCCCAAGATGTCGTCGAGTTGATGCCACCATCCACTCCACAGCAACCGAACTGAGAAGAAACAAATACAAAATTACGCGTCAGTATTGTTCCTCTTCCTTAGGGATGATTACATATGCCTATCAAGGTACGACAAAGTGTTAAGATTTACGTCCCTTTGCCGTGTCAGGATCCCTATCTCGTTCTTGTGGCAAACGTCTTCGAACCCCGTCACCTTGAGATTTTCTGTTACAGTTGGTGATTTCAACTTCAGGCTTTAACCTAACTCACTATTTAATTATGATGCCAATGGAATCGACAAAGCCCTTTCCATATTTATGAGAAATTTGCGATTCTGACTACATCATGAGAATGTGTTTATGAATCCCTATCAAATAGTGATGGTACAAGGTATTCATGAAAAGGTGCGCGTACCCTGCACCACCGATAGAACAAACACATGCAAAGGCAAGTCAATTGTTCACCTGATCAAAACCTTAATTATGGTACAAGGGAATTGGTCACTGATGTGTCAAATTTGGAAATGTCCTCCATATATCTACAATAACAAATTTTGAAAGCTTTAATGAGGCCTTGAATGTTCTGACCTTGGTAATTATAAAACAACTTCTGAGCAAGAGTTTATGACGCTCTTTGAAATCTAGGTAGAAAGAGCTTGCTCGATTGTACCTCAAAATTGGCGAAATGGAAACACTAGGGGCTGGAGCTGCATGAATACTGCTCGACATAAAGGGAATGTTGATTATCGAAAAGTTGTAGTCATCCCTCAGGGAGACCAGACCGGGATGATGTGTAGTTTTACTTGGTACTGACCCTTGAAGATGCAATCCATCCTTGTCAATCCATGCTTGCCGAAAAATGGGACTATGCTTGTCGTACGAGGCGACTAACGGGAAGGGGTGGTCACGTTCACTGATTTGGTTGATGCTTGTCATCGTATTCCAATTGCGTGGACCGACGCTCATGATATCAATCACTGGAAGTCTGGTCCAGAGTTACTAATTTACATACCGCCGTCATATTGCCGGACTATTGTTAAGGGCAGCGTTAAAAAACAAACAAACAAAAAAACTTGGTACCGGAGCAGTCCAGTCCCTGCCTTCTGGGTATGGTAATACATTGTATCAGCTATCTCACCGCAGAGCAGAGGAAATTACGGTAGGCAAAACTGGGCGTCTGTAACCTGGGCCTCCGTGGGTTAGAGTTGGGCGGCATTGTCACTTCTGATCGTCTTGTCTAGTTTGACGTTCCCACTATGTAAGTTTTAGGGCATATTACCATTGAGAACACTACAAATCGGCTTCAATTGTCATTAGGATAAGCTAGCATGGGGCTTGATCATCAGGCTTTGGTTGTAGGACATTACATCCAAACGGTGGTGTTTGTTGTTCGCCAGTGCAGTACCTGGTTCAGGTTCGAATCTGCCACGGTGATATTGGTAAAATATTGCCGACTGCCGCTCAGTCATTTCTGCACGACGAACAATTAAACGCCCCAAACACACGTCTGTGACCCCCCCCCCCCCCCCCCCCCCCCTCCCCCCCACAACAGTCCGACCTAACCCAGTCGGGATTTTTTATTCACATGCTTCAAGCAGCGTGCACTCGCTTCAGAAATACACTTACAGAATTTATGGCAATCGTTGACTTCTCTGCAGCATGTTTGAGATTCTTCATCTCATTCCAATGCTACAGATGTAATGCGAACAATGTCTCCATCATTAAGTCTTCCAATGTAACCTGACTGTCGCTGTAGGTTAGAGTGGGCCAATCAGAGCGACACTCACACCGAACCTAGCCTACAGAGAGTTTCATCATGTCATAGAGGTAATCATCCCTGTTGTGTCCCTTGACGTTGAGAATACAATGAATTCTAATGCGAATAGCGCACTGGCTTGGTATGTTTGCTCATACGTGATTCAAGATGATAGAACATCATTTTAAGCCAGGCGCATTTTGTTTTAACGGATGAGACTTTGAAATATAAATAGGATATTTTTGTGTAAGAATCTGCCTTTAAATCAACCCTTGAAATAACTTTCTTTCGCCTCTTGCATCTTGTCACGTTAACCTGAACATTCGTGAAACATGTAGAAGGTTTGTCTGGTTGGAGTGGAAATATAATATTTTGGAAGCTGCATGTTTAAGTTCATGTTATTTTGCAAGCATAAAGTACGAGTCAGATGTCGGTTCCAGCTTTGTACTGGATAATATTCACCTTCCTAATTCAATGAAACTGTCGACCAATCTGCCACCCACTTTCCCTGAGCGCTTGCTCATGTGATATTTAACAGAACGTCGAGTGTAAGGACAGTCCTTCAAAATTGTCATGTAATTTTCAGGATAAATAGTTTATACGGCGTCCTGGCCCTAACAACGTCCCGTTCTCTTTGGTCACCGTGACCTGTGCTTCATACACAAACGACCTTGTCAAGGCCAGGCTAAATATTCCTGAAAACTCACAATTTTTTGCATAAAATCCCACGCATTTGTAACTGGATCTTTTCCTGCCATGCCGTAACTTGAGTTCAGTGACCGATACAGCTCGTTTATCGTATGCTCGCCAATCTGGAAATAATAATAATAACGATCATAAGTATAATCATAATGGGAGGGCGTGGTTTGATTAACGTTGGGGCTCTTCGTGATAGAATTGTTTTGTGCTCTTTTGTACACATTTATTTGTCTGATGATCCTCTTGTGAAGCATGTCAAGACTCATGATGAAAACAAGGCAACGAGCCAAGGATGTGGGACATAATCTCAATGTCAATGTTGTTTTAGTTGATGGTTCTGTACTGCTGGACCGTGCGGAAATGAGTGTCGACCAAGCGAAGAGCCATATCAAATCGGCCCAGACTCAGTTTTTCAAGGAGAGGCTATCTGAACGACCACTGCATCGAGTTTATGTGCAGTGCGTTGAGAAAATCAGCAACCCTGCGGAGTCCTTCGCTTGGATGAAGGCGGCTGGCATGAAAAGTGCTGCTCAGGACCAGTCACTTCCTATTCGAGACCGCCAGTGTGTGATTTTGCAAAATGTAAATATGAAATGTAGATTGTGCAATGAATTACGTGAGACTGCCCAACACATTGTCAGTGGGTGCCCCGCGTTAGCATATACACAGTATCCTAAGCGACGATCATTTTATTACCGTCTTCGCAATGCTTGTGGTTTTGACACAGAGGTCCATCCATGGTACGACCCGGAATAGGGCGTCATGGAAAATGTAAATACAAAATTCTTTGGAATAGGTCAGTTTACAGCCTCAGACGTATCCGGGCCTACAAACCTGATCTTGTCCTTTTTGATAAATCCAATTATAACACGTATAACATTTAATTTTCTGTCCCTTTTGACACTATTTTGATTGACAAGATTCAAGAAAAATATGGCAAATATGTGGACCTCCCTTTCGAAATTTCCCGCTTACATCCCAAGTACCAAGTTGTCCTACCCCCTATTATTCTCGGTGTCTTAGGCTTGGTACCTCCCAATCTGTTGACTGACATTGGGAGAGTACCCGGGGTTGCTACCAGGAATACAGCCCTTCTGACAATCTGGGTAATGCAGAAGGCTGCAGTGTTGGGGAGTTTTCACATTCTCCGAAAGGTTCTGGGTGGGTTTGGCTAGGCAGCGCTTCCTGGGAGAAGTCCCATTCGCTGTCTGGGCTGCGTGTAGAGGGGGCAAGGGCCCTGAGCTGATGATGATGAGCCTAACAAGCCTGACTGTGCCAGGATCACCCAAACTCTCTTTGATGCATTTTTTTTATTTTAATATGTCAATAATTATAATAACAATAACAAAAACAATAATCATAATAATATTGGTTCAATGAAGCCTGGGGCTAGATAGGTGCAACCACATGGCACCTACCTGGTTTGAAATGTTGTAAATTTGTGCAGAAAAACGCAAATTTCATTTGTTTCAAAGATAAGATGTTTAAGATATGTGATTTTTTTTAAAAAGACAAAAAGTTATAAATAAAAATATATTCTAAACATTAGAACCATGTGGAGGTATTCTATGAGTGTTCACTGAGCGCCAGCACATTTCATGTTTTGGATATGATATCGCTAACGTAAGATATTGAAAAATCAAGCATGTGATAAACTGGACTGCGTGGTCTAATTTCTTTTCTTCCTCAGTTTAACGTATTATACGTATCGCACGACTGATTTAATCTAACTTGCTTGATTTACTTTTGACTAGTTCAAATAACTACAAAGCGACACCAGCAAGTCAAAGACGTATACAGATATGACAACAGCTACAAACCAGGTCTCATATGGCTAGCTTTGTCCTACACATGTCTAGACGGTTTAATTAGTACCGTGTGTGAAATGTGTATAGCTGGATCGTAATAAAGTTAGGGTGTCTGCTTGCTGCTTGGTAAATTAGAATATGAAACCTTACAGACGAGGAAGGGTTTGCTGTCATGATGATGATGTCCTACCTGGCCTCTGTATGCATAGACGAGGACGCCGCCCACGACAAGCCCGAAGAACATCACAAGCAGTAAGGCGAAGAACTGCAACAGACACCAGTACTTAGCTAGAGCATCATGGGGTGCATATACATACATACATACATACATGAAGGTATTAATTGCATGTCTATGCAAGGTTAAATACACGTTTCAAAGGTAAATCCCGAATTCTACATAAGGTTATTCACACGTGTCAACAGGAGAAAACGAGTATGTGTATGACTACATAAGGGTACTTACTCGTTTCAACCAGAGTTGTATGTATGTCTACATGAGTTTATTTACACGTGTCAACCAGAGCTATATAAGTTCTGCACCAGGCGTAAATGTCTCCACAATAGTTCATGGTACAGTGGAATGCTTAGAGGTACCTGTAAGCTTTATGTTACAGTTAAAGACCCAGAGGTGTCCAATGTCTACTTCAGGTTACAGTTAAAGACTCGGGGGTGTCCGATGTCTACTTCAGGTTACAGTTAAAGACTCGGGGGTGTCCGATGTCTACTTCAGGTTACAGTTAAAGTCTCAGAGGTGCCCAATGTCTAGTTCAGGTTACAGTTAAAGACTCGGGAGTCTCCAATGTCTACTTCAGGTTACAGTTAAAGACTCGGGGGTGTCCAATGTCTACTTCAGGTTACAGTCAAAGCATCGGGGTGTCCGATGTCTACTTTGTGTTACAGTTAAAGACTCAGAGGTGTCCGATGTCTACTTTGTGTTACAGTTGAAAACCAGAGGTGTCCGATGTCTACTTTATGTTACAGTTGAAGACACAGAGGTGTCCGATGTCTACTTTATGTTACAGTTGAAGACTCAGAGGTGTCCAATATCTACTTTGTGTTACAGTTAAAGACACAGAGGTGTCCGATGTCTATTTTATGTTACAGTTGAAGACACAGAGGTGTCCGATGTCTATTTTATGTTACAGTTGAAGACACAGAGGTGTCCGATGTCTACTTTATGTTACAGTTGAAGACTCAGAGGTGTCCAATATCTACTTTGTGTTACAGTTAAAGACACAGAGGTGTCCGATGTCTATTTTATGTTACAGTTGAAGACACAGAGGTGTCCGATGTCTATTTTATGTTACAGTTGAAGACACAGAGGTGTCCGATGTCTATTTTATGTTACAGTTGAAGACACAGAGGTGTCCGATGTCTATTTTATGTTACAGTTGAAGACACAGAGGTGTCCGATGTCTATTTTATGTTACAGTTGAAGACACAGAGGTGTCCGATGTCTATTTTATGTTACAGTTGAAGACACAGAGGTGTCCGATGTCTATTTTATGTTACAGTTGAAGACACAGAGGTGTCCGATGTCTATTTTATGTTACAGTTGAAGACACAGAGGTGTCCGATGTCTATTTTATGTTACAGTTGAAGACACAGAGGTGTCCGATGTCTATTTTATGTTACAGTTGAAGACACAGAGGTGTCCGATGACTGTTTATGTTACATGCGATGATAGGAAGCTGGTAGATGTATTACCGTAACCAGCATGCATCGGACTTCCTTGATGGCGCCGCAGCATCCGAGGAATGAGAGAACGATGACCACGCCCCCAGTTACCATGAGAGCCAATGACAGTATGGAGTAGAGATTGCTGCCCAAGATGGCCGACACCTTCGTGATCCCCGTCTGGCTGGTGCGGGTGTAGATGCCCAGCCCTAACAACCCACATCCTGCGACCTGGAACATCGAATATGACGTTCAAACAAGCACACATGTTATAATGAAGTCGGATAAAATACATTGTCCACTTCAAGTTTCACTGACAGTTCATTTTGAAATAATTAATGCCATGTTTTATGTGGATGGAGAATACAAAAATGATTTTCAACATATTCCTTGGAAATGCCCAGATCTGACTGAAGCGTGTGCTGTTATGCCAATATCATACGCATCGAAAAAACCCTTGAGCATTCTTCAATTACCGTTAAGTGTAGAAATGTCTATCTAATGCACTGGCTGTAGACACATCGATTAACTTTGAAAAGTAATACATTGAACTAGACAAGAGGTCATAACACAGAAAGGTCAAGATTGGAGATGCGGTGGGAAGTTTCCGATAACATGAAATATTGTCCCTGACCAATTAATAGTTGGTTTTGTTTGGGTTTTATTTGGGTTTTTTTTTTTTTTTTTTGGGGGGGGGGGGGGGGGGGGGGGGCTCACAGAAAATTTATCTAATATTTATTTTGTGCGGTGTTTTCTTCAGATACACTTAAAATTAGTCAATACGTCATGTATGGTTGCAAGCCACGGGTCAAAGCAGTGCCATTTACACCAGCACAATGTGATCGTGGAACATGAGGATGTTACAGGCATTGATCGCGAGTCACTCCGCCATACTGATGAAGGACTCGCTTGCCCCCTGTGTCCTGAATTCAGTTAGATTAACGGTGTAGCTATCTCAGAAAAATAGCTATACATTGATCCAAAGTTTGTCGATTTCCGGACCACGATAATGAAACACTTAATCGTGAGTTGAGAGCTGCATGGACCTTCAACGGGACTTGTTATCGCGGAGATAAAGCGGGGAATTGTTTAAGATGTTAGCCTTAGAAACAGGCTCGAGACTCGTTGAAGGATGAGACTTTCAAATAAAATCGGAGCTTTGATGTGAATCTCCCTTCAAGCAAAAGGATGGCACCCCATTAAACTGTTTGCGTTGTAAAACATAATCATGTAGGAGTGAAGCGTCGTAACTCTCCATGACATCAGCATCTGTTTGAAATGAAACCACACAGCCTTTGATTTATCACTCGTAATAAGTCGAAACACGACTGGGATTGTCAGACACTGGACTTTGAAATTTGATGAGTGTTATAAAAGGGAAACGGGAACGTCATACATTGGGGACATAACACCAAAAGAGAAAGCGTTGTTCATGGAACACCTGGTGTCTGCACTTCCTCTGTGCTGTGTCCTGTGTCCTGTGTTCTGATTCGCATATCGTGTGTGGCATTTGATTTCCGTGGCTGATATCTTCCCGGCACCTACTTTCAACTCTATGAAATCATATTACAGTGAACTACGGTTATAACGAACACGCTTATAACGAACTAACGGATATAACGAACTAACTTTTTAGTCCCGACTATTTGCTGTAGCTATACTGTATATATGCTTATAACGAATTACGGTTATAACGAACTAAAATTAGTAGTCCCTTTAAGTTCGTTATAACCGTAGTTTACTGTAGTATAGATTTTCGACACTGTTGGAATGCACCCCCTTCCAGTGTAAGAGCCAGCTGAAATAAGGTCGCGATAAGCTATATGAAATCACCATGAGTATGGTGAGATAGATTTATGTGATTATAAGTCCTACTACAATGTTACTAACCAGAAGAGAAAGGTCAGTCAGTTATTTCGAATGTGAACGACACCGATAACATATTTCCGTTACATCCGGGGCTTGTTGGTTGGTTGGTTGTTTAACGCCACACTCAGCAATATTCCAGCTATACGACGGCGGTCTGTAAATAATCATCGAGTCTGGACCAGACAACCCAGTGATTGATGTCATGAGCATCGATCAACGCAATTGAGATCGATGACATGCATCAACCAAGTCAGCCATCCTGACCCCCCGATCCCGTTAGTCGCCTCTTACAACAAGCACAGTCGCCATTTACGGCAAGCATGAGTTGATGAGGACCTATTCTAACCCGGATCTTCACGGGTCGGGGGCTTGTAATCTGGTTCTGGAATAACGGTAAGAAGACGGCGGCTGGTGGCCCAGATGTTAAAGGGTGTGACAAGAACCCTGGAGACATTCCCCAAAAGTTCAAAAGTGCGAAGCCCACTGACACTGTCGAGACAAAACAACGAATGAGGTTCGTTATGTCCGATCTTCGGTACATTATTTGTGTTTGTTTAACGCAGTAAACCGACACAATCCAACGACGACGTTCCGTTGTCCGTGTTGTCACAGACCCGCAATTTACACTGGACGAAGCACAGGAATATCTATTGTGACCGTTGGAAGGTGTAACGAGGACAACGAATCAAGTCGTCCTCAACAATCCTCTGATACCCAGCATCAGTAATGACATGATTACAGACTTTATGTCGGTGATGGAGACGCTATCGCGGACGCTGTCGTGGATGTTGTCCTACTTGGGGAATCAAACAGTGGTATTGACACGTTCCCGGGATAATTGCAGTTAGAAACACCAAGTCTTATAACTCTTGTGTCAGTGTGGGAGTGAGTGGAGGGGTCACCAGTAGCACTCCATGTCAATAGTGATTAGTCCAGATACTCGCAATTAAATCTTAAGGTGGAGTGAGTGAGTGAGTTGGTGTTAACAGTAATACAACGGCCATTAATCATAGATTTCTGGAACACCCCGAGGATGCAAATCGACACAAACGTGCCTCAATTCAGGTTCATCTGAACGGAGAAGCTGAAGTGATATTTAAGAGAGACATTAAGAGATCCAATGCCACATTTATAGTTCTCCGTGAGGCGCGTGTTGAGAAACAGCCGTCATGGCTGATAGTGTTAATGGCGCGATCGAGGGGGGTGAATTAAGCCGAGTAGGCATGTCGAGCTCATTATGATGCCATTACGACCCAGACAAAAGCTATAATTTGCACCGACAGAGTCAAATACATGAGAAAACCACCTGGATGAATAGACGGGAAGAATTAAAGATTTTGTTTTGTTTGTTTGTTGTTTAACGCCGCACTCAGTAATGTTCCAGCTGTATGACCTCTCTCGGTAAATAATCAAGTCTGGACCAGACAATCAAGAGATGGACATCATGAGCATCGATCCACTCAATTGGGATCGATGACATGCATCAACCAAGTCATCGAGCCTGACCACCCGATCCCGTAAGTCGCCTCTTACGACAAGCACAGTTGCCTTTTACGGAAAGTATGTTGGGTTTAATGCCGCTTTGAACAGTATTCCAGTAATATCACGGCGTGTCAGCTTGATATGGGAGGAAAGTTATGCAGGTCTCAGACTTTTACCACTTTGGTGAAACCCACGAGCACGGGTATGGCCAAACATAATCGGGGCGAACCGGGATTTTCGAAACATCATAGGTTTCTAGCGTGACTAAGGCGGCGCCTTACACGATAGGCCCGTGCCCCTACCCACCCCACAAGCATAAACCATGACTCACCAGGATGATGGCGTTGAACAGGAACATGGAGTATTTGAGGAAGTTACCACATCCATTGAGGCCCATCTTGGATGACTAAAACACAGAAAAGATATGGTGAGTGAGTAGGATTTTACGCAAAATCACGGCGGTTGGCGTACAAATCGCCTTCACGCATTTGGGGAATCGAACCTACGGCGTGACGATGGAATGCTTTAAACACTGCTCCACCGCCCAGAAAAACAAGACGAATCTTCAAATCCCGTGAGACACGAGCTAAATATCCCGTGACTTAAGAGAATATTATTCTAACCCTGTCATGTGAGGGTAATGCATACTTGACTGGGCGTGGAAACAATAAAATTCTTCGTGAAATGAGAAGAAAACGTACATTTTCACTTGCAATAAGGAATACCCTGTCTGTCTGATATAATAATGTGAGTGAGTGAGTGAGTTGGGTTTAACGCCGCTTTTAACATTATTCCAGTTATATCACGGCATGTGGGAGGATAGCCCGAAGTGATGCAGGTTTCAGATGTTTACCACTTCGGCGAAACCAACGGGCACGGGTATGGTGCTGACAAACCTAGAAACATAATCGGGGCAAACCGGGATTCGAACCCACAATCATAGGTTTCTGGCGTGCCCAAGGGACGCAACTCTGCTCAGCGAATTGCGGCGCCTTAGACGACTGGGCCACCCGTGCCCCCTCCTATGTTGCGTAATGCTCGATTACCCAGTGTATATTACATCTGTATTCTATTCGATGTACGACGAACCCCTTCGACAACATATCTTTGTTCCGGAAGTGACGTCCCCACTTCCATCGAGGTAATATCTAAGTACCCACAACATTTCTCTCTCATGATAGTAATTTGGTATGACGAGAATTTTTAGCGTCGTGCTTTCGAAACAAAGCGAAAATAAGGCAATGGTATCGAATTGGTCCAGGTACGTATTTATCACATAAAGGTATAACACACTGGATAATCGAGGGTGGCGTGACGTATGAACAATACATGCTGAATACAGAAAACACGTGGATTGTGTATCGGAACAACAACTAAATATCCATGCTAGGCAAAAGCTATACCTCCAACGTGCGATTCGAGAATACTATCAGAACCTGAGAACAATGAAATCTCCGAGTAACCTGAGAACAATGAAAACTCCAAGTAATCTGAGAACAATGAAATATCCGTGTAACCTGAGAACAATGAAACCTCCGTGTAACCGGAGAACAATGAAATCTCTGTGTAACCTGAGAACAATTAAATCTCCGTGTAACCTGAGAACAATGAAATCGCTGTGTAACCTGAGAACAATGAATACTCCGTGTAACCTGAGAACAAAGAAATCTCCGTGTAACCTGAGAACAATGAAAACTCCGTGTAATCTGAGAACAATGAAATATCCGTGTAACCTGAGAACAATGAAACCTCCGTGTAACCTGAGAACAATGAAATCTTTGTGTAACCTGAGAACAATTAAATCTCCGTGTAACCTGAAAACAATGAAATCTCTGTGTAACCTGAGAACAATGAATACTCCGTGTAACCTGAGAACAATGAAATCTCCGTGTAACCTGAGAACAATGAAAACTCCAAGTAATCTGAGAACAATGAAATCTCCGTGTAACCTGAGAACAATGAAATCTCCGTGTAACCTGAGAATAATGAAAACTCCGTGTAATCTGAGAACAATGAAATCTCCGTGTAACCTGAGAACAATGAAATCTCTGCGTAACCTGAGTACAATGAAATCTCTGTGTAACCTGAGAACAATGAATACTCTGTGTAACCTGAGAACAATGAAATCTCCGTGTAACCTGAGAACAATGAAAACTCTGTGTAATCTGAGAACAGTGAAATCTCCGTGTAACCTGAGAACAATGAAATCTCTGCGTAACCTGATAACAATGAAATCTCTGTGTAACCTGAGAACAATGAATACTCCGTGTAACCTGAGAACAATGAAATCTCCGTGTAACCTGAGAACAATAAATACTCCGTGTAAACTGAGAACAATGAATACTCCGTGTAACCTGAGAACAATGAAATCTCCGTGTAACCAGAGAACAATGAAAACTCCGTGTAATCTGGGTACAATGAAATCTCCGAGTAACCTGAGTACAATGCAATCTCCGTGTAACCTGAGAACAATGCAATATCCGTGTAACCTGTGAACAATGAAATCTCCGTGTAACCTGAGAACAATAAATACTCCGTGTAACCTGAGAACAATGCAATATCCGTGTAACCTGAGAATAATGAAATCTCTTTGTAACCTGAGAACAATGCAATCTCCGTGTAACCTGATCACAATGCAATCTCCGTGTAACCTGTGAATATTGCAATATCCGTGTAACCTGAGAACAATGAAACCTCCGTGTTACCTGAGAACAATGAAATCTCTGTGTAACCTGAGAACAATGAAATCTCCGTGTAACCTGGGAACAATGAAATCTCCGTGTAACCTGAGAACAATGAGTACTCCGTGTAACCTGAGAACACTGAAATCTCCGAGTAACCAGTGAACGATGAAATCTCCGTGTAACCTGAGAACAATGCAATATCCGTGTAACCTCAGAACAATGAAAACTCCGTGTAACCAGTGAACGATGAAATCTCCGTGTAACCTGAGAACAATGCAATCTCCGTGTAACCTGAGAACAATGAAATCTCCTTGTGACGTAATGTAAATGAATACCCCGTGTGATTTGAGGAAAATGAAAAAATACAGTGTCACGTGAGAACAGTGAAAAGTCCTAGTAATGTCAAGACAACGATAATCCCGTGTAATGTGAGATAAAGGAAATCCCCATGTCTTCTTACATGAATGAAATCTCCGTGTAACATGAGATCAAAGAATACCCAGTGTGACGTGTGAACAAGGAATGCCGTGTGTAATTCGAAAATAATGAAGTCTCCCTGTAACGTGAGAACGAAGAATTCCGCGTGTAACGTAAGAAAAACTGATATACCGTGAAAAAGACCCATCCTAACCGTGATCAATACATTTTATAATTCGTAAAATTAGAGGGGAGTGGAGGGGTTAAAGATGCCACATGTTAAAATCATATGTGTTTTGAAGAATAGTAAAGACCTTATCAGACTGGAAACTTTAAGGTTGGGGAAGGTTGTTTTGTGAAAAAGAAAAATCATATTTTTCAGTATTTCCCACCAAACGACGGCTGAAAATGTTTTTTGTTTACGGAAAGAATTTGCCAAAACTTTAAAATGGCCAAACCATTCGCATTGATTGAACTACCCGACATCATATAGAAGCCAATTGTAATCATGTTCAATATACGTGTAATGTCTGTTAAAACTAAAGTTTAATCCCTTGCATATTCCACCATGAACAAACACTTCACCCTAAAGAAATAAGCGATACCGTCTTCGTGGAATGACCTCATGTTGGCAACAATTTGGAACATTTACATTTCAAAATGTTACGTGTTTTCTGAGACACAGCTCCCATTTTTGGCAGTGACAAGGTGACCTTGTGAACTATTGATTGCGCATTGACTGTCAACAACCCCTGCCCTTGCAGTGTGCTCATCAGAGGTCAGGACGATCTGAGAGTTGACTTAAGCATGCACATCGTTAGATGTCAATCCACGGGCAAAGAAACAAGACCCGCTAGAAATATGTACCTGAAACACCTGCTTAAATCGACACAACTTTATAATAGAGACATTAACAAGTGCATGTCGTGATCTTAGTGTCTTGCAGCGATGGCGGCATAAGGTGTTGGTCTTTGTTCTACAAAGCGGTCTTAGCGCTACGATTGTCGTAATTACATGTTAAAGAAAGGAGCTCCGATAGTTTGTATATAATGTATTTTGTGTATTTTATCTTTAGTTGTGTCATCGTATAACCGCTAAGATAGCTTTGAAGAATGGGCCCTGGGCCACCCCTTTTCACAAAGCGGTCGTAGCGCAACGACTATCGTAAGTCTTGGCTGGGGCGTAAGTCCTTGTTAGTTACGGCAATCATAGCGCTGCGATCGCTTCATGGAACGAGGTCCTGCATATGACCATGTCCAATGTTTTGTTCTTACTTTGATTCTCAATACATCATATAAAGATACACCGAACCCCATTAATGCTGACACCGAAACCGCTTACAGTGAAATCATCCCATTTAAACAAATCAAGATGAAGTAACCACGTTCGGATGTCCATTTGACACTGACAGTCCATAATGAGTGGTGTCCGCACTATCGGGGTCCTGACTCACCGGTATTGCCATTAATACTAAAATGTAGAAAATGTATATTTTATGAATGATACAGATAACGTTGGGAGTAGAGATACCTAACAGTGACGGGGAGGTGGAGTAGGCTATAATACAGATAACGTTGGGAGTAGAGATACCTAACAGTGAGGGGGAGGTGGAGTAGGCTATAATACACATAACGTTGGGAGTAGAGATACCTAACAGTGACGGGGAGGTGGAGTAGGCTATAATACAGATAACGTTGGGAGTAGAGATACCTAACAGTGACGGGGAGGTGGAGTAGGCTATAATACAGATAACGTTGGGAGTAGAGATACCTAACAGTGAGGGGGAGGTGGAGTAGGCTATAATACACATAACGTTGGGAGTAGAGATACCTAACAGTGACGGGGAGGTGGAGTAGGCTATAATACAGATAACGTTGGGAGTAGAGATACCTAACAGTGACGGGGAGGTGGAGTAGGCTATAATACAGATAACGTTGGGAGTAGAGATACCTAACAGTGAGGGGGAGGTGGAGTAGGCTATAATACACATAACGTTGGGAGTAGAGATACCTAACAGTGACGGGGAGGTGGAGTAGGCTATAATACAGATAACGTTGGGAGTAGAGATACCTAACAGTGACGGGGAGGTGGAGTAGGCTATAATACACATAACGTTGGGAGTAGAGATACCTAACAGTGACGGGGAGGTGGAGTAGGCTATAATACAGATAACGTTGGGAGTAGAGATACCCAACAGTGAGGGGGAGGTGGAGTAGGCTATAATACAGATAACGTTGGGAGTAGAGATACCTAACAGTGAGGGGGAGGTGGAGTAGGCTATAATACAGATAACGTTGAGAGTAGAGATACCTAACAGTGACGGGGAGGTGGAGTAGGCTATAATACAGATAACGTTGAGAGTAGAGATACCTAACAGTGACGGGGAGGTGGTGTAGGCTATAATACAGATAACGTTGGGAGTAGAGATACCTAACAGTGACGGGGAGGTGGAGTAGGCTATAATACACATAACGTTGGGAGTAGAGATACCTAACAGTGAGGGGGAGGTGTAGTAGGCTATAATACAGATAACGTTGGGAGTAGAGATACCTAACAGTGACGGGGAGGTGGAGTAGGCTATAATACAGATAACGTTGAGAGTAGAGATACGTAACAGTGAGGGGGAGGTGGAGTAGGCTATAATACTCATAACGTTGAGAGTAGAGATACCCAACAGTGAGGGGGAGGTGGAGTAGGCTATAATACAGATAACGTTGAGAGTAGAGATACCTAACAGTGACGGGGAGGTGGAGTAGGCTATAATACACATAACGTTGAGAGTAGAGATACCTAACAGTGAGGGGGAGGTGGAGTAGGCTATAATACAGATAACGTTGAGAGTAGAGATACCTAACAGTGACGGGGAGGTGGAGTAGGCTATAATACACATAACGTTGAGAGTAGAGATACCTAACAGTGAGGGGGAGGTGGAGTAGGCTATAATACACATAACGTTGAGAGTAGAGATACCTAACAGTGACGGGGAGGTGGAGTAGGCTATAATACAGATAACGTTGAGAGTAGAGATACCTAACAGTGACGGGGAGGTGGAGTAGGCTATAATACACATAACGTTGGGAGTAGAGATACCTAACAGTGACGGGGAGGTGGAGTAGGCTATAATACACATAACGTTGGGAGTAGAGATACCTAACAGTGAGGGGGAGGTGGAGTAGGCTATAATACACATAACGTTGGGAGTAGAGATACCTAACAGTGAGGGGGAGGTGGAGTAGGCTATAATACAGATAACGTTGGGAGTAGAGATACCTAACAGTGACGGGGAGGTGGAGTAGGCTATAATACAGATAACGTTGAGAGTAGAGATACCCAACAGTGAGGGGGAGGTGGAGTAGGCTATAATACAGATAACGTTGAGAGTAGAGATACCTAACAGTGACGGGGAGGTGGAGTAGGCTATAATACAGATAACGTTGAGAGTAGAGATACCTAACAGTGACGGGGAGGTGGAGTAGGCTATAATACAGATAACGTTGAGAGTAGAGATACCTTACAGTGACGGAGAGGTGGAGTAGGCTATAATACAGATAACGTTGAGGGTAGAGATACCTAACAGTGAGGGGGAGGTGGAGTAGGCTATAATACAGATAACGTTGAGAGTAGAGATACCTAACAGTGACGGGGAGGTGGAGTAGGCTATAATACAGATAACGTTGAGAGTAGAGATACCTAACAGTGACGGGGAGGTGGAGTAGGCTATAATACAGATAACGTTGAGAGTAGAGATACCTTACAGTGACGGAGAGGTGGAGTAGGCTATAATACAGATAACGTTGAGAGTAGAGATACCTAACAGTGACGGAGAGGTGGTGTAGCCTAGTGGATAGGGTGTTCGCTCGTCTCGGATCGATTCCCAATGAGTACAACGTGTGACATTGCTGGAGATATTGCCGCGATATTGCTGGAGTTTATAAACGTCAAACTCACTAACTCTTACTGTGAAGTGATACGGTATTTTAGACAAATATCTTTTAGAAGTATTCGGGAAAAAGCATGTTTTCAGGTGCATTCAAACATATACATTTCAAATCTACATGATGGTGCTTCTGTTGAAATATCGCATTTAGCCGCCTGAATCAATATGTGACGTGGGTCTTTGAGTGCTAGTGGTTAATTAACGTTCGCTCGTCACGCCGTGACTCGTGTTACCATTTCGAAAAGACACCATTTCTGAGTACAGTGCCACCACATTTAGCCTGAATATTGCTAAAACCGACGTAAAACCCCTACTCACTCACTCACACGCTCCTAACGGGTAAATGATAATACACATGATATATACACTGCAGTACAAATGGAGCATCCTCACATGTGGTAAGAGCATCGAATATATCTCTTTTACAGAATAGCTTTCAGGTTCAGCATTTGATCCTAGGCTTATCTTCATGTGTTTAAATGGATGTCCATAATAAAAATGTTTACAAAAACGGTTTATACAATTTGCCTTTAATGACATCAATGAGGTTAATGGTCGGGAAACTAGGTTACTCGAAAACTGTGTGGAATGGAACTCTGTATGTCAGCTGTTCACAGTTTTTCTTTTAAACGTTTAAGCATATTTACATAGGAAGAAATACTAGACACACTTTGAAAGTATTGCCCCACCGTCTACATACGAACTCGCGTAGTTTATAATCAAAACGGCTAAGGAGCACCCAAAATGAAGCCGATGAAAGGTTGCCTCAATGCAGTGAACAGTTAGATCAACAATTTACTGCAGAGAGAAGTTGTTGTTATTGCTTGTCTGAAAATACCCCCTCACCTGCTGCTGGAAGCTGTGCGTTTATAAAGTTTTGCTGGAAATTGGGCGAGAAATTAATAATTAGAAACATGCAGAGTGTGATTAGGTAATTTGGCCTAAGTGATTAGTTTATTTTGCATGCAGTACTGGCGGGTAGGAGATATGCAGGTCTTCAGTTAGACTAACGCTTAGTCTCTGAAAATATATAATTTTGACAGCACATTTAAATTGAAAGGAGTCCTAGTGAGATGGGAGCCTAAACCCGTGGAAAGTCTAGACTTGCTTCATTTAGAAATTACAATAAGCCTGAACGGAAGAGGAAATAATATTGTTCAGGGACTGTGACACAGGCTAGACAGCTTACCGATGTGTTGGTGGGTTCGGGGTTCTAGGGTGTAGGGGGGGGGGGGATGTAGGGGGGGGGGGGGAATGGAAATTCAAGGATATGTTCGCATGGTGTGCGTTCGTCCCATCTCCTTGAAATTGTATATATTACAGGAATATGTACAAATTTTTTTAACATTCAATCAAGAAGTTCAATTAAAAAAGAACAATTATGAAGATATTGATTTACATATTCCCATTCAAACGCTGACAAGAGTATCTCGGACTTTCCGCGTGACGAGCTAACGCTTTGACCACTTGGCTATCCCTCCGCCGAAATTAAGACATGAGTGAGTGAGTAAGTGAGTGAGTGAGTATGGTTTTATGCCGCTTTTAGCAATATTCCAGCAATATCACGGCGGGAGACACCAGAAATGGGCTTCACACATTGTACCCATGTGGGGAATCGAACCCGGACCTTCCCCGCGACGAGCGAACGTTTTAACCACTTGGGTATCCCTCCACCCCTATTAATACTTGAAACATGCTGAACATTGCTTAGAGGTTAATATCTGACTTTGGTAATGTGTCAGCAATCTGTTGTCGGTGATAATATTGGTGACAAATGCAAAGTGGGCGGTGTTGTCTTCTTATTTGAACATGTATGTGATAAAAACACGTGATTCAGTGAAGGAACGTGTCTCAACGAACAGTAGACATATATACTTTCTCTGTCTCAAACGACTCGTCAAATTCAAACGACACCTGAAATAAATAGTAAATTAAATTAACAACAGTGCACTGTTGTTTACAAATGGTTCATAAATAATTGGATTGATATTCAAATTAGTTGCTTGACATTCCTTACATATATAACACATATTGATACAGATAAAAAAAACTTTAAACATAAAATATTACGCTTGCCAATTAAGGAATGTGTGGTTCCTTTAGTACGAAGAATTGTATGTTATCAAAGATGGCGGGAGGTGAGAAATATTATATTTACTGGTTATACTACTTGTCATTAGATGAATTCAGTTACCGTATTCGACGTAATAAGCGCCCCGCTCTAATAAGCGCCCACGGCGAAATTTGCTAATATATTGGCGAGTGAACAATCCCAATCAGCACCCCTTCCGATTGATCAATGTACACAAGACTTATTTATTCGTGAATAATACGCACTCTTGTGTTATATCACCCTTAATTATTGGCAATTAAATTCTTGAAAAATATATCTGTCGTATGTAAACATTTCAGGCGAAATTTACGATCTTTTGATTTTACGAGATTTTGAGAGCGCCCTGGGCGCTTATTACGTCGAACACGGTATATCAATTTTAACACATACATCACATTAAATTACACAACTCATAAATACAACAGTGGAATTTACGTGCTGTACATACACATTAAGACGAAGCATACTTGGGATGGGAGAAAAAATGACAGGTGCCCATTCAGCAATAGGTGAAATATGAACCGAGTGTTTGTTACGCAAACAAAGGTTCCGACAGGTACATAAGAGAGATGAAAAGAAACACTGAATATATGCACACACAGATATCACTAGAACGACAGAGACGTGTACATGTGAATATTGCATGCTTTAATCAACAGAAAGTCAACAAAAATGTCAGCAATAATTTCTTTTGCATTTGTGACCGATAAAACTGAGGTGTGTGAAATAGAATGGTTTGAAAATTGTTTACTTTATCCGGGCTATACGTTCCATCACAATCATATGGCACCTGCAAAGAAAACAGTCAATATTGTATCACTAAATATGCTAAGGCGTCCAACATGTGTATCTTGACCTCAAGGGAAGCTGGATGGTTGTATCAGGTGAAATAAAGACGGCTGGTGTACATTGGACGTTGTGAGAAAACCCGTGGGCTGGAAATAAGAAGTACCTGTCTCTCCGGATAGATAATCCGTATAAAGTAATCCTAGTTGCCTGAATGTTATTCTATCTATTCCAAAATTGTCTTTTTTCTGAGAAAGGAAGAGGTGGTTTCCTGATTACATGTGGAGACATTAGCCCAGTCAATCTAGTATTTGATGACGTCACAGTACTGTGACGTCATAAAGAATGGATGAGGTCATCTTTCTTTATTTGCGACAACGCATTGACGTGACACCACGTTGCAGTGGATCGCTTTCCATCAAATGAAAACAATCGAACTGATATGAATTTGGCAATCAGCACGAAGCAGAAATAATCATTCTCATCGAGACATCCTGAACATGATTGCATCGATATCCTTTCCCCTGTTGCCATAATTAATTTGGAAGACAATTGTAATTGATCTCCATACGAAAACAGTAATCGTCAAGGGCCAGTTACACAATTTTTCATCTTTCTTACTGTAACCAGACATAGTTGTATGTTCATGGTCACAAACACACAACCATTATTTTTTTTTAGCAAAACCAAACACGCACATACACACACACAGACACAAAGAGTCAATGTATTTGGCGGGAACATAAACATAAACAATTCCTACCTCATCCACAAAAACGGAATCTTATAGAGTATATTTGTGTGTTATTTTAGTCACTAAGATAAACTTTAAACCAGATCATTCCCGGGGACCTTTGATCGTGCAAAACGTGTGTCCATCACTGTTCCTCTGTCAAATAGGGGGCACACTAACACCGACATCTAGGGTTTAACAAGTACACGTTCGCCTAAGCTCTTCAAATATCTCCAATCAGATCGTTTTGCAGCTTCAGAGGCGGGCGGCTGTAGTCGACTACAGCGGTAACAATCACGACGTGATCCCCAGAACAAACTAGAGTAAGACTGAGCACACATACGCTTCACCGTCTATATTAGATGAGAGACTTGCGTGTGACTCCAGTTATAGTAGCTTGGCTGCGTACAGTGCACAGGAAAGAAGCAGGTGTTACTCCAGTTTACACTGGCCCACAGGTGCTTTATCACACCTCCATCGACACAAAATCCAGCCGAAACAATGAGCTAAAAGCGGCTTCCATGTGACGATTATACCTTTTCTTTTTTCAAGGCGTTGTAAAAAACAAAAGATGCTTTCGTATCTCATCCTTATTCGCCCTTTGATATTGGCCGTTTGGGGTTACTAAGGAGAGTTTAGCAGGCAATATGTACAGATTGTAACTGTAAATGAATAAACCAGACACCCATTGTAAGCTCTGCTATATATGTACATATATGGACAAGCTTAGATAACAACTGTTGAGAGTAGCAAAATAGGACAATGGTGATCGAAGGCAATGCACGTGTTGTTGATATTTTCACTTTGAACATTGATTTTATAAAATAAGTCGATTTTTTAGAAGTTCGAGTCACAAAGATATTAAATGACATAAGCCTCTACACTACAAAATTGACAAGTAATCCATATTACATTTTCATGAGAAATGTTGATAGTTGAGCCATGTAATATTGTTGTTGCTGGAGCAGCAACTGTTGTAGTCGACTCTTCAAAGGGTGAGAAAGGGGTTATAATTAGTCTTATCTCTGTAATAACACGTTGAGGTATTTATTCACAAATTATTAGTTTTAATCGGTAATCGATAATTACTGTCCGATTTACAGTCACGGACTCTCACTGTCACATGATAAAAGCGGTGTCTCCCGACCGGAAGTGTGCGTTGACGTCGCTAAAGTCTGTAGGAAATATCTGTCGACCGGGGACTTTAAAGCGGAAAGAACGTTTCTTTATAAGCAATGTGTCTCTAATATCCAATTCCAGACCTTATCTCAATCCACGATGTCGACAAAGGTGTACATGCCGCTTTCAGCGTAGTCCATGCTGTTGGCGTACATTTCCTCACTAACGTGTCACCGACATCTCGGATGCCCAAACATGGCTCTACTTCCGAAAACGTCATAAAACGCCACTATTTTAAGAAAGGCATACAGACTTTTTGCACGGAGCTTTACCTGGCCAAACATATTGAGAGGTTGAGACTGAACCGTTACATGCTTCAGCTGGATGAGGTGAGGGATCAATGGGTCCGGTGTTTAACACCGGTGTTTTACATCTCGGGAAACCTAACATTCAGATTGATCGTACTGAGCATGTCTGTCTGGCATAGCTTCCGGGCATTGATCAGAAAAAATACCCTTTGAAGAAATTAAGACTGTTCGAGCATACCTGACTAACCCAGCACCGGTAGTGCCATACGTTGATGAGATCAAATTCGGGGAACTGTTCAACATTGGTCAGAAAAAAATATTCTTTGAACAAATTAAGTCTATGCGAGCGTAACTGACTAATCTAGCACCGGTAGTGCCATGCGTTGATTAGAACAAATACGGTAAAACTGTTCAATATTGGTCAGAAAACAAAAACAATACTATGTGATCAAATTAAGTCTGTGCGAGCGTATCTAACTAATCTAGCACCAGTATTTTCACGTTGATTAGAATAAATACGGTGGGACTTTTCAACAAAACGATGCTGGAATATTCCATTAAGGACTGTAATATTCATACTTGAATACTTGGACGCAGTGATAGTAGTAGATATAAGACATAGCCAGTGGCATTACTCAACATAGGATATTAAATATAGGACCCTCCTTCTGTCAGTATTCAGTAAAGGGTACTGACTATGGCATTATTAAATATAGGACATTTCTTGTTTTATTTAGTGTAAGACACTGCTTGTGTCAGCATTCAGAATAGGGTACTGAGTGTAGCATTATTAAATATAGGACTATCCTGTCAGTATTCAATATAGGGTACTGACTATGACATTATCAAATACAGTACGGTTATAACGAACTCAAAAGGACCACTAATTTTCGTTCGTAATAACCGTAGTTCGTTATAAGCGTATATACATAATCTTTACAACAAATAGCCGGGACTAGTAAATACGTTCGTTATATCAGTCAGTTCGTTATAAGAGAGTTCGTTATAAACGTAGTATACTGTAAAGGACATTTCTTGTATTTTTTAGTGTAAGACACTGCTTGTGTCCGGATTCTACATAGGACAGTGGTAATGACATTTATGACATTACACTTCTAGTGACACTATTCAACATAGAATAATGCTTGTACACCTATGAAATAAAAACAAACAATATTGCTTGTTGCCCAGATAAATAAACATTACTTGTTTTCATTATAAGTCACTGTTTGTAACGTATTCTGCTTGTGTCAGTATTCAAACCAGGACAGTACTATAGGATACTACTGGTTACAGTATCCAATAAGCACAGTACTACAGTACTAGTGACATAATTCCATATGGGACTGTAATGTATTACTCTACTGACAATATTCAATAAAGGACATTTCTGTTGTACACTTTCAACATATGAGTGAATATGGTTTTACGCCGCTTTAAGCAATATTCCAGCAATATCACGGCGGGGGATACCAGAAATGGGCTTCACACATTGTACCCATGTCGGGAATCGAACCCGGGTCTTCGGTGTGACGAGCGAAAGCTTTAACCACTAGACTACCCGACCGCCCCCTCAACATATGCCATTACCTCGGTACATTACCAGTGAAAATCTTCAATATAAGATATTGGTAGTGATATTAGTCCATATAGAAAACTTATTAACGATATTTTTCGATACACAATATTCCGTGTTACACCGATAAAAAAGAATACCTCCAATGGCTACATTAAATACATTCAATATGGGACAATGACAGTGACAATCTCCAATATAACTTAAAGCAGCAAAACCCTTTCCATATTCATAAGAAATCTCTTCCAAAAGCATAAACACATGCTCATGATATAGTCGGAATCGTACAATCGACTTGTTTTGGGCAGATATTTCTTAGTTTTGTCGCTTACATTTATGCATTACTATCAAATAGTGAGCGTATCCTGCCCAACAGGTGGCACTCGCCACAAACACATGCCCAGGCGAGTCAATTGTGCACCTAAAAAGCACGGGAACATATGGTAAAAGTCAAAATAGTGAAAAGCATCGCATATAATTCTTGTAACTGAGGTATTAAATGTCGAAATGTCCTCCACATGTCTACCATAAAAAAGGTGTACACTTTTGAGCAAGCCTCGTAAGACGCTCTTCGACATCTTTGTCGAAAGAGTTGCTCGATTGTACATCAAGAGTGAAATGTAAACACCAGAGGTTGGAGCTGATGGAAGATTGCTCGACATAAGGGTACAGTTGACTATTGGAAAGTAGAAACCATCCCTCTTGTTATACAGTCTGATGGAAAGTGTTTTGTAACTCTGAATCTTTAAGCATCGATCTAAACATGAAACTGATGAGGAGGTCCCATTGGTCACCTTGATTTCGAGTTTAAGACACCAGTGACACAATTCAGTACAGGATACTCTCATGACACAATTCATTGATGGGCACATTTAATGACTGTATTCAATGTTAAACAACTCCCGCAACAGTTGCAGTAATGAGGCAACACAATGAAGAGCCTACTTCCCACCCAGTGCACTACAGTATCTGTAAATAACATTGCTAGGGGCGAAAGGTGCTGTTTCTGCCCGTTACCCTATGATGTGGGTTGTCAGAACCTACACCTTCCATGGCTGCCCTTTGCTATTAGTGACACTTGGTGTCCAATGAAAGCCCATGTGATGAAATAGGAATATGAAGATGTGTCCTTTACCATGGTGTTAAAAGTAGGAAAAGGGGAATCTGTGTAGATCCCGAGAGATAAGAGGTATCCCTCATACAACTTCAAACGACCCAAAACTGTTTTCTGTTAAATAGGCACGTTTTGTTAAAACCATGAAGTAATG